CTTTGAGATTTGTAGGATCCTTGTATATAACTGGTATAAAACAGAGCCGTTATTTCAGCTCTGTTAATTGCTTTTCAAATTTCTTTGTTTCTTCCCAGAAAGACCTACTACTACATGCCTTCCATGGATGCATATAGTAAATGGAGAAATAAACCAGAACAAAAGTTGCACATTCAGAAAAGCTACGCATCTGTCACTCCTTATAAGGACTTTCCATTGTAACAGGCAGGTTCTCGATGCGAGTTACCTGCTTAGACTGTGAACAATCTCTTCTCCACACGGGGACTTCTGGCATCTGTGAGGCACACAACCACTGCCACCCACTGTGTCAACTTCTTCCTCCCTAGACCACCCAAACAGCAACCAGCAACCCAGTGACCATAGTTTCCTTTCCTTTCTCCAGGGAACTGTGCATTTTAAATGGGTATTTTATTCCCTTTGAATTTATTTTTTATTTATTTTTATTTTATTCCCAGTGAATTTAGCTTACTCTATTTAAAATGAAAAGCCAGGGCCTGGGGATTCAGCTCAGCGGCATAAGCACCTGCCTTGTAAGCAGGCAGTCGTGAGTTTGATCCCTGGTACTGGTAAAAAAGAAAGACAAAAAAAAAAAAAAAAAAAAAAAGAAAGAAAGAAAAGCCACCCACACAGAAATATGAAAATACATTGTACTAAAAGCATTTTTAAAAAGCATGTTAAAGCATACAAGCATTACAAAAAGGAATTAGAAAACAGCACACATTTCGTAGAGCCATGATAAACTTTTTTTTTTTGATAAACTTTTTAAAATTTTCATTTTAGTGCACTAAAAGTAACTTTTTATTTGCTTATTAGGTTATAAGGTACAACATTTCTACTGTGAGTTGCAGTAAAAATAAGTTGAAAGCTACTGAAAGTAAAATACTTGCACTATGAGCTTTTAAGTTTTCTCTGTGGCAGGCATAGAAATTCTGATCTCTTTTTGTAAAAGAATGTCTCTGAGCTGCTGGGCATGCAGCTAGCTGCACTGCCTTTGGGATCTGTAAAAACCTTTGATTTAAGGCTATGCTTTTTCCCAGGAACCCTCTAGCCTACCAGATACCATGGTCTGGACATTTCTGCCCAAAGTAGAACTCCTCTGATGGACTACCACAAATCTGCCGACTAGGTCAGCCAAGGCTGTCAGATTTGCATTGTAACCTTATCCTTCCTGTTCTGGTTTAGATCTAAAAGAACTCTCAAAAGTCCAATAAGTTCCCAGGTAAGGGATCTGGAAGGTGAGTGGACAGTGAGGATACAAGCCTCATCAATGGATGAATCCGCTGAGAAGTTCCCAATGAGTTCCTAGCTGAATGAGCTAGTAAGTGGGGCCCAACTGGAGGAGGTGGGTCAGTGGGTCATGTCTTTGGAGGGTATATATCTCTCTGGTGGCTTCCAGATCTCTTTGCTCCCTCCTAGCTGCCATGGCTGAGCAGCTTTCCTCTGCCATTCCTTTCCACCATGTTTCTGTCTTGGAGCCAACTATGGACTGAAACCTCTGAAACTATGAGCTAAAATAAATTCTTCCTCCCTTAAATTATGTATTTCAGATGCTTCCTTCCAGTTACAGAAAGCTGACTGTGGCAGTCAGGGTGAAGTTTCAACTTGATTAGTTTCTGGATCCGTTTTGGGGATGGAGGGAGCACTTTTAGATGTGTCTGGATGGGTTATGGATACACGCACGGCCTTGGGGTCTAGGTCTCGTTCTTTACCCCTTCAGTTCTGATACTCTTCTCCTGCTTATTTCCTGGCTGTTCTGAACTAAGCAGCTTTGTTCTACCATGGCCTTCTGCCATGCTGGTTCTGCCTTGAAGCCAACTGTGGACAAACACCATGAACCAAATTAAACCTCTCCTCCTTTAAACTGTGTTGAGTATTGTGCCCAGAAAATGGGAAAGCTAACACACTGATATACTTCCCACATTCAAATCACTTTCTTTCAACTTGTTTTTTTTTTTTTTTTCAAATGTCAGATCTGCTTCAAACTCGAAGATTTACCAGGCCCAGTGCTTCATCCTACCCTTTAACCTTTCACATGAGTTCTATCTCCCAATAAACTTCAACTCCTCACTCTGTCTTAGCACCATTCTCCTGGAGGATCTGAGCTGACACAGCTTGATAGGATTCATCACAGCTTATAATGTGTGGCTGACTGCCTATATACTGTCTCCTTCACAAAGCAGTGAGACTTCCAATACCCAGGTAATCTCTTCCTGGATAACCTGTTATGGCTTATATCTAGATATTCCCTCCAAGCCCCATGTGCTCATCGGAGTGGTTTTTCCAAAATGGCTGGATCATGGATGCACCATATTGAATTAAGGATGTGGAAACTGGATTAGCCCCGGTTGGATTAGTTTCATTCAGGATGTGGCTGAATGGATTTACTGAGGACAGAAGGCCCATCATAGTTGTGAGTAGCACCAATAGACTTGTAACCTGGATGGAATATAAAAAGAAAGATGAAAATCAGGCTTACTTTTTTCTTCCTGCCTGTTCTGCCATGAACTTTTCCTCCTCTGCCATGCTGGCCTGCCTTGGAACTAACTGACTATGGGACTAAAACCTCTACAAACTGTGAGCTAACATAAACCTTTCCTGCTTTAACTTGCAAGTGCCAAGTGTTTTGTCCCAGCAACAAAAAAGTAACTAAATCCTTCCTTATTCACTCTCTTCTCATCCCTTCTAGACCCACACAGGGCAGCAATGGTTATACAGTTGTGTCTTGCATCAATCTGAGCACCTAGCTCAGATGGATGGGGGCTAGTTTGGAGCATCTACCAAGAGAAGGATTTCTCAACTTTGACATGGCTGACATTTCAGACAATAATCTTTATACCAGAGGGGCCATCTTGTACATTCAGGAATGTTGAGTGGCTGTGTTCTACCCACTAAAAGCTAGAAGTACCTTTCCTAATTGGGATAATCACTAATGTGCACAGACACTGCCAATTCTCCTTTACAAGGACTAAATTATCCTTGAGTGAGAACCATGGCCCTGAAAAAAAATAACATTTTTCCAATTCTCCTAAAAGTGTCACATAGGAGCCGGGGGCATAATCAGTAGTACAGCATATGCTTGACACACATGATGCTTAGTCCTGCTACAACTTATCATGGTCCTGGGAATATTCCTCTAGGTTAAGTAGTCTCAAATACCTTGGCAGCAACTCCCACAGTGATACTCCCAATATCTTCTTCATTTTTTTTGGACCTCAGTTGGGTCTGTATGTGTTCTCTGAGTTATAGGCCTACTAGGATAGGTCATGTTATCCCAGGTAACCAGCCATGAGCCTGAAGCAGCTCATTGCTCCCCAAAGACAAATTTAAAGAGCTTCCACAATGTCAGCATTGATATACCAGTGGGCTGATAAATAACATGCTTTCCCATCGCATTTGTTATCCACAAACTGTTTTATCTAGTCTTGCTTGGAAAATAATTAATCATCCTTATGTAAATTCTGGTTGCTCTTCATCCTAGAGCATGCAACATACTTGTTATTTTCTCAGAAGTGGAATTTTTTTTTAAGTCTCCAATTGTTTGCTTTTAACGTTTCTAGGTTCCTATTTGTTTTCTTTTCTTTTTAACTTTTTATCGGTACCAGGGATCGAACTCACGACCTCCTGCTGGCAAGGAAGGTGCTTATGCCGCTGAGCTAAATCCCCAGCCCCCTAGGTTCCTATTTGTTCGATTGCATGAGCCACTCTCTTAGAAATCTGTCACACCTCAATTCCAAATTGAGGAAGCTGAGCGCCTATCTTTTCAGAGTTCCTCTCTGTCCTACAAAGTGTGTTTCATTCGTGATGCTTAACCTGTAATTTAAGTCTGATTTTGCCCACAAACGACGCAAATCTATGGCCATTTTCTCATTATGCTGTAAAGGCAACAAAACTCATTTTATCCACGAAGATTTGCTTTCCTTTCCCAACTGATTTCGTTTCCTTACTTTCATTCATTTGGATGTTTTACGTTTATATTTTGGAGTTGGAATATTTACTATGGTGATGTAATGTGGCAGATACAGAATTTCCCAAAAGTGGACTGCAAAACCACTTCAAAAATTTAACCCACTGCAATCTTTCCAGTCCAGTTAACTATGAAATGTGAAATGACTCTGGGGATATTGAGGAATTTTTTGTTTGTTTTTTGGCATCAGGGATTGAGCTCACGACCTCATGTTTGCCAAGCAGACACTTTCGCTGCTGAGCTAAATCCCCGGTTAGGAATTTTCTTAGATGAAAAATATACAAGGCTTCTCTATTCCAAATGCTGACTGGGGAGAACAAGAGGGCAGTTAAAGGTCATATGGTGCAGGTTCCCCATTCAATAGGGTTTAGCACTGACTGTACTGGATTCACGTTCACTTTCAAGACATAAATAAGGCGTCGTACGCGAGGCTTCTAGATAGCGACGGTGTAGTGAGACTCTGAATTGCACAGTTGTTGGAGTAGAATCAATTTGTTCCACTCTAAAGCCTGGCACAGTTCTAGTCTGTCAAAAAGGCATCGCAATCTATAGTTGTCGATATTAATGCTTTTGGAACAGGAGATGCTGTCTCTTTAAAAAAAAAAAAAAACAAACCACAATAGTTACACACGCTTGTAATCCCAGCAACAGGGGGAATCCCTGGCAATTCAAGGCCAGCCTAAACTACATACATAATGTTTGTCTCAAAACAAAACCACACTCTTTTTGCCAGAATAGCTCAAACTAAAAATGAAGTTCGTGTGTAATTTTGTCTTCAGTCTACTATCCCCTGAAAACAAGAAGTTCTTTCTCGGTCTCGAAAATATGACGAATTCAGAAAAAAATTTCTTCCCAACCTCGAAGCAAATCACACCCTCAGACGAGAATCTCTGAGAGCAAGGCTTGGAGTGGAGGAGGGTGGCCGCAAGGGGCCAAATTTAGTAACCGCAGTAGTTTTAGGCACGCTTGCGCGTCTGTGATTGGTTCTTCCGCCGCAGAGCACTCTGGGGGGAGTGGCGGAACGCGGAATGGGCGCGCGCTCTGTAAAAACGGAATGAGCTCCGCAGGTCAGGTTGTGCCCCCAACTCTTGGCCATTCGGATTTGATAGCCGTTCTAGGGACATATCGTTGTCCACGCGGCACGAAAGTGCGCTCCTGGTTTCCTTGAGTCGCGGCGAGACGCGTGGCGACGCAACTGCTGAGCGCGCCAATCCCGAGCTGGCAGCAGGGCGGGCCTTTGAGATTTGAAATCTTGACTGTGTCAGGAGAGGCCCGCGCGACGTGCTGCGTGTAGCTCGTGGCGTGCCCTGTAGGCCTCGGGCGCCAGCGCGGGGGCGCCCAGCCCTCCTATAACAGAGTGGAGTTGGACATCTAAGGTCACCGTGTGCCTCACCCTTCACCCGAGGTACGAGCTGCAGTCCCCTCCCCGCCCGCCGATCCTGGCCTGCGGTGACTGGTCCTCTTGTCTCTACTCACCGCCCCGGCCCCCACGCCGCTCCCGGTTTCCAGCTCTGCGCTGCCGGGCGCGACCCCGACCTTCAGCTCGGCGCGCTTGTCCCTTGTCTCTTGCCTGGGCTTTTCTAGAACTCATAACCGGTTCCTCGGTGCTTGCTTACCAGGTCCTCGCGGTGCTGCTGCAATTGTCAACGGAGCGGAACATTCACTGATTCGTTTGAATGGTGAGCTCTCTAGTCTCTTTTTCCTAAAATCAATTCTAGGTGGGAAAAAATCTTACATTAGAATGATTGCCAGGTAGGAAAATTGTATGCCCTCAGGGTTCAGTTCTTCACGTTGGGACTCAAGACTCAGATATAGAAACAGTGGAACTCTCCCGCTTATGTTTTCTTCTGATTAAATTACATGCCGGTTGCAAAAAGGTATTGGGATTACAGTGGAAAGCCCTTTCACCCTAACTTTCATTGGTAGACACTGCACAGTGGTGCATTGTCTTCCAGATTTTTCCCCTATTTTGATGTTTATATTTCTTTAATGGAAATGCAACTATACGTTTTTCGGATGTGGAGCATGTACTGGAGATTGAACCCATAGTTTTCACATTGACCCACCCCCTCAGCCTTCCCCTTTTAAATTTGAGATATGGTCATCCTTAATCACTAAATTGCCTAAGCTGGGCCAGAGTTTAAAATCCTCTGTTTCCCAGAGTGCTGGGGTTGCAGATGTGCCCCATCTGCCCCAGCTTTCTGTTTTCTTTTTAAATTTAATTTTTCTAGGACTTTTGCATTTTAATATCTATACATCTTTTTGTTGAATACATAGAATTGGGTTTTATAGATGTAGAATTTATGTTGACCCTTTATTGGTGGACATCTAGATAGTTTTCTGATTTCCCCAGTGCTGTAGTATGAACTTCTGTGTAGTAGTAGATTATTATATTGGGTGTTGTTAAAGAACTTGAGTTTTGAGGGTGGACTTGGTTTCTGCTCTTTCTGGCTGTTAGTGTGATCTTGGGACACCTCATTTAATCAGTCTATACCTTGGTTGCCTTATCTTCAAACTGGAAGCAATAACACTACTTAAATCCTAAGAGTTGCAGCAAGATTGTAGAGTGGCCAGCATATAGTAGGTACTGTTTAGAAAATATTAGTTAACATTACTGTATATATATTTGCATTCTTATGAAGATACTCTGTAAGGAAAATAATTTAGAAGTGTAATTTCTGAGTTAAGGGTATTCAGATCTATACTTTGAGTTTAATATTTACTAATATGTAAGTAAAATGCTTTAATTTGCATTTCTTCATTTATTAATAAAGTAGGGTCTCACTTGACTAATTTATTGAACTTTTATATTAATTGCCTATCGGTTGCTTTGGCATTTTCTGTGTTTTTAAGAATTGACTCATTAGATATCTGAAAATTTTTTATATTAGCTGTTTGTCATATATGCTTTTTCTCCCTTGTGTATTATTTGACTGTTAACTTAGAATTCTGTTTCACCTCTCTTATTGTGCTGTAGGATTTTTAACCCATCCCACCATAATATTGTTACTGCAGTTACTACAGTAAATTTCTAGAAGAATTTCCTGTGTCTTTTTTGAGAAGAGGAGTAACATTCAGTGATATTGTTTAGTTGTCCTGTGTTTACACTGTACATGCTTACAGCTTTCCTTATTTTCCTAGTGTATCAGCATTTGCCAATTTTCAGAATAGTATTCCAAGCAACATTAAGCAGTTACTGAAAAACAGAAGCAAATGATTTTAAAATTTGCCTTCTCTGCTCTGAGAAGGGTCTAATTAGAAGGAGCTAATGTCTTGTTAGTGATTTCCATCTCAGTCAAGTATGCTTGGCTTTTAGAACATTCTAATTCTTCCCTCAACTTGAGCGATGCCAATTATTTGGGTGATTTTTTTTTTTTTTTAAGAAAGAATATTTTTAACATCTACTAACTTCATTCATATGTCTTGACAGGAACCATTTTTTGTCAATTTTCACTGGTACTATGATCAATTGCCTTTCCTTTTATTTCAGGAATGTTTGTTTACACTATTTGTTATTATGACTGAATAGTATTCCTCTGTGTAGATGTTCATTTTCTTGACCCATTTGTCTGTGTTGGGCATTTAGGTTGATTCTGATTCTTGGGTCTTGTGGGTAGTGCTGCAGTGAACATGGGTGTGCAGATGTCTTTTTTACGTACTAATTTCATTTTCCTTGGATACGTACCCACTAGTGGGAGTGCTGGCAGCTACTTGAAGAAAAAGAGACACTAAGATATCCAGTGCTGATTCCGTAGCATCATGATGTGAAATCCAGCAATACTATTATTCTTTGTTCAGTTATTTTAGTCTTTTGTTTTATTTAATTTCAACATATATGAAGGTATGGGCAGCTATTTTGAAGTAGCTGTTCATTTCATTGTGCATTATATAATAGATTTTCATAAACTGTTGAGAAATTCTATGCATGCATGAGTCTCTACATGTATACCTATTCCTTCTGTATTAGAGGGAAAAACAAAACAAATTCCTAGAAAAACATGAAATGAAAAAGACATATAAACAATAATAGCAAAGAACCCAGAACAATCACAATATAGGCCTTCCAAACAAGGTGGTATGAGCATAACTAGGGTTGTTACTTTCATAATGATCTTCAAGAGTTCCTCACATCACCATACAATAATATGTACAATTGTTCCAACCCTATAAATGTTAACTATTTTGTTCCAAGAACTTACAGAATTTGTAGCACAATCGTCTTAGCTATCCTAAGTGTGTTTATATAATTTTAGATATTTTTCTTTTCCCTTTTTCTTTTTTCCTCATTTTCCCTGAGATATTATTTTTCCCCTTAAGCAGATTCTTGTCCTTTCACTGTGGTTTTTGAGTTTTTTGTATCTTATGTACTCTTAGCATTTCTTACACTAGGTAGACTATACCGTATTTACACATGTGAGCTTGATTTATTTCCTTTATGAGTATGGTCTCGTGATGTGTTCTCTTTGTTTTGTCCTGGTAACTAAAAGGGCACCAGGGGCTTTTTTCTTCTGAATGCTGCTTTTTGAAAGAAATATAAAAACCAAATGACACTTCTATTAAAAAATAATAAAAATAAGACTTTAACAAGAAACTAAAATCCCAGTCTGATTTGTGAACTCCAGATTATCCAGTTTTGTTGTGAAGCAATTAAACTTTTTTATTAATGTGGCTGCAGAAAACAAATAAACTTTAAACTTTTTGCACAAAAGCATGATAAAAATTGATTTCATATTGAATTATAGGTTTCTCTGGGTCTCTGCTGAAGTTCTATCCTGAAAATTGTGTTCCAGTTTTCTCTTAGAGGAGTTTTGTTGCTACTGGCTTATTAAGATGATTGCAACACCTTTGAAACATCCTGGAATTCACCTATCTTCAGAGATATCCTCTCAAAGAAGAAATATACCCGTGGATGCAGTCTTTTTCGACAACATTCCTGAAAACACACTTACTCCTGTAAAAGATTTGGTGAAATACCAGAAGTCCTCTTTAAAATCAAATGACTGTAAAAGGAATACATTTGCAGAAACAACAACTTCTAACAAGAAAAATATATTTCAATCTACCATGCTAACAGAGCCTAGCATCTCTAGTAGTTATCTTGATATCAGTGCTATAAAGCCTATTAACAGTGGATTAAAAAATAAAGCAGCCTATGAGTCACCAGGAAAAGTATTTCAGAGAATGAAAGAAAAAGTACTACGTGACAAACAGGCACAAGCATCAAGAAACTGTAGTATATTGGAACCACCAAACAGTGAAAATAATACACTCTTCACCCCTAAGAAAAATGAGAAAAGACCATTGCAGCGTACCTTCCTATGTGAAGAAAAGGAAAATAACAGATCATTCCAGTCAGGTAACGGTTTGCTAATGGGTTACTTTTATTATGTTTTGGCTAAAGAGATAGAATGTCATAAATATTTAATGCATCAGACACTTTCAGGTTTTCAAAATACAGCAATGGATAAAATACATCAACATCTCTGCCTCTCTGAGTATAGTTCACACTTAGGCGAATTTTAAAAAGTAAGTTTTGGGTACAAAAGAGGAAAGCAGAAAGAAAAAGCAGAGTAAGAATGATGGAGAGTTGGAGAATGCTATAATTTTCAGAGGAGTGATCAAGGTAACCTTCAGTGAAAAGATAGCCTCTTACCCCAAACAACTGAAGGTGACAGGTAAAGCTAAATTGGGAAATGGAGAAAGCTGGTGCAGACAGGTAACCGCTAAAACAACCATTCTGAAATAGGAACGTGCTAATAAACATAAAGACTAGCTGTGAGGTCATTGTGTCATGGAGTGCACAGACAGCTGAAGAAGAGGGTATACATAAGAAAGGGTCAGATAATATAGGGCTGTATAGGTAAATGTAAGTTGCTTTTTTTTTTTTGAAACAGGTTCATAACTGTAGTCTGCAGGCCTGAATGGTGATTCTGCTGCTTCATCTTTCAGAGTGGGGTACTGGGATTGTGAGCAAAATAAGGAGGCACTACAGGGCTTTGAGCAGAGGAAGGTTTTAAAGCGTCTCCCTGGCTGCTGATTTGAAATAGAAGTGCTACAGTAATGACAGTATTGGCTTGCTCCAGGTGGCAGCAGTGGTTGATTTAAGAAGTGCTTGGTTTCTGGATGTATTCTGAAGATAGATCCAGTATGACTAGATTATAGATTAAGTGTGAATGTGAGACCAAAAGAGATACAAAGGGTAACTTCAGGTTTTTTGTTTTGGGTTTTGGTTTTGGCCTAAGTAATTGGAAGGATGACTGAAAAGTCAGATGTTAGATTGGAAAAAGAATTATTTGGAATTTAGGGAGGAGATTCAGGGTCCCAAAGTTCATTTGTGAAGTATTAGAACCTAATAGTTTAAAAAAAAGAAAAGAAAAGAAAACCTACTAGTATTTAAACCTGTGAGATTAAATAAGAGCCTCAAGAAGTAAATGTAAAAAGAGAAACTATTTAAGGGCTAAGTCCTAGAGCATTCCAGCATTTACAAGTCAAAGAGTAGGGGGCCACAGAGGGAGAGATCAGTAACAATGAAAACCAGAAGAGTTTTACTGAAGTCAAGAGAGCAATACACTTGAAAGAGGGGGTCATCAGTTGAGTGTGGTTCTGCTAATAGTGGGCTGCAATTTGATCCATGAATTTGGCTGTGGAGGTTATTGATGACTTTGAGGAGTGCAGTTTTAGTGAAACAGGCATAAAAACATGATTTGAATTAGTTCATAATTAGTTCATGATGAGAGTATTTGGTGTTGATGAGCATAGAAGTCTTTCAGAAGGGAACAAAATAATGAGAAGTATGATTAAAGGTTTTGTTGTGAGTATTTGATAAAATAACATTTTTGTATGCAATTGAGAATCTACAAGAAGGCACAAATTTAGATTGTGTTATCTGAGTGTTTGAGAGGGAATCAAAATTAATATGTAAGTAGAACCTTGGTTTTCTTTGGTTCTAGCTAGGCACAAACAGATAAATTGTTAAGAAGGAAAGCAGTTTGTATAAATACAGATACAGGTGAATCATTATTTTATGACTGCACAGGTAATCTGAAAAAATACGGTCATCATCAGCTGAAAGTGCATGTGAGATGCGACATTGGAATTTGAGTAGGTAGAGGTTTGGATAGTGCAGAAGAGAACATTGTCTCCATCTTAAATTTGATTTTTAACAGAGATACTTGAGGTTTACAGGCATGTTTAAAGTGAGACCAGTATATGATTGTAAATTTTCCTCTGTCCTTTTTTAAATGCATAGGTGTTGGTAGGGAATAAGCAAAGGATTGGATTTTATCTAGATGCAATGGCAAACAGACAAAGAAATTGAGGGTGAGTGTGAGGGGATAACTGTGATTGCCTCTAAAATGTAAGCTCATTAATCAGGGAAAAGTAGGTCTGACTGGTACCAAGAAGGGTAAAAAAGTACTAGATAGATATTGTTGGGATAGTGGACTTGACAATGATCTGGAAAAGTAGAAAGTATTCAAAAATCGGCACACTTGAACATGAGATTTTCATGAGTTTCAGTAATTGGTAATGAAAGGTATTTTACATATTCTCTTATTTTATCCTTTTAGCAAACAGTATGAGACTTACTAAATGGGCTTATAAAGAGTCCATTTTCTTAACCACCACCCATAAGATTGTAGGCATATTGTTGTGTTTCAAAGATAATGACATGTTGTAATAAAGAGAAACAGAATTCCTAAGGGAGTTTGGGGTAGAGATGGAGGAGTGTACAAAATAGACTTTCTTATATAGCCTAGGAGAAAAGGAAAAGCAAATGAGATTATGCATATTAAAGCAGGTTTTACCTGTAAGAGACAATTTCAGAGAGGAAGAAATGCCCATCTGCTTTGAGAATATGATGACCCTTTCCCAACCAGTGCTGAGCAGAGGTTGCATCTAGTCCATCCAGATGCCCAGCTTAGGTCTCCCCGAGCCTTGCTGCCCGCTGTACTAGGAGGGACCATGAACCAGGCCCTCGCGCTCATAGAAGGCTCAGTTTTGCTTACAGCACACAGCTGGTAGCTTGGAGAGGCTTCTAAAAACTGCTTCCTTGGCCGTGATATGGGTGCAGAGAATGGAGTAAAGGCATGAGCAAACGATGAAAGGAATCATGGATGTACCTGTCATATACTACAAAATTACACCATGCTGGTCTAATCATTGCTGAACTTAAATTGTCTTCATCATAAGATTTTAAAAAGGCCTTTTTTTCTTTCCTGTAATAGTCAGCTTTGTTCCTGTCTCTTTTTGTGTCTTTTGTTTTTAAAGCACCTGTCCAAGAAGTTGCCCTAGAATCATCTGTCTCCCTTCCCTTCAAACAAAAGACTCAACACCAGCAGGAAAAGAAAACGCAGCGCCACAATTTAACTTATGGTAATCTGTCTGTCTGTATGTTTTCTAGTTTCCCGATTGGGGCAGTAAACATTGGTAATGGAAAAAAATATGAATTAGTATCAATATATTAAAGTCTTTAAAATAAAAAGTTCATTTTTTGATATAATATATGACCTTGTTTCTTTTAATTTCATAATAATCTTTATATAAATATTTGTTTTGTATCTTTTGTAGAACTTCCAGTTCTGAACCAAAAACATGAAAATGTTTCAGCTGCACGAGTCTCAAACAAAGGCTTAGCTAGAGGTCAGCAGACTAAACAGAATCTTCACTCAAAAGAGAACACAGTTGAAATCACTAAGTCCAAAAACAACACACTTGGTTTAGAAGGCGTCCCTTTGGCCGATAAGAAATTACGGAACACTTATGTTGAAACTTCTAATGCTGATTGTATTCCTATTAAAAATAGTAGTAAGGGAATAGTTTCTGATAGTGACATGACAACAGAAGGCACTTCAGAAGGGGAAAATAAGGAGCAAAGTGAAAAAACAGTGTCCAGAGAGACCAGTCTTCCCAACTCCATGGAAGATACATGTAAAATTGTACTTGCAACTCCAAGATGTTATTTAACAGAACCTCGGAGATCAAAAAGAAATATTTCAAAGTTTTCTCCTCCAAGTTTATTTCACACTATTACAAAAGAAGTTAAAAAAAATAAGGTAGGAAAATTTTTGTGTTTTGGGTTTTGAGACAGCATGTCACTATGTAGTTCAGGTTGGCTTTGAAGTGACCATGTAACCCAGGCGCCCTGCATGTGCAGTGATCCTCCTGCCTGTCTCCCAGTTGCTGGGATCACTAGCATACACTGCCACATTCCATGGTAGCAAAACTTTTATGGTCAGTACTTGTTTCTGCTTTCACTCATTCTTCAGGTTGTAGGCTTATGCTCACTTCCCATGTTTCATTTATTATTTAGCAACTTGTAGCCTAGTGAAGAGAACTATGGTCTTAAAGTAAGAAAATCCAGTAACTTTGATTTCCTCTCCTACTACCTTCAACAGTTATAGGAAAGAAATCTGAATTCATTTCTGTTCTTAATTTGTTCTTTATCTTCTGATTTTTGAGGTACTATTAACAGAACAATTGAAATAGGAATGATAGCACCTAAAAATTTGAGAATTTTCCTGCTATGTAGTAATATAAGATGATCAATAAAGCTTGATCCACATCAAACTAAGGAAATAGAAGTTCAAGCTCAGAAAGAAAAAAAAAATACAAAGTAAAATTTCTAATTGTTAAAGGTTTGTCCATTCATTTTTTTTTTGGTCTTTTTCGTTTTTATCAGTACCAGGGATTGAACTCACGACTGCCTGCTTGCAAGGCAGGCACTTATGCCGCTGAGCTAAATCCCCAGCCCCCTGTCCATTCATTTTTAAAAGGATGGTGGGGGTATCAAATTAAGATGGTATTCAAATCCTATCTTCATTTTAAAGAATAATACAGTAATTATCATTTTCATGTTTCAGTGAGCTTGGTGAAAATTGAATTATTTATGACTTTTTAAACTTAAAGCTTTAAATTGTGTAAAGTGAGTTGAGCAGACAGTATGAAGACAGCTGTCTTGAGAGAGCCCCACAGTACTGGTTCCTTCCTCTCTGCATTGCTGTTTCTCCCAGTCCCCTCAAAATGTCCAGTCCTCCCAGGGCTCATACCCCTCTGTGGTTCTGTACATCCCCTAATTTTGAGCCTTTCAGTCATCCTTAGCTCTCCAAACATGATGCTGTGCTTTTTGAACTCAAGTTATGTCAAGCAAAAAGTTGTATGTGTTCTTCGAGCATTTTTTTTAATGTTGCTGTAATTATCACCTCTGTTAACAACTCTCTCATCTCCTTGGGTTTCTTCTACTTTGAGGACCTTTGCCTCATCCGTACCTTGTCATTAGTAGTAAGCACATGCACCAAATTCTCACTTTCAAGCATCATATGCTCTTACTACCAGCTGATCTTGTTTAAGATCGTTTTCCTTCCAGTAGCGTGTCAAGTTATTTAACTGGTGTACCACCTACCGTATTATCCTACTTTTGTGAGGATAATGTGAGTTGACACATCTAGATGCTGGAAACAGTTAATGTTAGTTTTTATTTTAATATTCTCCATCTGATTGATGCTTTAATATATTTTATATAATTCTAAATGTAGAGAGTAGGATAAAAGGGAGTGTTACTTATGATCTCTTCCACATATTTTACCTACAGAATTTTAAATGAACATAATTAAGAAATGCAATAATATAGACCCTCCGTTGTAATATATATCCCTGAATGAATATATAAAACCACAATGGAGAATGTCTTTATATATAAATGTATAATTTTACATAAAGTAAATGGCCACTCCAAACTAGTTACCATATGAATCTTGACTTCAGTTCTCATCAGAAATAGTTCAACTTTAAATTTTTATGAAATTTATGTTTTGCAAAGATATTCCATAATTTTTCCATATGAATGAGATTCTATGTGTACTACTATAGTTTCCTGAGCTACCTAGGTATTTGCTTTGAAATAAAATACTAGAAATACGTATTACTAGCTTACTAGCAGTTATCTTTATAGAAAATCAAAATATAACTAAGTCAAATTTATTTATAAAAAGATGTAGTATTTTTAGGGAAAAGGATGATTGACTCAGTTGACTCACGATTGACTTTTTCTCCAAGTTATTGGATCTTTTGCAAGATTGGGTGTGTACATTTTGGTGTTTTACATGACCAGCTCCTCCCCCCACAACTGCTGTGGTTGAGGTAGAGTTTTGGGGGGCGGGTGAGTTTCTTTGAGACAGAGTCTCTCCTTGTAGCCCAGGCTGTCCCCAAACTCAGAGCAGTCCTCCTGTCTTCATCCTCCCCAATCCTGGGATTACAAACATGTGCCCTCATACCAGGGTTAGTTACTGAGACATTTGATGTAAGAATTTTGAAATACAGTTTATTTCAAACTGTATTTGAAACTATATTTGTTTCAAACTGTATTTATTAAGACAAAATACACAGTACAGTCTCAGTTCAATCTCTTCATATTTTCGGTTCCATTATACACAAGTGTTAACAGTTTACTATTCAGTAACTTGTAATTTTATAGATGGGTACTAAAGAATCATTAAGTTATTTAGATGATTTTTATCTTGTGATTTAATTTTGTAAAGCTTATGCTGCAAATAATACAAGAAGTGTGTTCTTTGTTTTATGATTAGGTAATCCAGCTAAAGGAATGGATGATTAAAGTCATCAATGATAACAGTGATATATGTGTAGAAGGAAAACTGACGTAAGTGTGTAACATTTAAATATTCTTTTGTCTTGTGTTTTGGTACCAGAGATCGAACTCATGACCTTGTGCTTGTCAGGCAGGCACTGAGGCCTCTGAGCTGAACACCAGCCCATTTAAATATTCTTATACTATGAGCAGATAAAAGTTTAAGATGATTATGTGTAAAAGCTTAAAAGGTGATATATGAGAAACAGCATCTTCCTACAAAAGAAACACTTCAAGAGGTTATGAACTGAAGGTAAAAGATTATTCAGAAGCCAGGCATAGGGGCGCACGCCTGTACTCTCAGCTCCTGGAGACTAAGGCAGGATTGTCTGGAGTTCAAAGCCAGCCTGGACTACATAGACTTCAGAAACAGCCTAAACTAAATAGTGAGACCTTACCTTAAAAAGCGGGGAAAAAAAACTAGCAGGTTCTTACCATGTTGATTGTTACCAGTGTTTTTGTTTTTGTCTGTTTTCTCAAATTATTTTTTAAAGTAGCTACAGGTCAGATTTGCATGGTGCTTTTTTTGAGGTATTAATGTGTGAACTATTATAATCTGCTTGATTACATATGCTTGGTTGGTATTTATTGTGCATTTTAATTCATATTCTTGCATATGAATGGAAGGCTGTGAATGGAGCAACCAGATATGATACCGATCTAGAGAAGGAGCCAAAAGCATTTAAAATTTTTTCATGTAATAAAATTAGTACTTTCTGGCTTTCCCTAAAATAAGAGCATCAGCAGGTAGGCAGGCTTTACCTAATTCTGTTACTCTATCACCTCATTTTTTGCTTTTCTCAGTAGTAAAACAAATTTGCAATGAAACAGTGCAAGGCATCACTGTTTAAGGTACTTCCATGGCGAGTATTAAAGCTGAGTACATATATGAAGTCTGAGTTTTCTTAGTGCCCATTTTCTTAATATCCAAGATACAGCGAAGGGAACCCCATTGTTGCTGCAGGCTGCAGAATCCCTTGGTCCAGTTACTTGTTCTCTCTCAGTCTCACTTTCTTTATCTGTACAATGAGAGTAGTATATTAGTTCTGAGAATGAAGTGACTTTTTTGTTGTTGTTTTTTAAGACAAAGTCTCACTATGTAGTTCAGCCTGGCCTTGAACTTGCAGCAGTGCAACTGTTAAATGAAATTAAAATGGACGAGAATATTGTGTTAAAGTATAATATAATACGAGTTTAGTATAATATTTAAACCCATTTGACTGAATTAAAAGAATTGCTTATATTTGTAAGTAGTGTTTATTATTATTTGATGAATGAATGGTGCCTAATATATCTTCATTTTTTTTTTCTCCTTTTTAAATCCATGTTTAGCTTCACTTAGAGAAATATAGAGAGTAGATTTATTGGTCAGTCATTTGCACCTATAGTTTGTTTTTTCCTCACCTGAGCCTCTTTTGGTTTTTTGTTGTTGTTTTTGAGACATGATTTTAGTAGTTCAAACTGCTCTTAAACTCACTATGTAGGCCAGGTCGGCCTCGAACTCACTGTGATCCTCTTGCCTTAGCCTCAAGTATCCATACTTGCAGCCACTAAGATTATAGGCATGTGCCTCCACGCCTAGCTTAGTGTCCCCCCATGCCCCATTAGGAGGGTAGTATTGGGAATTGAACTCATGATCTCACGTTTGCCCGGCAGGCATGCTGTGCCCCTAACCTATATCCCCAGCCCTGTTTCACTTATTTATTTTTTTTAATGAAAGGTAAAAACATGTGACTATGTACTAAGGTGGAAAAAAAATCACAAGATTAGATGGATTTAATCTACATTTCTGAGCTAGGCTTGGGAGCAGGCACCTCTATTCCCAGCTATCTGGAAAGCTACAGTAGGAGGATTAAGAGCTCCCCACCAGCCTGGGCAGAATAGCAAGACCCCTCTTTCTGCATAGAAGCACCGTATTAAACCTGAGGCCAAGGACCACAGAAGCTGTGCCCTCAGTTAAGCTGAAGTTGCAAGCACTGCTAGCACCTAATATTTAGGGGGAGCTTCTGCTTCCCTGCTCATGATCCTCTTATGCTGAGAGCATGGTTTCTCCACACATAGCACAATCTCTCTGCACATACTCTTAGCATGTGCCAGGCTGTGGGGTTCTGCTGCCGTGGTTGCCCACACTGGTTTTGCACTTGGACTTACAATATTATCACTGTTGTAGCTAGAGTGCAAAATTACTGCTATGCATCATAAATCTGTACATTGTACTTATATATGTACACTGTGATGCCTGTTAAAATGTGAATAATTTGGTCTTCATCAAACTTCTTTTCCCCCTAGAGACATGATGGACATCTACTGGCATAGTAATGTAATTGTAGAGCGGATTAAACACAATGAACTTAGGACTTTATCAGGCAGCATTTATATATTAAAAGGATTGATAGACCAGATTTCCATGAAAGAAGCAGGTAAATGAGTGTCATTAATAAATTAAATTTTACTAAGTAAAGCATTAAGCCATGTTTCTGAGTGTAAAAAATACATATAGGGTGTGTTTGTTCTACTTTTTAATTAGAAATTTTAAAAGGAATAAATTTTAAAAATTGATCGCATGTGTAAGTTAAGCATTGCTCTCTTTGCTTTCATTCCTCTCCTTTACAACTTTAAGTTTTGTCATTAAAAAACAAGTGGATTACTCTATATATAAGGAATTGCTTTACAAGAATATATATAATTATATATTTAACTGCCTTATTCCTGTCTTTGTTGAACCTAGCCGACCCAACCCCAATCGTAGTATAATCTTAATTGTCTGCCCATGCATTGCACATAACTGAGTATAGTCTACTTTGAATTTGGAATTACCAGCAGCACATTATAGACCCTTAGTGGTCCCTTAGTGCTGCTTGGCACCCTGCTATATTTTCCTAATCCACCTACTCTCCGATCTTCCCTGATGCCTATGTCAGGTTTTTGGAAATGTCTCCTAGCTCTTCCCCACTATTTTCTCAGGTCAGAGGAGAGATGAAGAGAGACCTAGACAGTAGATTGAGTCACAAGAGAACTTCTCTGTCAACTCTGCTCATCTGGTTGCATCCACATGTGCTTGTAGTATGGCTGTACTCTCCATGTTGTCTGTATCAGCCTCCCATTTGTACACTGCTTCCCGTTTACTTCTTTTATTCAAGGACATCACTCCAGTAATTTTCCCTTCTGTTTCTAAAACTTTATCCATACTTGCAGCCACTGCTCTCATGTTAGCAAAACTCAGATTATCTTGCCCAAACCTGATTCCTCTGAAATTGTCCTCAATTTTTTAACTCTTCAATCATACTTTCTCCCACAGTTCTCACAAAAACAGCCTGTATCAGAGTTTCCTGTGGCTCAGCACTGCTAAGTCCTTTGGACATTTACTACAGTCAACCTGCCTACCTCCTTGAAACACTTCATTTGGCTTCTGAACTGCCATATTTCAGTTTTCGTGTTGTCTAATTGCCTGTTTGTTCTTTGTGGTTTCCTTTCTTCTTTGCTTCAAAATAATGGAGTAGTTTAGGGCTCTTTCTACTCTTGGTTCTATGTGATTCCTTTTTTATCATATGTGTTATCATTTGTGTGCTAACAAATGCCAGTTTTATATTTCAAACCAACACTTACGCTAAGTGTTCAGTGCATTTCCCAAGTACTCATTTGACATCTTCAGATGTCATCTACAGAAACTCTGTAATGTTTAAACCCTGATCTTCCCCCCCTTAAATCTGTTTGGCCTAATCTCTTCAACATTTTTCTATTCTTCTAGTGTCTAGTCAAAATCCTTGGAGATATTTTTCAAGCCTTAATTGTTCTCATGCCCACATGTATCATTTTGTTACATCCTACTGGCATTACCTCCAGAATACACCCAGAACCATACCTCTGCTGGTCTCTGTGGTCCACTAGCAAATAAGGCTTTTTACCTTTTCTACGTACTAGAAGGCAAATTCTGTATAGGCAGGGATCTTTGATTTGTGAACTACTGAATCTTCAGTATCTATGACAGTACCTGACACATGGTAAACAATAAATATGTATTACTTTTTGACTGATTTAATGAATTGATATTTTTAACAACCTAGGCTTTTAGATAATTTTTTTCATTTATTGTTAACTAGGATATCCATATTATCTCACAAGAAAATTCATGTTTGGATTTCCAAAAAATTGGAAAGAATACATTACCATTTTTCTAGAACAATTAAGGTAAAGTGTTCAAGTTTTTAAAAATCAGTTATTATTATTATTTTCAATTATATTATTTTAAAAAATAAATTTTACTGAATAATTGCCATTCAATTAAAAAATACCTACTTAGAAACAAAATGTAATGAGCCTTTATAAATATATATTGTCTGTAAACCAATGTAAAGTGGTTTCAATTTTGGGGGGATTTTGGGGGACATGGTGCCACTTTTGAAGTTCTCTTCAATCTTAGAAGAGTTTCAGCAGCCATAACATTTCACTAGAATTCTTGTCATATTGAATAAATCCAAAAGAAAGATAAAACTTCTGGCATATTGCAAGAAGTCTTCACTCACCTTGTTGAGAGCGATATAGCTGTCAATACTGGGCTGAAGGTCTTGGGTTTATTTTCCTTTGATCGATTCTCAGTAGCTATTGAGTGAGTGTCAGCTACTTTGCAGACACTATGATGCACTGGGAAAATAAAATATATGATCAATTCCTGTCTTTCAGGCGCTGATAAGGGTACAGAGTTTAAATTAATCATAGTATAAATAACTTGCAATGGGGACTGGCAGGGGTTTTTTTCTGTAAAGGGCCAGATAGCGTTTTGTAGACATGTTACATGTATTCTAGCCCCTCATGCCTTTATAGCAGAAAAGCAGCTCTAAGTAATGCCTAAATGAATAAGCCTGGCTACACTTCAGTAAACTTTATTTACAGACATTGGCAACTGGCAGCATTTGCCCCATAGTTTTCTTTTAATGTCAGCTTAAGTAGTTACTAAAAAGAAAATGGAGTTGGAATATTTAGAAAGCTGCAGTTAAGGTTTTTGGAGGAGAAGGGGATGGAAGGCTCAAAGGATTTGAAGTGCAACATTAAAGATACTCTTGCCTGGGAGGAAAAAAAGCTTTATGTGACTTTCATTTTTTTATTCATTTGCAATATTAGAGGAAAACAACATGTCTAAAAATCGTTATGAGAGGAAAAATACTTGTTTTTAGGGCTGATGAAAGGAAAAGGAAAAATGCCAGAGAAAAACAGAAAACTGCAAGCTTTGTCCATAACTTACGAAAATCAGTGAAAAAAGATGCAGAAAGCCAAAAGGATAATCTCCAAACCACCAGCAACAATTATGACTATGGTTGTGATAACTCTGGTATGTTTGCTCTTGGTTTTCCTTTGGACATGGTGACAAATTCTTACATAAGCTCTACATTATATGTTCTAGATACGGTATTGTGTTCTTTGGTCCATACTGCCCTAAAATTGCTTTGTTGTTGTTGTTTTTATAAGATAGGTATGATGGCACATACCTGTCATTCTAGCACTCTGGAAGGCTGAGGCAGGTGGATCACAAGTTCAGGCCTATCCTAGGGAACTTGATGACTTAGCAATGCCCTGTCACAAAATGAAAAAGGAGGAAGGGCTGGGAGGATAGCTCAGTACAAAAGCCCTGGGGTCAATCTCCACTACCACATACACACAAATTCCTGCTTTTTTTCACTCCCGAAGTAACTGGGATACAGACAGGTAATGGTCATCTTTCAGCTAATTTCATTAAGTAAACCTTTTCTTTATTTAAAACACCAAAGAACATTGATAAATGTATTGATAAAAGGTAATTGTTCTTTTAGTTTCCTAGACACAGGTGTTTACGCTGACAGTCTACCCCAAACCTGTAGTAAAAACCTACAATTAATCATACTAAGTTTTTTCCTAATAGGAAAAAGCAGCTTGTTTTCTGGAAGGAAATGCCATGTGTTACTGAATGGCCACTGCTGTAAGGGAGGTGGCAGCACTGCAGCCTGCCTCACCTGCCACTCTTACCGCAAGATATGGAAACATTACTTTACAGCCATTTCTAAATAATATGGATGGGTAAAAGTTACTAAGACCTATTATAGACATGTCTTTAAATTTTACCTCGTCCTTGTAAACAACAAGCTGTAAAACTCATGCAAAAATTAATGCTTAATTATAAATTTGAGTTCCAGATTATTTCTGCCAAAAGCAGCGCCAAACTGGGTATGATGGCAAGTGTCGGGGTAATCGCAGCTACTCAGGAGGCAGAGGCAGGAGGATTCCAGTTCCAGGCCAGCCTCGGCAATTTAGTGAGATAGTTTTAAAATAAAATTTAAAAATAGCTAGGGAGCCAGGCATGATGGCACACCCTTGTAATCCCAGGACTCAAGAAGACTGAGGCATCAGGGTCACAAGTTAAGTCCATCCCAAGCAATTTAGCAACAGTCTCAAAATAAAAAAGGGCTGCAGATGGAGTCTCATGGTGGAAGTAATACAAGGACCTGGATTCAGTCCCTAATAACACACACACACACACACACACACAGCACCAGAGTAGATACAAATACACTGGTACCTCTGTCCAGCCACTCCCTGCCTGCATCTTACTGAGCTCACTTCCTTGAAACTTTGTTTATCCTTTTTCATACAGTTAAAAGGATAATTTAACATGTAAATGGCAGCTTGTCCAGAGCTAGCAGAAGGTCTCTTACCATCGCTTTAGTTCCTTCTCAACCCTTAGTTATCAGAAGTCACCTAGCTGGACGTAGCAGTGCAGGCTTCTACTCAGCACTCTGGGAGCCATAGACAGGAATGTCCTAAGTTTGAACCTGGCCTGAGCAGCTCTGCAACTTAGCAAACACCACCTTAACTTTTTTTTTTTTTTTTAAGGAGAGGACTTGGGGGTATAGTTCAGTGCAGAGGCCCTGGGTTCACTCCCTAGTACTGAAAACAAAAACCTATTTCCCTAAATAAGGTATACTGCTTATTGTCATTGGTAGGCTCCTGGAGTCTTCTGGATTCCTACTGACTGTTTTACTCCTAAATCAAAAATATTCTTTGAAGTATATCTACTTATTATTTGTTAATCTTCTTGAATGTAGATCTTACCTGCCCCCAGCAACACATTTTAGGAATTTGAGCTGAATTTGTAAATTTGATAGGTAACCACTCAATATTAAAGCTCCGTCTCTAGACTGATTTTCATAATGGTGGAAATTCCTCAAAAAACTAAAAATAGAATTTCGTTTGATGCAGCTAGTGATACACACATATCCATGTTTATAGTATTTAATTTATAGCTAAATCTTGGAAGCAGGCTGTGTCCATCAACAGATGAAAGAAAATGTATTTATACACAATAGAGTGCTACTCTACTATAAAGGATAATTTGAATCATTTGTAGGAAAATGGATACACCTTAAAATGGATTCACCTTAAGTGAAATCATACAAGCTGTATGATATCTCTTACAAGTCAAGTATAAATGAAAAAGAACAAAATAAAGATGAAAAAAACAGCTAGATCAGCTGCAAACAGGAAGGAGATGGGGAGGTGAAAAGAGGGGAAAGAGGAGTGGGAAAAGGGATGTAAAGGAAGAATGAAGAGGTGCCATGTACATGTACCACACACCCACAGTGAAAGTAGTAAATATGGATCACAAATGTACTAATAAATTTAAAAAATAAAGTACCTTCTAAAGAACTTGATCTATGTTAAGTTTTAGGAACTTAAGGACAAATAAGACCTTAGTACCTGCCTTTAAGAAGCTCAGTTGAGGGACAGATGCTACGGTACTGAATTATGATGATACCATTTTCCCACTATGATTTATTACATAATTGTTGATAAAACTGAGATACCAAATACCTTAAATATCACACAAGGCCCTATACAGAGTAACTAGGTCCAATAAAATTGGTTTTCATCATAATAAAATTACATGAATATGGTACTGGGTTAGACAGATTTTTTTCAAAGCTAGCTGTTTAGTGGAAAAGCAGCTTATCTTTTATAGAATAACTTACTAACTTCTCTATTTTTTTATTTCTCTGTACTCACAGAACCGAAAAGCAGTAAACAAAAAGTGTTGCCTAGAGCTACCAGAGTAAACGTTGCCAGTAATAATTACCAGAGTAAACCAGCAGCAGTCAACTATTGTCAAACTATTGACAGTGTAGGAAGTGATGACTTGGGTAATCAGGTAAGGAATTACTCTATATGCTGTTTGATGTTTACAAGAGTGGTGTGATTCGTGAAAGGGTTCAGGACCCAAATCATAAGACACATGCTTTGTTTGATAAGTAATAGTTTTATCAATCAGTTCAAACTTAGAAAACTACAGAAGTAAAAAGAACTTTAGACTGTTAGAAATCACAATGCTAGAAACATTCAGAAAGCTGAGTGAGGTTTTCTAAGAAGGCTGAAAAGTGAGAGCTGATTCTGATCAAATAGTTGTTGATTTACTAAAACCCAGTAAATATTCTTTTGCAAAGAAGCCACTGTTGGAAAAGAGATGCTGTGATAGGACCTATGTGACCAAGAGAAGATAAAACTATATATATGTTTATTAAGTTATCCAAACACATTGCGTACAAAGTAGCTATCTATTCCAGCTGCCCCAGCAGAAGATAACCAAAGTTCACTTTCCATTCTTGCCAATAGCTGGAAGCTTGTATACTTTTTTCTCCCTTTAAGGCCTTCTGAATCCATTTGAAATATTCTTTCCATGTTGTTTTTATTGCGATTTTTCCTGTAATTTTCACACCCTTTCATTAGCTTTGAAACTAAATAAATTTCTTGATATTTATTTTTCCACACTTCCATTTAAAAAGTACCTGCAAAAGTAACAAAAGTTCTAGCTTTTAGACTGGAACTTAGATGAAAATAAAGTACTTAAAAACCCGTGATGTATTAAATGAATAAAGAAATTATACAGGGTAGCAGCTGCCCGGAATATGCCTCTAAAGTTGAGCAGAGCAAATGAGTTTCTAAATGTCTGCACTAGTAGAATTTATAAAATCAGAAGCATCACAGGTTTGTATGCTTGATATATGCTGTAGAAATGTTGGAGATCATGTTTAAATTGTGGTTGTTAAAAAGCAAGTTCTTTTTGTTTTGAAGGAATTAATTGGCAAAAGAAAGTGTAATAATATGTCTTTAAAGAAACTAAATTGTGAAGAAATAAATGAAAGGATAACTAAAAGTCAGAAACAAGGTAATGTATCCCTAATGATAAGTAGGAAGCTACTTGAAATATTTGAAATGTTTTTAATATGATAAAGGTATCATACAAATTTTCTACTCTAAAATGGTAAACTATAATTTTAAAGGTTTGGATTTGTTAGTTTGACATAAAATGATATGCATAGTAAGATAACATTACTTCAAATGTCATGTTATTTACAAGTTTTTCTTTAATTTAGGTACTAAATGATTTTATTTAGATCATAAAATTATACATTTTAAATATATTTGTACAAATATTTAAATTAATACCTTTTATGAAATAATTCCTTTTATTACATTAATACCATAAGTTTTTGTGTATGGATTTTCAGTGATTTATTGATTTCTTGTGCATCAAAAATTACACTGCCCTTCTGCAAATAGTAGCAAGTTCAAGATTTCATGTTGAGTTAAATCCACCATCTAATAGCATCTTTCTACTACTGAAAAGATGTGGAAATGAAGAATATTTATAAGCATTCAAAAAAGAGAAGAGGAAAGTAATATTGTTTAGACTACCAAATTCTTACAAGTTAGGTTAAAGTACCTAGAAGGGGTTGAATTATTATTTAGATTATGTAATAAAATAATTTTTTAAATCTGGCAGTGTTTTATCCAAAATCAGAATGTTTAAAATCCTCAAATTTCCAATTGAATACTTGTTAGATTCAATGAAGAGTTAGAGGGAAACACTTTCCTCATAATTTGAAGGTATGAGGCAGGTATAGTAGCACATGTTATAGTCCCAGGATTTGGGAGACTGAGGCAGGAAAATTTTCATGTGTTGGGTGCCAGCCTGTTCTCAAAAGACAAAAACAGCAGCAAAAACATTGAAGTATTTGATGGCTGTAAATAAAACTTGTAGAAACTTTCTGTATTACTTTTGATTATTACCACTTCTCTTAAATAACTTAGAGGTTTTTGCTCCAGCATTCAGAATTATCCATTTGTCTCTCAATTTGTTGTTCATCTTGTAAACAATGGCATATAGTACATGTAAGTTGTTGCTGTATTGCATTACAAGGAGTGGTGTAATACTTTAGATGTGTTTAGAATTACATTTGGACTATTTAAAGTTAGAATTTTAGTTTAACTTCTGGTATCTTCAGCTTCAAATTACAAAACTGCACTTACTTTAATTTGCTTTCTTAAAGACATGATATAATAAAGCTTCGCAATTTGTTCCATTTTGGTTATTTTCCCATAATTCATGGAATTTGGGGAGCTTCAACTGATGTGTACCTTCATGCCACAATCTGGGTGAAAGTGGAACTGTGCAGATGGGTTCCATTTCCTTTTATTCCCATTCTTATCTAGCACATACAGTACTACATACCTAGTCAGGTGTTAATGACCAGTGTTTTTCCTATGTCTCCTAAATATTCCTAAATTTGTTAAATCAATTCCAAAGAATTGATTTAACAAATTTTGGAATTGATTTAATAAATATTCTCACCTTGCTAATATTCTCACCTTGCCAAAATACCTAAATATGAAAATAAAGTTATCATTAATATTTTCCCAGTATAATTTAAGAGATATAACTGATACACAGTTGTAATATAGGACACATTACAAATATGAGATTATTTTTTTTTTAATTTTTTTTTTTGTCTTTTTTTATCGGTACCGGGAATCGAACCCGCGACTGCCTGCTTGAGCTAAATCCCCAGCTCCTACAAATATGAGATTATGCAAAGTACTCTGGAAAGTTAATGGAAAATTTAGTGGAGCTTTTATGCAGTTGAGAGAAATCAAGACAAAACTGGGCTAAGTAGGTTAGAAAATAAAATCAAAGCATATAGTGACTTAGTTTGTTAAGTAGAGGAAATTTTTCAAGTAGAATAAGCACCAATAAGTGAAAGTTAAGAACAAAGCAAATTTGAGAAGCAGTAAGTGGTCCTATAAACCTAGAATATGATTCACATTTGAGGATAAAGAAAGCTTGGAAACAAATTGAAAACCAGGCGGAGGAACTGACACGTATTACAGTAGACCATAAGAAGCCTCTGGGGGATTTGTATAATTAGCTGCATATGTTTATAATTGAAGGGGTGGTGATCTGAATAGATCTGTGGTTCAGGAAAATAATAAAATAATAGGACAATAAAGTATATAGCAGGGCTGTTGCAATAAAGTAAATCTTATTTGTGAAAATATTTTTCTTAAATGTATTCATGGTTAATTTGAGATTTTGGCCTTTGGTTTTGTCTTATGAAGTTAAAGAGAAAACTGAAGAATCAAATGTATCTACTGATATTTTGACTTTACGACAACAGCCTTTTCTGGCTGAAGAAAGAAAATACACGACTACCGTTTGGAAAGAAGCTTCTATTTTTGTAACACCACTTAAAACCAAAAAGGCGATAGAGCAAAGATGCATGGAGTATAGTCTGTCCTATTACAACCCCAAAGCAACAACAGATTTTCCTGTGCCAAAGCCTCAAGAGAAACGTGTACAGGACTTAAATGAAAGTCTCATCAGTAAGTCCACAGAGACTTCAGAAAATGCATCTAACATTGTGGATCATAAAAGGGAAAACAAGAAAGAGGGCAATGAACGGGATTTACTCACTATTGACCCGAAAATAACAATACCTACCCCTAAAAAGAAACACATGGGTATTCAAGAGTTTAAGAAAAATGTCAGGTTGCCTTCAAAATTGAAGAAAATTGAAAGTCAAGTAGATGTGCCATTTTATAATCCTCAGTCCTCAACAGATTTTTCAAGTGAAGAGAGTGGAAGTGAATGGGAAATTAGAAGGAAAGCTAGAGGTAAGAAAAACAGAGCAAGAAATAGCAAAGAAACCGTTGCATACCTGAGCAAAAACAAAAGAAGCACCACAAGGATTATCACAGTGACTTCAGAATCTGAAACTGATGACAGTAAAACAGAGGATCTTATCAGAAAGAAGAAAGCTAGGTTTTCTGCTAAGGAAAGCCTGAGCCGTGGTGTGCGGAATGGACTTTCCGTTGAGGCAGTGGGATCTGACAAAACTAGCAAGCATTCCTTAGAAGGTTTACCTGGCTTAAATCTGAATAAGGAGTGGGGTGAGAAAGAATTACAAAAGCTTCACTGGTAAGTAGATTTGACTCTGCAATATATTCCCAGTGACCCCAAAAGCAGCTGAATACATAAAAAGAACAGTAAGGAGCTGATTGGATGACTTACAGTGATTATTATTATAGTGACGTCAGGTTTTGTTGGGGGTTTTTTTATTGTTGTTTTGTTTTTTCAAGAGTGGGATTTCTTGTTACTTCTGATAAATCAGGAGTGGTAAGAATTGGAATTGGCTTCCTAGACTTGAGAAACAGTGCCAATAGTGTAGTCATAGAAATCAGATCATAATTGAATGATGAAGACTTAATAGGAAGGTAAAGACAGAAGGCAGCCTAGGTGGGGAACCAACAAATACAGCAAAGATGGGGAGTGGAAAACTGTAGGGTGATAGGGAGGGAGTGTGATGGTAAGGGGTTATGTTTGCATGCTCTTTCACTTATTGTAAGTGGCTGGTGCCAGAGTGCAGTGTCACTCTGATGCAAATGAGCTAGTGGAAGAAAGGAATATGTGATTGGTAAATCTATGTGATTGGTAAAGAAGGGGTAACGGACACATTCTACATTCAGTATTATTTCCTGTGAACCTCCCAACTTAATGTTCCTTTTAAACCCATTTTCTTGAAATGTTTTTCCAAATGTATATCCATGATTTTGTCCTCCTCAGTTTCTCAGGTGTTTTTCTCTTAATTTTGGGAAGAGAAGGGAGTCTTCTTTCTTTCTAAAACCTTTAGTCAGCTTTTTGCTATGATGTCCACTCAGTCATCTTCCTTCTCCCAGACTAGTTTTCCTCTTCATACTGTGGCTCCAAAGTCTGTCTCTGGCCCTGAATTTTTCCCCTTATGCGAGGGTTTGAGCGTAGGGATTCACATCTCAAGCCCTTTTTATTTTTCAGACAGGTTCTCATTAAATTGCCTAATTTGGCCTATAACTTACAGTCCTCCTGCACCAGCTTCCTAAGTACGTGGGATTACAAGGGTTTGCCACCATGTCCTGTTGAATTCTCTTATTTGCCTTACGGATCTGATGTGATACAGTAAAGGCAAGAGAACCTTAAACTTACTTCCCCATCCTTCTGTTTACTTGGCCTGTTCATTTTTATTTCTGGAACTGTAATTATTTTCATAAACTAGGTTTAAGTCTTTATCATTGTTGATTTTTTTTAACTCTAATTAGTTGGCAAAGAGCTATTCAATCTGCAGTCTGTTTTCTTGACATTTCATTTTCAGACCTTTGATGCCTTTTGCCCAAATTGTGAAAATAGCCTTTTGAGTTGTTTTGTTGGATTTTGGGGGCGGGCCTTGTTTCTGTTTTTACAGTAGTGGGTATAGAATCTAGGGCTTTGTATGTGCTAAGTAATAGTAGCCTTCAATATTTCCAGGTTAATCTGTGGTTCTAATTGATCTTCATTGGACTCTTACTGAACTTCAGATTATGTACTGATGATTCTGTTTGCATCAAGAGCATACCATGTTGTGATTTTATCTTTTTCAGCTGTACCCCTCATTATTTCCTTATAATAAAAATTTTCAAACTTAACTGTTTATTTCAATCATCTAAAGGGATTTCTTTAAATGCCTGGACTGCAGAGATTTTAGTTGCCAAAGATAGAATAAGTGTACTCTACCATTTGTTCTGTGTAGCTATAAAATCTAGGTAGAATGCATGAACAGATTTTTGTCAGTTTAGGAAATAAATACTAATGAGTTGATTGGAGGAATCTAGAATGTGAAATGCCACCAGGCCAGCAGTAAGTTTCCAGTTTTTCTTTTTGTATCCCTGGGTTAGATTCAACGCTACCACAAAGTGAGAAATAGGTATTGAGACCCAAAGAGAGTTCATATCAAAGCTGTTCAGTTCTGGGTTAAGCAGGAAAGGGACCTCTAATACTGAAAAGTAGAAGAAATCTACTTTCTCTTTATTTTCCCTTTAAGGCAGTCCCTTGTAATCCCACAGGGGCCATCAGCTGAGGGCCAGCATATCTAAAACTCAGAACCACCTCTCACTGATCACCTACTTCATAAAATCTTTCCTAGTTATCACCTACTCCTACTAAATTAGAAATGATACCTTTTTTTTTTTTTTTTGTCTTTTTCTTTTTTATCGGTACCGGGGATCGAGCTCACGACTGCCTGCTTGCAAGGCAGGCACTTATGCCGCTGAGCTAAATCCCCAGCCCCTTAGAAATGATATCTTATAAACAACAAAAAGCAATTCCAGTCCTGACTACAGTGAAAGAATTACCTGCAGTTTATGAAAAATACAGATCACTACCATCTCAGACCTACTGGATTGAAATCTTTAGGAGTAAAGTTTAGAGTCTGGTTATTTTACTTATCTGTTTTCTTGCTTGCATTTTTATTGTCAACTTCTCAAGGGAGTCGAGAGTTGTAACCCACTGCTTTGTACCTCTCACTACGCTGCAGTCAGCACACACAGTCATCATTGAAGGAGTTTATAAAAATCTGTATTAAGGCACCCCGAGCTTACTTAGACAGGTACTTAAACTAATCTCTGGAGGACACATAAGAAGTATTTAAGCTAGAGATTCAAAGTACAACTTTTAGCTGAAACACCGAATGTACAAGTAGAATGTGAGAGGACATACTTAGAAGTATGAAAGAAAGCTAAAGCAACTAGAATACTAGTAGTTGAGGAAAGCAACACAAGGTAAAATTAGTGTGTCAAGCAATAACTTTGATCGTAGTAAAGATTTTGGATTTTATGCTAAAAATAATGTAGTATTTTGTTTTGTTTTTGAGACAGGAGCTCATTATGTAGTCAGCCTGGCCCTGAACTCTATGTAACCCAGTCTGGCCTTGAACACATGGTGATCATCCTGCCTCAGCCTCTGGAATGCTGGGATTACAGGCATGTGCCATTGTGCCCAGCAATATAATGAAGTTGACTGAAGTTGTATCTTTATCTTTTTTATAATTATTAGGGATAACCTAGAAGGTGTTTGTTAGCTATTGATCATTTATTACTAAATGCATTTAATGTTTCTATTACAAAATAACCCTTTTAGACAGTTGAAGACTTGCAAATCAGCTATATACACAAATTGGGATGCTTGATCCCCAAATCCTTCTTACTCTCCATTTTAGAACCTTTATGGAGTGATTAATTATACAAAAAAGAATATTCAAAAAATTTTAATATATTAAGGCATTATGGTAGCTCTTGTTGATTTCTTAGTATCTTGTTTTGAAGTCCTGTATTACTTTGTTGTGTTTTGATTGGCTTTATTCTGTTTGGTTTCATTCTCTTTAAAAAAATTTTTAAAAGAGAATTCAGTAAAAAGTGTTCACTGCCCATAGTATTTGCTTGCCTTTTATGTATGGAAGTTATGCTATAGTCACCTGATAACTGTTCACAAGAGTTAACTGTTAAATTTTGAGCAAGTTTACAGTTCAGTTGTTAAGCAGTCATTAAAAACTTATTGCAATGAAATATTGAAAACAAAGGCAATACCCAAGACTCATCACTTGCCTGGGGTTTGGTTCTACATCTAGGTATGGTGGAAATAGCACATAATAGTATTGTGCCAGCACACATCTCCTTCCAACTCATCACCTGCAGTGATGTCAGGCTTGTAGGTGGCAATCAAGCACAGAGGAACTGTTTACCATATGGAAATTGGCAGATACTATATTTCAGAGCTTTTTAACCCCAGAGAGGTGATTAAAAATTTGCTAACATACCTTGTGAACATCATCTACAAATTGGGTTCCTATTTGTAGTAAAAAGATGTTCAGCATTCTGTGTGTGTGGAAGATTTAATTCCAGAATACCAGTTATGGATACCGAAACCCATAGGTGTTTATGTCCCTTGTATATAATTGTGTAGTATTTGTATATAATCTACACAGTCCTCCTGTACAGTCTATGTTAAATCATCTCTAATTATAATATTGAATATAATGTAAGTACTATGTAAATAGCTCTAGTGTCTTGCTTAGGAAATGCAAACAGGAAAAGAAGTTCGTGTGTGTTTTTCCTGAATAAATGCATTTTTTCCTATTGAATCTATCGATTAGAACCATAAATAAGGAAGCCTTCCGTATGTTTTGTCAAAGAAACAGTAAACTAAAGATATAGTTGAAATAATACTGTAGTACAGATTGAACATCCCTAATCTGAAAATCAGAAATGCTCCAAAAACTAGCACTCTATGACTGCTGACAAATGCCACAGAGCAAGACTCCACCCCTGATCTCATGTGATGGCTCATGAGCTTACTAAAATACTGTATAAAATTTTGTTTTTGTTTTGTTTTGTTTTTTGGTCTTTTTTTGTTTTTATCGGTACCAGGGATTGAACTCATGACTGCCTGCTTGGAAGGCAGGCGCTTATGCCGCTGAGCTAAACCCCAGCCCAATACTGTATAAAATTACAGTCCTGATCTGTGGTGCAAAGATGTAGCTCAGTGGTAAAGGGCTTGCCTAGCATCCATGAGCCCTGAGTTCAGCAACCAGCATGGCAAAATGAACAAAAATCTTTTGGTCTGCAGGTACTAAGTCAAGGTGAAACAAATGAATCTTGTGTCCAGGCTTCAGTATCCTCCCTTCAAATCTGTCATTATGTATGTATAGATATTCTAAAATCCACAATCTGAAACATTTTGAAACATAGAAGCATTTTGGATAAGAGATACTCAGCCTGTACCACTTTAAGGCTAATTGGTGACTTAAATATATGTTTTCTGGCTGAACTCGTCAGCCTGCCTATAGTAATACTATGTTTTTATTGTAGGCGGGGATGTATATATATACACACACACACACACATACACACCAGATTTTGGATAATCACTTATAAGTGAACGTTTTGAAAGCAATTCATATGTTAAGAACTACATTATGTTCCCATCTCAGCAGTGGTAGAAAAAAAGAAAAAAACTACATTATGTTTAGGAAATACTTTTTATTTCACTTGTTTTCCTTAATAAAGAACATGTTTTTCCTAAAATCCTGAAGTTAGCCAGCCATGGTAGCATATTCCTGTAATCCTAGCACTCAGGTGGCTGAGACAGGAGTTTGGCCACAAGTTAGAGGCCAGCCCAAGCTACATAATAAGTTCAAAGCCAGCGTAAACTAGATAGTGAGAGCCTGTCTCTAAATAAATAAAAAAATTATTATCAGGTATACAAGTTAATATAATAAATCAAGCATAAAACTTTTCTTATTATTGCTAACACGTTAATTGTTAAATTAACAGATTTTACTGTGAGAGTAAATACATGCCTGCATCGCACATTGATCATATCAATCCCCCTTACATAAAACTTTCTGATAGAGTTTATAACCTTGACTACTTTAGAACTAAGAATTTATTTCCTGGCATACTTAGCACCAGTAAGATTAAAGAAACACTGTATAAAAGATAGTCATGCCACGGTCCCCAAAATCTCATACCACTGACTAGTTGACACATCCCTGTAACCCCAGGATTTAAGGGGCTGAAGCAGGAGGCTCAAGAGTTTCACATCAGCTGGGCTACCGAGGCCTTGTCTCAAAAAAAAGTTGAAAGATGAGAAGTTTTCAGGTTTAATAGAATACAATGAAAGAGCTAGGAGGCATTCTTTTAATATGTAAAATGACATCTTCAAATTTGAAGGACTGGAGTAAGTTACTTAGTAAAGAGAACAGTGTTTTTTTTTCCCAAAATAGATGGCTAAAATAATTCTGCTATAATTCCTTCAGCCCAGTACATCTCATTAGCTCAGTCAGTGGTATGCCTTTAGGAATTTACTTTTATCAATTCAAAGTTCTTGTTCCTTTTGGTCTTCCCTAGTGCTTTTGCATCTCTTCCAAAACATAAACCTGGTTTCTGGTCCGATGTAGCTCTGATGGTAGGTTCTCGAACTGCTGAAGAATGCCAGAAGAAATACATGGAAGATCCTCAAGACAAAGTATCTCAGAAGAACACCACCAAGAGAAAGCAAGACATTGCTAAAGGCCAAGATGGTAACTTTTGTAATAGTTTTTTTCTAGCAGCCCCATATATTTCCAGTTACTCACCAGCTATATTTGTCCATGAAACTTGTTATAGGTATTTTCTTAAGATATTAAAGCTCAAAGATCAAGTTTAATTTTTAAGTCTTAACCTTGGTAGTTACTTCCATCAATAGTAATTTAGTACTTTTGTGCTTTGAATTTTTTCTAACAAAATCTGAAATTGAATACAAAGATTTCAATTCATGAATTATTGCTTTGAGGGTCTAATTTGAGGTACTTGATTAAGATCCCCCAGTAATTCATGAAGAAATTGAGACTAAATTTAATTTCCATAGTCCCAGGATTATACACTCCTGTCCATAATTCCTAGTAAAAGGTGTTTTATGCCAGAAAATTTCTAGTAAGCTTCAGAGAATACTTAGTAGCCTAGCTTAGTTCACTGTGGTTTACATTTTAGCAAAATAAATCAGCCCAGCACTCAGGAAGGAGAGTGTGAGATGTCACTTTCCTCGCCTTATAATGCCAGCTACAATGTCACCATGCCTGATCTTCATGATTGCCTTGTGAGCCAGCTCTACTGCACAGATCTCAATGTGGAATCCCCTGCTGTACAGGAAGCCATTAAAATAACAGAGGCTGTCAAGTTTAAAAAGCAGTTGCTGTACATGATCAAATCCTTACCGAAATATCTTATTAACTCTTTAAGGTGAGAGAGACAGTGCTAATAAGACGAAGACTGTTCAGATAACTGCCAAAGTGGGAACACTTAAAAGGAAGCAACAAATCAGGGAATTTTTGGAAAAGATGCCAGAAGAGGATCATGATGATTTTTTTACTGCCACACCTTTGCGTAATCAGAGAGTAAGGGTAAGAGTCTCAAGTGCATGAAACTGCTATTTGCTTTACTTTTGTTGACATCCGCATCTTTCATTTGTATGTGTGGTTAGTGTGTATCACTAATATTTAGGGGAAATAGCAATATCCCCCATAGATATGACCAAAGAACAGTACAGGAAACCCTGTGCTGAAACCTGTCATTTTCAAAGGTTTGTAACATCTTTTATCAATTTGAAGGCACGGTTTATAAAACTAAACAGAAAACAAAGAAATAAGCCAAACATAGCAATTTATACTTTAAGATGATTCTAAATAGTGGAACAGAGGTGCCCAGCTCTCACCATTTCCTCCATAAAGACAGCCAAAGCAACAGGAAGATAACTGCATTTCGAGAGCCTGGACTGCTGTAGCTTGGCACAGTCTCAGTCAGAGTTCATACTACCCTAGGAGACAGAGCCTCATGTGTCTTAAGCCGCAGGTCCCACTGATACTCTGCCACACTGGGACAGGGGTCTGCAACTTTACAAACTTAACTAGTCCCAGTTCTTTAGAGACTCTAGCACCAGGCCTGCACAGTGCACTACATGACGAGACACAGGTGGTCAGACCTGCTGGCGCTGGGCCGTGACTGCAGCCCTGCCTTTGGTGAGGGCGCATACCCAATACCCCAGCACCACTGCAGCTGCAGCCACATGCCTCTGCCAACAGCAGAGCTTATGCCTCAAGGGTTTTACTGTACTGTGTTCCTGATGCCACCACTGCCATTGCCAGTGGCTACACAGTGTGGCTGCAGACCTGTTAGTGTGTGAATCACATTGCCTGGGCCACTAGAGTGCTTCTGCCTCTGTGTGGCCCTCATACATAGGCTCCAATCTCCCTGCTGCATGCACACACCCAGAGTCATTTATTACATCTGAAATTGTTAGAGGAGGACTCAACTGGAACCAATGTAGCCTCCCAAACCAACACCTTAAAACACATCTGGAGAGCTGGGCACAGTACATCTACCTGAAAGTCTAGCACGTGAGGCTGAGCAGGAAAAGCATCAAGTTCAAAACCAGCCTGACTATAACAAGACCCTGTCCCAAGAAACTAGACTATGCCAGGAATAGTGGCAGAGGCCTACACTCTTAGCAAACTGGGATTCTAAAGTAGTAGGATGATAAGTTTGAACCTACTTTGGGTGCAACTTAATGACTTACCAAGACGCTGCCTCAAAATTTAAGAAATATGAAGATTTCTTCTAGGGAATCAGCTCAGTATGAAGTCCTAGGGTTCAATTTCTAGTACCAAAAACAAAAAACTCCACTACCACCACCACAAGAAAAAGCAGTGTATCTGGAGAAAGCTATGAAAACTTACAAAAGTATAGAATCAGCTGATCTGCCACATTCAGAAAAAGCAAATGTGGGAACATAAGTATGAAAAAAAAAATCAAGGTAATATGACACCTCCAAAGTAACACAAAAGACCCCAAAGAAAGATACTGATGAATTGTCTTAAAGAATTCAAAAGAATGATCCTAAGTAAATTCAGTGAGGTACAAGATAATGCAGGCAGGCAATCCAGTGAAAGTAAGAAAACAGCTGTTGCTATGAGTAAGAAGCTCAGCAAAGAAATGAAATCATGAAAAAGAATAAGCCAGAAATCTTGTAATTGAAGAACTCATTAGGTCAAATAAAAAATACAGTTAAGAACTTTACCAACATTTTAGATGAAACAAAAGGCAGAAATTTTAACTTAAAAAAATTTTTTGAAATATTGCAGTCAGACAAAAAAGAAAAGGAAAAGAGAATAAAGATCGCCTCTGAGACCTACACATTAAATGAAAAATATTCAAATTATGGGGTTCCACAAGGTAAAGAGAAAGGAAATGAACAGAAAAGCTAGTCATTAAAATAATAGCTCATAACTCCCCTAATCTTGGGAAAGATGGAAATATACATGTCCAGGAGACTAAAGAGACCCAAATATATTTGAGTGAAAACATCCTCTTACTTGCATATGATTTTTTTTTTTTTTTTTTTTTTTTTGGTCCCGAGGATTGAACTCATAACCTCACATTTGCCAAGCAGGCATTTACACCGCTGAGCTAAACCTACCTTGCATATGATACTGAAATTGACAAAAGTCCAAGACAAAGAATTCAAAAAACAGCAAGAGAAAATACCAGGTCACATTTAAGGGAACCCCACAGACCAACAGCAGTTTTCTTAACAGAAACCTTAAGACAGAATAAACAGGATATATATTACAGGAGAGAATATAGTAATGTATTCGATATTCTAAAAGAAAAAAGGAATCTGTCAATCAGGGGTAGCATAATGAGCAATCCAATCCTTTAAGGTGAAGGAGAAACAGTATCTTTCTAAGAAAGAAAAAACAAATTCATCATCACTACACAGCACCTCTAAGAAATGCATAAAGGAATACAGCATCTAATGGTGAAACAATAAGTACTACATTATAAAACCATGCAAAAGTCTAATGCTCACTGCTACAGAAGATATGTAAATACAAAGGAAAAGAAGTGAGTCCTATGCTACAAGAAACCACCAGACCACAAAACATGAGATGGAAAGCATCAAAAAATCAGAGACCAATTAGCAAAATAGCAAGAGATCTAAAATTTTGTTATAATCTTGAATGTTGACCTCAGTCAAAAGATACAGAGTAGCAAAATAGATTACCTGACTATATAGTACTAGAAGAAATTTTACCACTAAACCTCCTATAGACTAAATGGTTAGGAAAAAGTATTCCACACCAGTGGAAAAAAAATGAGCAGGAATACCTATACTTAGGTCAGATACAAGACTATAAATTAAAAAACACAAAAAGAGACAAAGAATGTCACTATATGATAAGTCAGTTCAACAAAAGGAAGTAACAGTTATAAACATACATATACCCAATGCTGGAACACCCAGTTACATAAAGCAATTTAAAAATACAGTAACAGCCAGGCATGGTGGCCCACATGCATAAGCTCAGCAACTGGGAAGCTGAGGCAGGAGGATTGCACCGAGTGCAGGACCAGGACTACATAGTGAGTTAAAGGCCAGCCTGAACAACACAGTGAGACCCTGTCTTAACAAAAATTAATATACAGGGCAACACTTTTTAAGGATATAAAAAGTTTTATGAAGAATAGCGTAAGTAAAAACTAGTGAGTGGCATAAAATATTGGCAACAAATAACAGTCATTAATGTCACTAATATACAGAATTACTAGTGATTGGCATAAAATATTGACAACAAATACAACACAGTCATGAATATCTCTAATATACAGAATTCAAAGCCAGGTGAGGTGGCAAACTCCTGTAATCCCAAAACTTGCAAGGCTGAGGCAGAAAAACTGTTGTGAGTTCGAGACCAGCCTAGCCTACAAAGTGAACCCAAGAGCAGCCTGAACTGCACAGTTAGATCCCATCTCAAAAACACACACACACACACAAAAATCAAATGTAACTGAAATAAGACAGTATCAAGATTACAGAAAAAAGTACACAAATTTAAAAGATTGAAGAAACATTTGAGGAAGTAATTGTTTACTAGTGATAGAAGAAAATAGATTGTATGTATACCTTCTAAATTAAAGAATCTTTTTAAAGAAAATATCTCCACTGTCAAAAGCAAATCTGATACCAGTGCAGTCACATTGTAAGTGGAGGCAGCAACACATTAATAGCTTGCAGAAAACATTATGGTAATGCATTTCAAAAGTCATGAAGATGAATTCTGTTTTTGAGAGTTCATTCTAAGAAATTGAGAAGATCAAAAAATTTATAAAGATACTCACTGTACATTTATCTTTATAGCAAAACCTGGAAATAATTTACATATGCAATAAATTTATTTCATCAGTGAAATATGGTACAAATGTCACATGCAAATTTAAGATTGTTTCTAGAATCTATTATTGCTTAAGATTAATACACACATATACAGATAGAGACAACTAATCTATTAACCCTTCAATGCTTAGTGATCCATTTTTGGAATTCACATACACATAATGAGACATAAATGGTTTCAAATTCTTGTTCCTTGGATTTTTTTTTAAGTAACATACATGAATTTCACACAAAAATTCAAAAAATATCAATTTTAGGCATAAATGGGTTAAGTATAAAAATTTAAAGATTCCAATTAGTGATCCAAACTTCAGTTTTAAAAGCCTGTCTAGTGCTTTACAAAGTTGAGTAATAGAATTATTTTGGTCTCCTTTGTACTTACACAAGTTATAAAGCATTGTTATTTGAAGCCAGTAATGTGAGGCCTGCCTTTCCAATGCACCATGGTTCGTTAGGGATTATACTCTATGCATAATCCCCACCATCATTTCATGTCCCAGACATGAATATGTGGCACTAAAGGCAATAGCAACAATATTAAAAACAAAATAAAAAAAGCAGTGAATTTGCCCATTTTCTGTAGCATGCCTATTATTTTAATAACTTTAAGGAAGAATTAATATAAGTATTGAATCATTCATGTGTATAAAGGTTTAATACTGGTTGAGTACCTACTAATTATCAAGCATCATAGTTAATAAATTAGTTTTGTTTTGTCTCTACCCTTTACGCCAAATTCAACCTATTGCCTGTTTTTCCAAACCAACTTATTGGACCCCAGCAATGCCCAGTTGTTTGCATATTGCCTGTGGCTATTTCCATGCGACATTGACAGTTCTCTTTACAGAAAATAGTTGCCTATCTCTGGTCTGTACAGCCTTTATAAGTAGTTGTCATTGTCTCCATTTTGAGAACAAATTGGTTTCTTAGGAACTAATGCTGTCATCTATCTGCTACTTTTATAAATTATCAAATCTGGACAGTTACAAGGAAAACAACTTGGCCCACTAAAAATCATTTTGTGATAAGAAAATTCATTTTTACAGGTATCTGCTGAAAATATTTGTTTTCCATTGTCAAGATGATGATGATATTCTGCCCAATTTGTTTCCTAGCTGCCAAGTTTCTGGGACAGTCAAGACCATGACGACATTCTGCCAGCTATGGACAGAAATCCAGCAACTCCATCATCTGCCTCGCTCCCACTGGCAGAAACCCCTCAGTGTCAGCATGTCAGCCCTGGCATGCTAGCCTCTATCAAAAGGCAAGTATGTGTCTGTGTCATGTGTTGATTTCCTGCATCAGCAGACCCAGGAACATTTAATTATTCTGTATTTTGAGGTATTTTTGTTTTGCCTTTTGTTGCAGTGGTTTTGGGAATAGATCTTACTATACTAAATAATCCAAATTGCCTCAAATTTGGGGTCCTTCTGCCTTGGCCTCCCAAGTAGCTGGGATTACAGGGGGTAGTAATCCCTGTAAACCTGACAGGCATAGAATCTTTATAAGAGGGAGGCACAAGGGTTAGAGAGAGAGGAGCTAGGACATGACAAGCAGAGACGGGCACAGTGCAGCCCAGAGCTCAAGAGCACTGCAGCCTCTAGATCCTCCCCCGAGTCCGGCCAAAGGAGCGAGCTCTGCTGTCTCACTGATTTTACGTAGCCTCTGATTCCTTTCAGACTCCTGAGCCTCAGAACCCTGAGACAATAAACTTGCGTTGACTGACACTGCTAAATCTGTAGCAATTTGTCACAGCAGCCCCTGGAAACTAACACACCAGACAGTGTCTGGTCCCCTGGGTGAGAGGCAAGGAAGGGCCAAAGCCTGGGTGTTTCCAGGGTTTGACTCCCACGCCTGTAACCCTGTGGCGGCATGGTAGCAAGGAGATGTGGAGTCTGCCAGGCTGATCCAACCAGACTCCCCATCACATCATGTTCTCTTTTCCGGTCTTCACACAGCTGTCCACCACCTGTGCCTAGATTTAGGGTTCAGGGTAGGCCAAAGGTCAGGAGGGGTTCCCGGGCCTGGGTCAGCTGCTGGCCCGAAACTGAGGAGAGGATGCAGATTGCTGATTTACTCTCCTGGTCTCCGCCAGTACTGACTGGGCTTGTCCAACCTTGCTCACTGAGCCAAGAGCCAGCTTCCGAGCTGTTGGTGCAGTGGTTTGGGCTTTCCCAAGGTCATCTCGGCCGTGTTCCTCTTGTACTGTTGTCTCTCCTAAGCGTTTTGTAAGTTGAGGAATGCAGAACCAGTAATAGAAGTTACCATTATTTAAAATGAAAAATGAATAATTCCTAAAAGGATGGAAAGATTCAGCAAGGTAAGACTGTTAGGTGATAAACTGTATTGGAATCTAGCTCACATCTTACAACACAATAAATTCCAGAGACCTTGTGTACCCTAGAACAACTTCCACTCTTTGCAGCTCTCATCTGGTCTATAAGCCCAGGGGAGGTAAACAGGCTGGAGGGAAATGTCTTCCCAAGCTCGCAGTCTTTCCATCGTGCTGAAATCCTTACTTTGCATAACTCAGAATGTTTTGTGGGGTTTTTTCCTCGACCACACTTGCTGTGGGGGAAATTCCAGCTCTTTCTGGGCAGAGTAGAAGATTCTTTCTGTCCAAGTCCTGAGACTTGTAGTTCGGAATTCCAGGTTGTCTTATGGTAGCAATATTTTCTGTAACGGACACTCGGTTTCCCAAAGTGTTTCCTGAGGCTCAGGATGTGTGTGGCAAGCTGCCTATGTGTCAGGGCAGATGGCCACTCTGCACAGGACCAGAGCCAGACAAAGGGACATACGTCCAGTGCCCAGAACCCTAAGGGTTTTGGGAAAGAGAAACACCTAACAGCCTTACATTTGAGGAAGTGATACACTGATGAGGCAATAAGCAAAGCACAACTTCCTAGAACTGTCTTATTCGATGTTTCCTTCAAAATACTAGGTTAAAGCTGGGCATGGGGCACACACCTGTAATCACAGCCTTCAAGGAGGCTGAGGCAGGAGGATCAGAAGTTCAAGCCCAGCCAGAGAATTTATCAACCTAGAGAACCTAGTCTCAAAATGAATTCTAAAATGGGGTGGGAAAGTAGCTCACTGCAGAGGCCCTACTTCAGTTCCTAGGACTGAAGAAAAACAGTGTAGCATTTTGCTCCCTACCTAGGTACATCACTGTAATCTTTAAACTAGAAAATCTGCTTTCTCAAAATTGGAATAGATTTTATCAATCACTGTTCAATTTGTGGGTAAAAATATAATTAATGTTGACTTGTAATTGGTTATATCCAAACAGGAATGAATGTGATAAATATGTTTCTCGTATACAAAAAACTCATAAAAGTAATGGTGGCATTGTTTGGGGCAACGTTAAGAAAAAAAAAGTAAGTATTTTTATTCTCACGTATCCATTCTTATCTATAGAGCAGTATAATATGTGCTACATTGTGGTAAATACAATTTACACCCTCCAGGGACATTAGACTGAAGTGATACTAACTTACTGGTATGAATGAGGTAAGTATAAAAATGTTGTATGTAAGGTTACAGATGGCAGTTTACAGTCAAGAATTGAAGCCAGGTGAGAATGAGTAAAAAATTTCCATTGAAAAGTGAAGGTAAAATACAGGTCAGGGAAGGGCAAGTCAAGCTGTATACAGTACCAATTTGCTGACCGGGTAATCATCCATCCACGGTTTCATAGAATAAGAACTTCTCATCCCCTGCATCTTTAAAATAATTTCAGATGTGTGTGTTTGTCTGTTTTGAGAGAAGGTCTCACTCTGTGGTTCAGGCTGGACTTGAACTATGTAGCAAGGCTGGCCTGGTACTCAATGATTCTCCTGCCTCAGCCTCCTAAGTGCTAGGCCTGGCTTCAAATGTATTTATTTTTTTAAAGACTCAACTACTTAATTTTTTTTAACATTTAAAATACAATTAGAAAAATTAACGTTGCCTTTAAAATGATCGCTAGCGCCTTGAGAAAAAAAATTAAGAAAATCCTTTATCCCCTTAGATTTGTCTTTAAATATTAAGTTTCTTACCTTAATTTGAACAACTGATAACCAGACATAATTTCTAAGTTTCTAGGAAAGGTGGGTCACCTCAAATTTCCACAGACTAAATAGCCAATGCTTTTATAATTTATAGAAGTGTTTTGGGGGACTCCTTTGTCCCCTGAAAGTATCCTCTAGAGTAGGATATGGCCAGCCTTCTCTATCATATGTACTTTTACTAACCAAAGTATAATTCCTCTCAAGAGTCTGTAAATACTGAGATTATGTAATCACACCCAACTTCATGGACTTTGTGTGTACATGGGAAATAGTGGGGACTTTGATTTAAATTTAGTCTGGGCACTCAGTTCTTCCAAAGAACTCTGTACTGTGTAGTAAAATCAGCCTTCTTGCTTTCAAGATCCTTTTATCATGTTCCACACTCCTTGATGAGAATGAAGATTTGTTATTTTGCAAACATCTTGGAATTAATGCAATGGGAGCCTAAAGATTTGGCTTCTCCTCAGTTTGGCAGTAACTTTGCTTTGATAAGGGCCCTCCTGCAGTGTTTCTCAAATGTGGGTACAGTTCACCTGAAGATCTTGTTACAGCCCGGATTCTGAACTAGTAGTTGGAGGTCTTCATTTCTGTTGAGATACAGTTGATCCACAGACTATACAGAGTGGCAAGGCTACAACATACTTAGTCCATTGTCTCTGTAAAGTGAGAAAAGTCTGATGGAGGTTTTCTAAAGTCCTTTCTAGCCAGACATGGCGGTGGATTCCTGTAATCCCAGCACTGTGGGAGGTTGAGGTAAGAGGATCACCAGCCTGAACAGTTTAGTGAGTCTCTCTCAAAAAATCTAAAAAGGTTGGGGGCATATCTCAGTGTGAAAGTCCTGGATTCAATCCTCAGTAAAAGAAAAACCAAAACAAAAAAGTTGCTTCCTTTTAGGAACTCTAATTTCTGTTCCTGGGGCCATTTTATTACTTTGTAAATTTTTCATTAGTACATGTTTATAGTACATAATGATTATATTCATTATGGGGAGTTGGTGCATGTTTCTAACACATCTTATTTCTATGTCCCCTATAAGCATGAATTTTTATCTCCACATTTCTTATTAATAGTACTTATGCTTAGTTTAAAAGGTATAGTATGTTATATTTTCTATTGTTTATTTTTTAAAGGAAAAAAATGGCCAATACTTTGAAAAGTATTGTATATGTGTATGCACTTAAAACTTGCCATACATGTTATTACCATTTTAGCCAAGAATCTCAAGTACAGGGTGTTTCCCTTATTATACTGTGTTTTCTAAATGTAGTGTTCTTGTTTTTAAGTACACTGGTTAGTTATCTTAATTATGCTAAAATGTATGTATTTTTAGTTAAGTTTTACTAGGCCAAGATAGTAACTATATAAGTACATAGTACAATTTGAGAACTTATAGAAGTTTACCCTTTAGTCACTGGAGCACCAGTGTATAAATATTTCCTTATAGTAATGTTTGCCAACAGGGAAAAACAATGCATACTAAGTTAAGGTTTTTGCCCTGGATAAACTCGAGAATTCAGGAACAGTAACAATAAAGTGAATGGTGCTGTGGGCACACATTTAAAATGTTTCTCTGGAGGCTGGGGATTTAGCTCAGGGGCATAAGCACCTGCCTTGCATGCAGGCAGTTGTGAGTTCGATCCCCAGTACCAATAAAAAGAAAAAAGACCCAAAAAAAAAAAAAAAAAAAAAATGTTTCTCTGGAGAGAAAGCGTATTTCATTCTGTCTAGCTTGTGTCACTGGAAATACCATTTACTCATAGCATTAATATGAACTCTCTTCTAGGTTGAAACTGCTTTCTCAACCTCACCATTAAGAAGAACACTGTTCAACCAAGGTAATTTCTTTTTGTTCATCAGACCTGCCATTTAGCTTCTTACAGATGTTTTCAGCTTCACTGAAATTACTTGGAAATTTATTAATCCTTTGTACTAAACTTCTTTTTTACAGATTTAGGTGAAAAGTCTGGTATTGGAAAACTTTGCATTAATGCTATGGAATCTTTAGATGAAGAAGAGAAAGATTATTATTTTTCAAACTCTGATTCTGCATAGATTTCTGATTCTGATTTCCAGGATTCTCATGAAAAACAGATGGTATATTTGTATCTACATTTAGAAAATATTTATGTATTTTCTTTATGATGTAGGTCCATATGAAAATGTGGATTCTTTTTCCAAAGGTTTCATGTTTGCATGCAAAGTAAAATATTCTAAAATATTCCTCATTGCTGCAGCTTATCAAACATGTAAGCAAAATTGTTTTGTGTTTTCTGTAAATATGGTTGTAATATTAAAATGTATGTAGTCAACTCAAGTATTCAAGTCTGCTTGCTTTAATAAAATCATGTCCTAAATAAACTAGTTATTGTGCTCCAGATTTCCTAGGGTTGGATTGGTGACTACTGAATTTTAACTTTTCTGCTACCAGATATTAAAGCCATAACTGATCTAATGTTTGTATTACGTACTGTTGAAACCATTTGACATGCTTCTCTCCTGATTGTTTCCTCTTGAAACTTGTGAATTAATACTTCACTGTTTTATTAAATAGAACCAGAAAATAGACTTGCATTTTGTAGCTTTTTACATAAATGAACCTAGTTTAACTTTGGTCTCAGTATTAAAATGACTAGCCAGGCATGGTGGCATACACCTCAAGTCAGTCACAAGTTTGAGGCCAGCCTGGTCTACCTAGTGAGTCCAAGGTCAACCTGAACTACTATAGCAAGACCCTGTCTTAAAAGACTAAAAATATACAAAAGATCGGTCATTCAGTTAATAGGTCCATTATTATAAGGAATCAAATTAAGTTACAGTAAATACCCTTTTTCTTTCACTAATAGCTCCTTTAGAAATAAACTTTTAGCTTATTCTACCAATTATATTTTTAAAATTGACATAAAATATCTTCCCTCTGGTTATAGTATATATTCACCTACCTTTCTTTCCAGTTAGATTGTTCAAATAAAGTTAGTTTGCTTTTACAGGATTTGTTTCTGAGTTATTATTTTTGGTGTGTATGTGTTTAACTGTCCAGAGAAAGAAAACAAATGTCCATTCTGTTAATAGTTGTAAATTTCCTCAAAAAATACCTGAACTTTTAGTAGAAAATAATGTCTTTGAGTGAGTTTTTTGTTTTTAGAATTTTAGTCAGTAACAACCAGCACTTCCACCATCACTATAGGATCCTTCTATAAACTACATATGATAATTCCTGTCCCAAGGACCCTCCATCATTGTAGATGGAGGATAGGAAGAAGGAAAGGACTGTTGTGGAGGGTCTTTAAAAAGACCTGCTGTCGAACCTGAGTTTCCAGTGGATGCTGTGTTGTCTGAGGTTAATGGGCAGTGATCTGGAAGTTAAGGTTATACCAAACCCCAAACAGAGCTTCTCCCCGCCCCACCCCCCGCCGCCCCCAACAGAGCATTTTGACTCGACCTGGGCTTGAGGCTGATCAGGGAGTCTGACTTAACTTTCTTTCTAGTCTACCCCAGCTACTAGGTACCTGGTGGTCCCAGCTCTATTTAGTCATAAAAATAAGCTAACAATAATGCTTAAGGTAAGTGACCTCCAGAGAAGACTTAAATGTAGAAAACCAAAAGACTCAAGGCTCAAGGACAAAATAATCAGTAGGACTTCTAATCAGGGTTACGTTGTTAAGGGATGCCAAGGAGAACATAAGCAGCAACTGCAACCGGGATGATTTATAATTCATAAATAAATGAAATCCTGTGTGTTACTTCTCTCCCATCATGTTAGTTTTTTGTGGGATAAGAGGATACAGAGAACTGACAGCGTGTGGTCGCCCGTGGGAAGGCTTGTGCAAGGTCAGCCATCCAGGTCAGTGTGCAGGTTTGGAGGGACCCTGTGACTTATTTTTGAGCCTCATTGTTATTATATGAGAGGAAAGACAAAAGCAATTTGAATTAGTTGAGCTCTGCTTGCCTTGTATCTATCAAGTCTAAAATGAGCACAGTGCTATACTGTGACTGGTTCAACTACCCAACAGTGTTAATGAGAGAAAAGTAAGGTCACCAGGAAATGAAGGACTCTGGGTGGAGGGGGAAATAGCCCCTAATTAAAGGCTACTTAACTGCACATGGTCTGTGCATAGTATGTGTGTGGCGATGCATGCACAGGACTGAGCCCCAGAAGCATGTGGCCCCGCCACAGCTTTGCATGGACCCAGCGGCCGAGCACGCAGATCACATTCTCAGACTTTTTCATAGCCTCTCACCAGACAAGGAGCAGAAGGGAGGGCCTCATTCACACTGCAGATACAAACATGGACTCATCTTAAACATGCAAGACCATTGCCAGTGGTACAGTGCGTCAGAAGGCAAATCCACATTCAACAGCATACAGAAAAAGCAGCCTTCCAGGTCCAAGTCCAAAACTCTGCCTTTGAATGTATTTCAGCAACAAAAACAATGTACCTTGAAGTTCACGTTACCACGATTTGACCTTATCTTTGGTGGACATAACATTCAATTAAATTTTATTTCCTTGCACAGGGTCATTTATCCGACAGCTCAACTTCCATCATAACCCCAGTATCTTAGTTGCTTTCTTGTTCCTGAGATAAAATATCCCACGCCAAATTAAAGGAGAAAAGGTTTATTTGGCTCACGGTTTGTAGAGGTTTCAGTGCATAGTCGGCTGGCTCCGAGGCAATGGCATCACAAAGGAGAAGCAGTCTGTGGCAGTGAAGTAGCTTAGAAGCAACTGCAAGCAAACAGCAACTGAAAAGCGACCACAGCAGCCCTCTTTCTGCGCACCCTTAAGAAAGGTAGCTCGCACCAGAGGTGGGTCTTCTTATCACCTACATGCTGAATTCACCAAACCAATCAGTGGACTAATTTAGTAATCACACACCCTTGATCCTAGCACCGCAAAAACTAAATCCAGCCACCTATGAAAAGCCCCACCTAACACCAACTGAAGCTTTGCAGAGACCCAGTCATAAGTCATAACACCTGGTTATTAAACTACCCTCAACAGCACTTTTAACAAATGTTGATTTAATTTTAAAAGTTAATTTCGACCGGGTGCGGTGGGCACACTTGTAATCCTAGCTCAGGATGTTGAGGCACAAGGATCACCTCAAGTTCAAGGCCAGCCTGGGCTATAAAGTGAGTTCAAGGCCAGCCTGAACCAGATAGTGAAATGCTGCCTCAAAAAGAGATCCAAAAAAAAAGGTTAGTTTCATACTTTAGTCAAAATGATATTGCACAACACATTCCCTTTTTTAATAACTTATATATTGCATATAAATAAAAATACAAAAAATATCTTTAAGTCATAAGGAAATATTTACATGTTTTAAACTGATAATCACAAACCACAATGGTTGAAGTGCATTAGTATTGTGAGAATTCAGTAACAGCATCTTGAGTGCTCTGATCATGAATCAGATCTCAGTCTATCTTGGTTAAGATCGTTTGGTAACATTTGCATGTCAAATACATAGTGAATGTATCTATAAATTTCCTCGGCTTTTTGATGAGTCACTTGTGCATACATGGAGATTTCTGCAGGTGAGCTGGAAAATAAATGGCACAGAGCAAAACATTATATTAAAATCTTTGGCTTTTATAAAATTTAATATTCTTGGGCAGGGATTTAGCTCAGCAGCGTAAGTGCTTGTCTAGCAAGCCTGAGGTCATGAGTTTGATCCCCAGTACCAAAAAAAAAAAAAAAAAAAAAAAAAAGATTAATAAAACTTAATATTCTTATCTAAAAAACACCAATCAGCAAAAATAAAGATTCCGACATCTGCGATGCACTAAACATAGGTGGTCCCCTAAAATTCATACATTGGCACCCTAGTGCCCCTTTGTTAGTGGTTTGAAGACAGTTTGTGCCCACCAAAAAAAGTTCATGTGTTGGGAATGTGGACACCAAAGTAGCCATATTAGAAGGTGGGTGCTGGGGATTTAGCTCAGCGGCATAAGCACCTGCCTTGCAAGCCTGCAGTAGTGAGTTCAATCCCTGGTACCGATAAAAAAAAGTAAAAAAAGGTGGGTGTATCTTCAGGTTATTGGATCTAGTGCTGTCCTTATAAGGGATTATGGCACCCTAGTCTCCCTCTCTGGGCCTGACTCAAGAGGTGCTAAGTTGCTCCTACATGTGCTCCCCCAATTGCTATCCCATCCATGAAGTTATGTAGCCAAAAGGCAGCCCTCACCATATACCTGGCTTTGATCCCCAACACTGCAAGGAAAAAAAAACTAGAAAAATTCTCGACTTGAATATTTTTCTAGTTAAAGAACTGAATGGCCCAGAAATGTCAGAACGCAAGGTCAAATGTAGTGTTGTTCAGTCTGTCTCCCCATAGGGCTCTAAACTCCCTCACAGCAATGCTACACCATTTTTCTTTTGTCCAGTTTTCCCACTGTTATCCTCAGTTCATACAGTAACTAATGCAAGCAGTCAAAAGAAACTTTACAGAACAGAATACAGCAGTTGCCATGCCTCTTTTTGAAAATGTTTAAATTCTACAAAATGCAAAGAATCATTGAAAAGCAATCGGTTTAAAGTATTACTAAAATAGACATACCTGTTAGCCATCTTTTTCACAGATGAAAACTGATGGAACATATTCAATGCAGTTATATAACTTATATTGGGAATACTTAAATAAAACTGAAGTGCATCGCATTTACTACTATTCACCATTGTTGGGACATGAATACCGACGTTCTTTCTTTGTTCCACCAAAGACAGTTCCTTTAACAAATCTGCAGTTTCTTCTTCGCAGGAACTGAACAGAATTCGGATTCCAGCACCAATTAAGGTGGTCAGCAGACTGTCATAGCTCTTTGTTCTCCTGAACATTCTTGATGTCTCTCCTAAATATTTATATTTAAGAAAATACAAATTTTAGTAATTAATATTGAATAGCTTCATCCATATGTACTATTAAAAGCCTAAAACCTACACTACTGAACAAACTATTGCCACTTTCTACTAATGAGAAACCTCACAACTAAAACTTCAAAGTGATTCTCAAATATCTGAGAGATAAATAGGAATGGTCTTTAGAAGTGTCTTACCCTGAGGTCAACATAGGAAAGTGAATGGTGAGTGAGAATTTATATGCCTAATGACAAAGACAGTATTATTCACCTCTGATTTTTTATGTTAGCACTAACAAAAGAAAAAAGGAAACTGGGTCTCTGAAAAAGTGACTTACTCAAGGTTGCATGGTTTACCTGTATTGTAAAAGTTGCCCAATTCCCAAACCAACATTTTATGTAAACTGTAATATTTTCTTTTATATATAACCCTTCAATTTTTCCACAGTAGCTTTCATCTACATGACTTCACTTAACCCTCATAATATGCACCTGCAAGCAAGCATGTACATTATCAATGCTTAGTACACTCTCATGAAGAGGGAGGGATTTGTCAATGCAACATTACTTAGCTACAGAGAAACCAGAGATCAATCCATATGCCACCATCTTTTTACTAGTCTCTGAGATTCCCCACACCATTAAATAGTTACTGTGCAAATTCCCTAACAGTTACACTAGCACTGCATTTCCAAATGCATCCTAGTTATCCGTTTCAAACTCAAAAATTTTCAAAGTGTTTAAAATTGAGCATCCCTTACCCTTCAAACCTGCTGTTTCTTTTATACTATAATTTCAATAACCAGCACCTTGCTTAACACCTCCCCACCACCAACAAATTGGTAAGCTAGGAGTAATTCTCAACTCCCACCAACCTTTGCAAATCCTGATTTCCAAACGCCTCCCAAATCCTCCTTTTCCCTACTACTGTCTTCCTTAGCTGTCTTATCCTTCCTGGGGTTCCTGAAAAGGTTGTCTGATTAATTCACTAGCCTAATTCTCGTTAGATTATTTAATACAATGACTGATGAAAAATGTAATGGCATTAAAATGTAAAATGACTTAAGTATTTATTTTTTAAGAGTTTCCCACCTTTGACAGTTAAAGAATGAAGTAATAACAATCACATTTCTTCAACATTTTGTAAAAAGACATTTTAAAGTACCAACCTGTTTTTTCTCTCTCTTTTTCCACGATCACACAGATTCTTTCAAACATGCTCTGCAGGTGCTGGATCTGCTTAATGAGCTTGCTCTTGCTGACCACATTCAGCATCTCAGACTGAGACCTCCTTTCCACCACCATGCGGTTACTCACAACGTAGTCACCGCCATTAAGAGGACAGACCTCCACATGGAACCCATGCGCTACTCGTAGGGAAGAAATTACTTTGAAACCAGAAGTGATTTCACGACTATCTACAAGAATACAGGTTCTTTTTTCTTCCTGTGCAAATCCAAGAGAAGTGTGTGGCTCTGCCAAATGAGGCCCTGCATTGGATCGGTGTGGCCCTGAAGTGCTAGGGTCCTCTGGAGCATGATCCACCTGAAAGAGCAGAGAACACTGATCACCATCTGGTCACACTATGTGAGTACCTGGAACTCAGTCACACTGCATGCTGATTCTCCTTGCAAAGGATATTTGGTTTCTTTTTTTTTTTTTTTTTTGTCCTCAGCACAACCAATGTAACTAAAGAATCAAGTCATCATTGTTACAACTCAAAATATATTACAAAGATACAATTAAACAAAAGCTAAGAAAAAAAAAAAGCTAAGAGTAGAAGATGTGAGGAAATGACTTCAAAGGAAAATTGAACCTCCAAAATAACATGGACTTTTTTGGTTTTTTGGGCTTTTTTTTTTTTTCTTGCAATGCAGGGTATCAAACCCAGACCCTCATGCATGCTAGGCAAGCACTCTATTACTGAACAATACTCCCCAGCTCCTAAAAAACATATCTTAAAAATACTTTGAGCTGCCATAGGAGCCCACATCAATAAATACAGTACACTGAGGCTGAGGTAGGAGGATCACAAGTTCAAGGCCACCCTGGGCTACACAGAGAGTTGGACAATATAATGAAACACTTATCTCAAGAAAAAAATCAGTATTTTGGGGTGGGATAAAAGCTCAGTGATACAGCACTTGCAAAATCTGTAGGGCCTCAATTCAATCCCAGCACTGAAAAACAAAAAAAAGTGAGAATCCTGGAAAAAAAGCCAGAACAAACCCAGCTTCGCTTAGCACATTATCCGCCAAATCCTATTGAGCATGAGTTCTTTTCATAGAGGCACAAGCCATGGGGAACATGTACAGTGCCAAGTGTTCAAACTCTCAAAAAAGGTTATATATTTCAGTGTAAGTCCAAAGAGAAAGCAAAACATGGTCAATCTTGATATTCAAAGGGGGGGGGGGACTCTCAGAATAAAGTAGCCCTCCAGCCTTATGAATTTGTCACCAAAATATGTACACATGGTACCCACATGGTCCACAAAAACCTCAAACAAAATTTAAATGCCCTCAGGAAAAAAAAGCACATAAATCATATGGGCATATGGAGCCGGATGAAAACTATATGAAAACGTTGCTGGAATAAAAATACCAACTTGAAACTATATGCTCACTTGATTGATCACATTCTTGCTGATGAGGTGCTACATAAAGAAACACTTCTTGTGCATTGCTGCTAGAAGGAAAAAGGTGTGAGTCCCCTGCAGATGGCAGCAGTAGCGGACACCACCACACCTGCATTTACCTTCTGTAGCAACTCCATTTCAGAGAATCCATCCCACAGCTTCTCTGGCAAAATATGACAAGACACATGTGTGGCTATTTGTTATATGACTATTTTTAACAGTAGAAGACTAGCCACACATGGTGGTGTGCGCCCTTAATTCTTGGTACCGGGAGGCTGAGGCAGGAGAATTAGAAGTTATGAGTTAGCCTGAGTAACTTAGTGAGATGAGACACTGCTTCAGAATAAAAAATAAAAGGGCTCCGAGGACTTTGCTCAGTGGTAGAGGGCCATTATGGTCAATCCACAGTACCATAAAAACAAACTACTGCTGGAGAATGCTAGTAAAGCAACTTACTATTCTAAAGCTGATATGGAGAAAAAAATCTAGTACTGAACCTGCTTTTCTTAAAAGTACGGAGAGATGAGATTAGTAATCAAATATCTCTCAACAAAGAACAAGCGAGTAGCAAATAGCTTCCTTAATGAATTCTACCTACCAAACATTCAAGGAAGATCAGTACCAAAGGTTTCCAAATCATTTGAAGAGAGACTCTCTGAACTCATTCTATGAAGTTAGTAATACCCCAATACTGAAAACAGTAAAAGACACTATAAAACTAAAATCAATATCCCGTATGAGAGTAATACAAAAAGTAGCAAATCAAATTTAGCAGTTTCAAAAGTTCGCATCAACAAATCATTATATTAACACAAGAAAGGAATACATATGCACACACACACACACACACTCAACAGATGTGAAAGAGCATTTTTCAAATTCTAACACCCATACAGCATAAGGAAAACTAAGAGCACAACAACATAACTAAAGCCGTATGCAAAAAAAAGCCTGTGGCCGGCATCATACAGCTTGTCCTACAGCCACAAGGCAAGGAGGCCCACTCTTGACCTTTCTTCTGAACACAGGACTAGAAGATCTGGCCAGAGAAGTAAACTCAACTTAGAAATTAGGAATAAAGCCAGAGAAATGAAGAATACAAACACATCCAAAACCCGGCAAGCAAGAAGTAAACTTCCTCTGCCTCAGGTAACATGATCTCATGTGTAGAAAACTGTGAAGAATTCACTCAAAATTTAAAGCTAATAAATTCAGCAAAGTTGCAAGATAACAAAACCAACACACAAGAATCAATTCTAATTCTATACACCAGCAAGCAATGATCCAAAAAGGAAAGAAAGCAAATAATATTGGTAAAAGAAATTAAAGTCTGAAAAACATTTTCCATATTTGCAACCATTGGAGTTGTTTTAGAAAAATCTCTCTTTCTGCAGTTCATTTAAATTTTAGCCGAATCTTTCTAGATTTTATAATTGCCCCATACTGGTGAAGTCTCTCACTGAAGATACCCTTCTTTCCTTAGCTATCAGCTCAGCCGGTTCCCTACAAACTCAGCTCTGGAATAACTTTCAGAAAATTTATGATTTTGTACATTACCTGACTCTTTGTTGTAAGGATGGGAACAACACTCTTTTCAACTTTGTATACCCGAAACTAAGATGGACATCCTAACAACTCAGAAATAATATTTAAAATATATTTTTACTATTTAATTTCAAAAAGCATAAAAGAATAAATGAAGTGGCCACTGAAAAACTGGAAAATATTGGAAGTACCTATCTTAGAGTAGAATATGCTTTTCTAAACATAACACTGAAGTCAAGAAATATAAGAAATGTTCTTTAAAATGATATTGCTTGCTATTTTGCAAAGTATTTTGCTCACATTATTAACCTGATCACTGTCTTTACACTACAGATCAAACATTGAAACTCAAAGAATTATGTTCTGTCCCATTCTCAGGTTCAATTCAGTCAGCATTCTCCTAGCATGTCTTCAAGAAGTAAGTGCAAACACAACCAGGAGACAGGTTGCTTTTAGGCCCATTGTGTGGATACTGCTGGTCATGTCGCGAAGGCAGAGTGGACTGTGTTATCCTGGGATGAAGCAGAGGAGAATGCTCATTACCAGGTGACAGGATGGAGGGCACCGGTCAAATGACAGGAAACTTCAATCAGCTAGAAGGAATAAATACAGAGCCCTACTGTACAGCATGGTGACTCCAGTTAATAACAATGTATTGTACTCTTGCAAAATCACCCAAGTGTCAGGTGTGGTAATCCCAGCCCTCAGGAAGCCTAGGTAGGAGGATCGCTGTGTGTAGCCTGAGCTACCTAAATGAGTTCAAGGCCAGCCTGCACTACACAGTAAGACCCTGTCCCCCCACCCCCACAAAAAAAAAAAAAAAAAAATCACGGAGAGAATAGATTTGAAGTGTCTTCAGTACAAAAAATAAGTAGTAAGGTCTTCCACATGTTAAGTAGCCAACCACAATGTATGTTTTTTGAAACATCATGTTGTATACAATTTTCGTCATTTAAAAAATCTATGTTCAATCTCACTCTTAGATGAAAATCAAAGAAATGAATCATTAATTACAGCTGGATGCCTATTCTAGTGTGTCCCTGACTTACCAACACTGGGGTTGCCAACCTTCACAGATACGAACAGACCTCCCAGTGGGTTTTTTATGCTTTACATTGTATATCTGTGTCAAAGGTGTTGGTCTTACGAAGCAATCTGACTTTAGAACATTTTCCTGGAACGAGTAAGTCAGGGAAACTTACTATGAACTCTTAAAAACTGAAAATGGCTTTCACCATTCTTTTAATAATCACAAGAGAAGGAAAAGGTAAAACTGATTAGCTGGCAACAATCTGCAAAGAAATGAAGGAAACTGTACTTTTCCCATATCCCTTGCCTAAATAAAGCAAAACAGAGCTCCAGACCTGAAGTATTTGGGAATCAGTTCTGTGCATATAACTTTCTTTAATCTCATCTTGCAAGAAGCACCACTTTCCTACTTTCTTTTTTTTTTTTTTTTGTCTTTTTCGTTTTTTTATCAGTATCAGGGATCGAACTCATGACTGCCTGCTTGCAAGGCAGGCACTTATGCCGCTGAGCTAAATCCCCAGCCCCTCACTTTCCTACTTTCTTTTGATAAAATTATCATACTTCCTGACAGAATGACAGAAAACGATTAACGCATTTAAAAATTATAACAAATATCCTACGAATGGCCTAAGTTAGCATATCATTTTCTTATTTGAAGAAAACTTTTTTCTTTTTGTCTTCTGACAAGGATCTTGCTGTGGAGCCTAAACCAGACTTGAGCCTCCTGCCTCAGCTTCCCCAGTGGAGGGAATAGCCAGGTACCACCATGCTCGGCACAAATATTTTTGCTGTTTTCTTTGACCTAATTATTTTATACACCACCATCCCCCAAAAAGCACATGCACACATGCACATGTGTGCACACACACACACAACACACAAACCCCAAAACAATTTCCTTCTCCCACTACAAAACCTTTTTGGCCAACACATAAAGGCTTTGTTCTTTTTTTTTTTTTTTTTTTTTGTCTTTTTCATTTTTTATCGGTACCAGGGATCGAATCACAACTGCCTGCTTGCAAGGCAGGCGCTTATGTCGCTGAGCTAAATCCCCAGCCCCTAGGCTCTGTTCTTTAAATTCATCCATACCTTCAACTGAAGCGGCAATTTTCCACATTCTTTCTGTGACTCATTAGTGACATAAGGTGATGAGGAGGATTTGGCTTTACTATGGCTCTGAAGTCTGATGCCCAAGACTTCAGAGGCCGCACCCTCTAGAAGAAGTGGCGTCTGTTGTCTCTGCTTTGGCGCCTGACTTACCCTTGGATCAGAGAGGACCTCCAGCTGCACCGAAGCCTCAGCAGGCTTTAGATCCACAAGATCCTCCCGGTGACTGTTCTTGTCCACTGTGCTTGAGTTAACCACAGTATCCGATCCTCTTTCACCAGCTACACTGTTTTCCTCCTCACTTGAATCATCTGGTAGAATGATTCTAGATAACTTCTTTTTTGAATGTGCAGAACTCTGCTTCACCTTCATCTGCTGTAGCTTTACTGCACGTCGGGTTGTGTACTTTCTACTCCCACTCATAAGATAATCTTTAGTTATTAAGTTAAAATCAACATGAACTTCTTCTTCGCTTGATTGGCTTTTACTAGACTCCTCTTCATCAACACAGAAACTGTCCTCTAAGTAGCTTTCATCTTGTTCAGGAATCTGTAATAAAAACATAAGTTATACATTTGGCATGTACCATGTGTATATATACAGATATGTATATGCATATGTATTCTTTTAAGCATTAGTGCTTATTTAACTTAACTTTAAAAGTCAGCCATTTGTTCCATTAACATACACTACATTCTTTTTTTTTTCTCTTGGTACCAGGAATCGAACTCACAACCTTGCACTTGCCAGGCAGGCACTTATGCCACTAAGCTAAACGCCCAGCCCCATTCACTACATTCTTTATGAAGGAAAGTTGGTAAAGGGGAGGCAGAAAATGATTTACACTATAGAATTTTACAGTCTGGTAAGGCACCCAGAAAAGTAAATAATAATAAAAGTTACAGTGAGTGCTATTTATTTTTTATTTATTTATTTATTTTTTGTCTTTTTCCTTTTTATCGGTACCAAGGATTGAACTCACGACTGCCTGCTTGCAAGGCAGGCGCTTATGCCACTGAGCTAAATCCCCAGCCCCCAATGAGTGCTATTTAATAAGCACAGTGTGAGTACGGAGATATGAATGACCACATTACTAAGCCAAACATGGTGAATAAACATAGAAATATAAGAAATATCATCCATAAGTGAAAGATAATCTATAATTTTAAATAAAACACTTTTATGAAAAAATTTAAGAAAATTATGACATGTATGGGAATTTAAAGTCTAATGTTATAGCTAATCAAAACACTCTCCTAATTGGAATTTTTTACTCTAATTAGTTTAAATTTTAAAAAAAGATGACTAGGGGCTGGGGATTTAGCTCATCGGCATAAGTACATGGCTTGCAAGCAGGCAGTCGTGAGTTCGATCCCCAGTACCGATAAAAAGGAAAAAGACAAAAAAAACATGACTTGACCAAATTAGGACTAAAAGGGATCTTGAAAATTCATTTAGTTCACCTTCCTAAAACAGCAGAAATTTCCCCAGATAAGCTGATGGTTCAGTTTAGAAACAAAATAGATGCTTCATTACCAGGAACAGATTCCAATGTCAGGAGGAATTATTATTATTTCTGTAAGTTCATACCTGTGAGAAAATGTTTACAATGTTATGCTTCTTATGGAGCATTCTGTACGTGTCGCTCATCAAGGGACTACGCAAAGATTTCATGTAAATAGCTCTCATTTCGGAATCTAAGTAAAGACAAGAATTTAAGTTAACATAGCAAAGTTATTTAAAAGAAAACTAGCTCAGTATTTAACTTTGCCCCATTCCAAATTTACATTCCAGAACTGAAAAAATATTTCATATAAAAGATACTATTATATACTGAAAGACATCTAAAACCACTAGTTCAAAAATGCACAGTAATCTAGCAAGTGCAAGGCCCGAGTTCAATTTCCAGGAGCAAAAAAAAAGAAAAAGAAAAGTTGGGCATGGTGGCACATGCCTGTAATCCCAGCACTCAGGAGGCTGAGGCAGGAGAATCATTGCAAGTTTGAGATCAGCCTGGGATACAAAGTGAGTTCAATTTGAACTGCTTGAACTGCATAGTGAGACCCTATCTCAAAAAAAGAAAGAAAGAAAGAAAGAAAGAAAGAAAGAAAGAAAGAAAGAAAGAAAGAAAGAAAGAAAGCAAGCAAGCAAGCAAGCAAGCAAAGCCATTCAGGTGTGGTAGTACACACCTGTAATTCTAGCAATTATTAATTAGGAAGCTGAGGCAGGGGGTCTCCCAAGTTTGGGGCCAGCCTAGACACCTTAGTGAGACCCTGTTTCAAAAATTAGATAGCATAGATAATTTAAATTTGGAATTACTTTTTTAAAAAGCCTTGAAATCATACCCATTTCAAATAAACTGTTAAACATGGCGATTTAGATCTCTCTCCATCCAAAAGGGCTCCATCTGCAGCCTGCTCAATATCGGATAATAGCAGCTGCGTCCATCCTGCTGCCCCAGTCCACGGATTCCTCTCTCCCCAGTCCATCGGAAAATCCTGTCAGCTTTACCTACCTAGATCCACTCTTTCCGTCCCCTGCAGCGGCATCTCTGCAGAAGCCTCTACCTCACTCTGGCTGGAACAGCAGTTGCCTCATACTTGCCCTCCTATTCTCCCTACACCGCTGGACTTTCTCACTGTACGACCTAGAGATGTCAGGTCATGATCTGGCCGCACGCTGTCTTTGATCTCACTTCTGGCTCCCTTTTTCTCCCTCAGTCCAGTCAGAATGCTATCCTGAGTAGGCTGGACATACTCTTGCCTTTCAGCTGTAAACCTGCAAAAGTCACTCCCTTTAAGGGCATAAAATTTCACTCAGTATCAAGGATATAGTACTGAGAACTCTGTCCTTCAACGTTTTATGCTTAAAATTCATGGATATTTAGAAAAGTTGGCTGCTTAAATCATTATCAGAGACTGCCAGAGCAGAATACATGGCAAGATCTATGGAAGACTGAAAACTATCTGATAAGCCAATGGGAATATTTCACACCTCTCTATTTATGCTATCCAACATCTGTTCAAGCACTGCTCAAAGACAGTATTTTCTGAAAGCAAACCTCCCTTACATGACAAAGACAGTACTATCTCCTTCCATCAAATGTAAGCGTCACACGTAAAGCTTTTTGTCCTCTTTTTTTTGTTGGAATATTTTTCTCAACTGCCAAACATCACAAAGCATGTAGCAGGAACAAATACTTATGGAATAAACATTTGATACTTCAGCTGCCTGGGTCAATCAGGAAAAAATTATTTGAATAAGCAGAAGCCTATAAATAATCAATTTTAAAACAAAGCAAGCATTATAGAATTTAAATGAAAATTATGAAGTAAATATTTTTCACATACCAAATATAATTCCCTTTAAATCTAGTTTTTTGGAAAACTGTTTAAAATGTTTAAATATGAGCACACTGGCAACAATGCAAAGATTTCTAGAAAGTGTGTAACATTTACCATTTACAGCCTGTGAAAGTTGAGCTTCATCATTTAAGAAGTTCAACATCGAGGAATCTTGTTCATTTTCTGAGTCATCATTTTCATCTGATGAAACGCATTGTGCATCTTCTTCAGAAAGTTCTGCTTCATCATCCAGAAACATCCTAGCGACATGCTAAAACAAATTAGAAAACATGACACCTTTGAGAAGATAATTATCTTTCAAGATTTCAGTTCTGGAAAAAAGATATTTAATTACTTTTAAAAATTTTAATTGGGACAGAATTGTACATTATGGGGTTACAGTGTGACATTTCAACACATGCGTTTCATACGTATTGATCAGGTCAGGGCAACCAGTTCCCCGTCATGTAAACATTTAGAATTTTTTTATGCTGTAAATGTTCAAAATCCTCTCTGCTAGCAACCCTGAAACACACAAGTATCAACCAGTTATCCCCTGTGCTACAGAGGTTATTCCTCTCAGCAAAATAGATTTCTTGTCAATGTCCTTTTTCCCCCCTAACACCAAGGATACAGTCCATAACTTCACACTGAACTACATCCCCAACCCCCTTTTTTAAAATTACTGTGCTTATTTGGAGAAGGGTCTCATTAAATTGCTACATTGCCAGAGCTGGGCTCAAATTTGCAATTATCTTGCCTCAGCCTCCCAAAGTGTGGAATTACAGGTGCTTAGCACCAGGCCTAGCTATATTAATGCTTTAAAGAAAAAAACCTGCAAGAAGAAATGATCAAGTAATATGTCTATTTAAAGAAAAAAATTGCAAGAAATCATGAAGTAGTAAGTCTAAAATTGCTCCTGATAGAATAGCTTCCAATTTGAGGCCAATCTGGGCTACAAAGTGAGTTCAAGGCCAGCCTGGACTACACAGTGAAACCTTGTCTCAAACAGATATAAAATAAAACAAAACAAAATAAAATTACTCCTGAAAATTTTTCAGTAAAGTAATATATAAGTCATCAGGTCAGACTGCTGCATGTTTTTGATAAAAAGTTTCCTGAAAAGCTAATTATTTTTTGCCAGAAAAAATACTATAAACCAAAACAACTGACCAGAGGAAAAAGACGCTAAGAACTTTTTTCAAATATTTGAATACTGGGCATTGCACTGATAAGGAAAATAAGACTGTATAAGCACTATCTTAAATCTCAGATTTCTGTATCTTCATTTTCTTCACGTTGAACAATAAACTTTCCATGTGCTTCATTTACTCATTCAAAATAATACAATACTGCAAAATAAAGTAAAAAAACCACAAAGAGAATGCCAGGAGTGGTGGTGCACATCTGTAAGCCAGCCCTTGGGAGGCTGAGCCAGGAAGATTGCTGCGAGTTCCAGGCCAGCTTGGGCACATAATGAGTTCAAGGGCAGCCTAAACTACGGTGAGACCTAACTCAAAAATAACATATAAAGAAAAATATCGCATTTTGAGATTTTAATTCTAGTAAGAAAAAAATCAAAATTGGTACCAAAACACTTCTTTGAAAATTGCGGTATTTCTCTAATAAAAAATGCATAAATAAATATAATATACTTTGATAGGACCAGGAACTGAGCTCAGCGTAGCATAAGTGCCTGCCTGGCAAGCACAAGGTTGTGAGCTCAATCCCTGGTATCTAAATAAACAAACAAACAAACCTTGATGTAAAAACTAATGATCGTTATTTATTTATATATGGAAAAAAAACTAAAGAAAGATTACCTTTTGGTGACTATTTTGTGCTTTGATGCCTCTTCTAGCATTCCTATTACAATTCTTAGAGTCTTCTGATTGTAGATTTGGTCTGTTAAAATTCTCACTCTCATCACTAGATGATAATTCAGACTAGAAAAATTCAAGCATAAGAAAAAATAGATACATTATTTTTTATCATAGTGTATTTGCCAAACTTACTTGTTTTAGTTTTCGGGGTTTTTTTTTTTTTTCTTTTTAAATATTTGGGTTAGTATTCTCTTACAAAAATAAAATTTGCTCCCATAATTCAGATCCATATATGAATTTAAAAACCCATAAATTAGGTAATTCTGAAAGCTAAAATGCCAAAGTAGGTAGCATAAATATTCATTCAATGCAGTTGTTTTTTGTTTTTTGTTTTTTGGGTTTTTTTGGTCTTTTGTCCTCTTGAGACAGAGTCTCACTATGCAGTTCAGGCTGGCCTTGAGCTCACTTTGTAGCCCAGGCTGGTCTTAAATTGGCAATGATTCTCTTTCTTCAGCCCTTTGAGTGCTGGGAGTACAGGTGTGCATCACCACACTCTGCTCAATTTAGTTTTATATCACATATATTTGATGCAAACGTATTTTTAAGTTAATAGTGCTTCCTTTAGAAGTTGTTAATGCAATTTTTCTAGTGAAATTTCATGAGTATATGAAGTTAATATGTATCATTTGCACTTTTAATTAGTTTTCCCCAAATTATGCTAGAGTATATCAGAGAATTAACACCCAAGCCAAGTATGGTGGCACAGGCCCGAATCCCAGCACTCTTGGAAGCTCATGCAGAAGGATCAAGAGTTTTAGCTCATCCTAGGCAAACCGACAAGACCCTGCCCCCAAATAAAACATTTTTAAAAGTGCTAGGGACTCAGCTCAACTTGAAGGCCCTAAGTTTAATCTCCAGTACCACCACCAAAAAAATAAAGAAACAACAAGATCAGCTAGTCTCAAATTGTTCCTATCAGCTTTGGGCAGATCATTATCCTTAAAACTTGCCATCTACCCCAACTACAGATTCAGTCATCAAGACCTGTCCATGGCTACTTTACTCTCCTGTAAGAATCTAAAACTCAAACACATTCAACAACAAACGGTTTCTTGTCTTCCTTGAATTTGTGAACTATTTACTAAACAACCCGAAGCCAAAGCCAGACAGTTACCTTCAATTCCTTGCTTGCCTTCTTTCCAGCTCACTGGGCAATTTAATGAAAGAATGAGGACTTCCTAAGAATGACCCACCCTGTTCTCCAACTTTACTTGTAACTTTCTTGTAATATTCACCCTAAAACAATTTGATTATATATTACCTGTCATTTACTTACTCTAAGAACCCTGCGCTTTTTGACAGCATGAACCGGAGAATCAATTTCACTACTTTTCTGATCCTAAAATGAATAAATAAACACAGGAAACAGATTCAGTAAAAGATAGCACAAAGTTCTCAAGGAAAAAAACATGATTTATATGTAAAGACTCAATGACTCACCTCAGGTGATTTCAAAACATTTCCTTTCCGCTTTTTACGTCTTTGTAGAAAAACCTCATCTTCACTTTCACTGTTTATTAATAATTGTTCACCTATGATGTATTTAAAAAATGAATCCAGTCAGTAGAACAGAATGCAAAATGCAATTTTATTAGTCTGTGATTCTAGAATTCATCCTAAATCTATTATAGTCTTCTTGCCTTTTTCCCTTTATTCACCTTCGTTGAAGGATTAAATAATATGCATTCTAAAAAACAATACAACAAACGATTCTGACTTTTGTGTATATATATGTGTGTCTGCACACAAGCATAAAAACTGGTAACACAGTCACCAAAATGTATCCAGAGCAAAATACTCAGGGGGCAGGGAGAAAGCTAAAAGCAAAATCCTCAGGGTGGCTGGGCGGCTTGATAGTAGAGCACATGCTTCAACAACGACAAGAAAACTCTCATGTATGAAAGCAAATACTCCATATTTTTAAAATACTTCACCAAGTTCCATTTCTGCACTGTCACTACATTTTGATTCAAGACACTTTAAGAATACTAGAGGCCCCGTGCTAGTTTTGAGTTTGTTCTCAAATTCTTTGACAATCCTTCCTTCAAGCAGCAGATCACAATTCCTTTCCCCTTAAGTGCAGGCCAGACTTCCTGACTTGTTTTTAACAAAAGAATACACTGGAAGTGAAGATGTGTCACTTACTATAGCCTCAGGCTTGTTCTTTCTCTTGTGTCAACTGTACTAGGTGAGAGCAGGAGTTATGTTTTTCTCCTCTTGTAGCCCAGGCTGACCTAGATAGACCTCTTGGGCTCAAGCAATCCTTGCACCTCAGTCTTCCAAATAGCTGAGACTACTGGTGTGGGTCACCATTCCCAGCCACAAATGCCCAGAGGCTATAACCAAACAGCCCTATGTGGAAGTCCCCATAGCAAGAAACGGAGGTCCCCTGCCAGACACCTCGAAAATAAACCACCTTAAAAGCAGATCTAGTTAGTCACTGTCTTGACTGTGCCAGAGCCACTCACAGCTAAGCCACAACTGAATTCTTGCTCACAGAAACCTTGATAAAATAAATATTTTTGCATTAATTGATTTGTTTTGGGAGAGGTTAGTTACAGTGTATAACAGATAAATAATATAGTTTTGATTACCTAGAAATTAGGGGTAGATGTAACAAAAATTAAACTGCAAAAGGAGCTTTAGAGCTAGACAGTGGTTAGAAACTGAGAGGACTTTTGAGAGGTTTTGTAAAGACCTCAAGAGTTAAAAAAAAAAAAAAAATGTAGAAAGCCTAATATCCCCTGAGGCTACAGGTGACAGCTTAAAAGAAAAACCTTATTAAAAACTAGAAGAAACGAAATCCTCTACAAATAGTGTCAAAAGTTTACCAACATTGCAGTTAATATGGAAAGTGGAAAATTCACCTAATGAATGAGGTGATCTAGCCAAGGAGACTTTTAGATGAAGTGTTTGAGGAATCACCTGTTTCTTCTTGCTGTTATAATAAAATACAAGAAAAAGAAAGCAACCAAAGAAAGACTATTAAATATAAAAGTTGGAACTTGATGATTCTGAAATGCTCACCCTCCTCAGGTGGCAAGCAATACTAAAGAAATCTTCTACATAATGATCAAATTCAGAGGACTACTAAGAAAATATTATGAAGCTTGAGGACCTAAAACCTCAGAAAGATCAAAAGGTAGGGCCTCACAGTAGGACTCAAACAAAAGGCCCCTAAGTATTTCAGGAATGATTCACAAAGATCCTCTCCAGCCATCTTCAGAAATTATCTCCAAACATCTCAGCAAAACCCAAAGAAGAAAAGGGCTTTTTTTCCCAAAGATTTGTGGGTATGAACAGTGACTAATGCAATGAATTTTCTAAGAAGATTCTAGAGCGCTCCATAAAGATTTATCAGAATTATAATACTGGAAGAAACACAACCATCTAAAAACAAAAATGACAGACAATATGAATTGCAAAGAGTTCTTTGGACCTCCAAATGTGTACCAAAAGGAAGCAGGCTCAAAAAACTTATAAAAGGTACTTGTTACAAGAAAAGATCAAACACCCAAAGGATGAAAGGATGGAGGCAAGGACCATGGAGAATATTCCCAGGAAGGAACTACTGAGCTCAGCTCCATTGGATTTGAGAATTATTAGGGACTAGTGCTTCCTGTGTACCATACAGGGCTCATCTATCCTTTGACTAGCCATCCTGGAAGCAGACGCTCCATATGCAATCAACCCTTCCACAACTCCAGCTGAAATCCCACCTATGACATGGGCAGCCTAAAACCAGAACCATCAGTTAATGTAACTCTTTAATTCCTAACCTACAAGAAACTGAGATACAAGCCATTTTTTTAATGCCTTTGTGTGTGTGTGTGTGTGTGTGTGTGTGTGTGTGTGTATGTGTGTGTTTCCTTTTTTTTATTGGTACCAGGGATCGAACTCACGACTGCCTGCTTGCAAGGCAGCTTATGCCGCTGAGGGGCTGGGGATTTAGCTCAGCGGCGTAAGCGCCTGCCTTGCAAGCAGGCAGTCATGAGTTCGATACCCGGTACCGATAAAAAGGAAAAAGACAAATAAATAAATAAATAAACAAAATGAATCCCCAGCCCCGATACAAGCTATTTTAAACCACTGAGTTCTGAGGTACTTTGTTACACAGCACTAGGTAATACAAACCCATACAATTAATTTCTCCTCACATTCTGTGCTAGAAATATATTTATCCAAACATATAAACCGAAATCATTCCTTTTTTGTAGATAAGTTTTTTGTTGCAGACCACTATGAAGCGGCTCTGAGCAGGATTTAAATTTTACTAATTGGCTTTCTATGTTTACCTATGAGTCTGTCCTAGGCCTCGGCCCCTTGCCTGGCGACAGGAGCTGATTCATAGTAAGTGAACCTCTATGAAACACCAGTCCTAGCTGAGGCCTGTAGTGGCCTGTGAGGCCAGAGATACCTCAAAGGGCAAGAGAAGGCCACAGCTGCGGACACTCTGGCTCCAACCCCAATTAACAAGGTAGAGGCTGCAGCTGCAAAGATTTATCCTACATTCTCACTTCTACCATGTCTTCATGATAAAACAGTGCTACTGAATTGACTTGATTTGTGACTTGGAGATGTCCTGGAAGTGACTCCCAGGGTCCTGCTCATTGCCTGCGCTTTCCTCAGTTTCTCTGCCCTTTGTCCTTGGTCCTAATATAAGTGGACTGATCCAGAGAATCTTGTCATAACCCTCGAAATCTCAAGCTTAATTAAAGGGCTTTGACCTTCCTGGAGCCCTAAAAATCATACAATTTGTCTCTTTTTATTTAACCTCCGCCATACACTCGTTTGGGAGATCAAGAATCTAGGTCAGAATCCCGGATAGTTTTTCTTTTCTCATTGTCTTGCAAAAAGCCAGATTCAAATAAAGGGCTCAGTTAGAGTAACCACCTTGTTTTGGGAGTTTCTTTTTTAACCACTTTAATAGTATTTAAATAAACTTACATATATATATATATATATATATATGCACACATATATACATACATACACACATACATATATGTAAACATGGCAAGTAATCTAAAATCCTTTGAGTTAGATGTAAAAAAGTTTGATATGAGGAGAAAAATGACTTCACCCATTAACCCAGATTTAATACTGTATAGATGCATTAAACAAATCTTGAAGGCTCGTAGACAACATACACCTATAGAAAATAAAAGGGCTGGGGATTTAGCTCAGTGGCATAAGTGCCTGCCTGGCAAGCACAAGGTCGTGAGTTCGATTCCTGCCCCCCCACCACCACCACCAAAAAGGAAAGAAAATAAATACCACAGCACACCCCAAACTATGCAGAATAGTCACTTTTTAAAATTCAAACATATTTCCAGAATTCAGTCTAAATACACTTTAATTTTAAGTAGAATATTCATGAATCAAAACCTCAATACTACTGAGAACAACTTAAGATTTACAAGGGAAAACTCTCATTTTATTCTAAAGTTCTCTTTTTCTTCAGTAATAAATCATACAACTCATTACATTAAGTTATCTTTAAATAGAGACTTATAGCAGAATTTAAAGGATCTTGGTATCATTTCAATACCAAACATCTGTTGCTATATTTTATAGTTTTTCAGTAAGTATAAAGTCTGATCACAGACCTCTGGATGTCTGAATAGTTCATGGTCTGTTTTCAATTTCTAAATATGATCTTATTTCTCAAATATTTTATTAGCTAAATCCTGTTTCAAGCTATGCCTTCAAAATCTTACATATTCTTCCCTTTACGTTTCATCATTTTATAACATCAAAATCATCTGTTATTGTCAATATGTGTATGAATTATACATATGCCTGAGTAGCCCAAATGAAAATCAACATACAATATCTATGAGGGCTTTCCAAACTAATCTAACTCAAAATCTCATCATCTTGTCCACTTCCGTAACAGTCACTATCATTCAATTGGTAGTGATTTCCACCTCTTAGGGGCATCTTTTCAAATATATGCCATGTAACGGTTTGTGTTCTACAACCAAGGAGCAGGGCTAAATTTATAGGTATACATTTTGTATCCGTTGTAAAGTCTACCATAATACATTTCTCATGGCATGGAGATAAACATTTTTATCAGTGAGCAATAATTAAGAAAAACATACATCAGTTATCTAATTCAACCCATACACGTACATATAATATCATACACTAATAAGTTACATTTGGAAAAATTACACATTTCTAAGATAACTACGAAGACTTATGCATAAACATAGAATCTTACCTCCAGCAGAATGACAGGACTGATTCCCACAGATCTGATCACTACTTTTAGTATTTCTTGGAGAAAACCCTGAATCATCAAAAGCTGAATTCAGTGTTTCTTTAAAATTGTGTAGGTTTTCTTTTTTCTTATTAGAATCTGGTGTCTTGAGTATTTTCTTTCTTACCTTAGAAAATGAGTTCAATGTGTTTGATTTGGAGAGGGGTGTGCTCATAGTTTTTTCTCCTACTGGCAAAGAAAACTGAGAAAAACCAGGAGATACAAATTCTTTCACTGCTGTTGCACTCTCGGGAAAATGTGCAAAATTTGGACTCTGTGTATCTTTACTTGATGGGATAGGTATGGTTCCACTTGTAAAATTTTCAACATGATCTCTTGATTGATTCAAAACATTATTTTCATCCTTTATCTTCTTAATATCTAAATACTTTCCAGACAGATCATCTAGAATTCTATTGTTATTTGTAACTGATGTATGTTCTAATATTTCATCATCAGAATCTGGGCAAAATCCTAAATCAAAGGTAACAGAAAATAAATCCCTAGAGCAATCAAAACTATATTCATCACTCTTCAGTTCTTCCTCATGCATATCTTTCAAATCTGTGTTCGACACGCTATTACTAGTAACATGAGTTATTTGATTTTGAGGTTCAGAATTATCATCCAACAAAAGTTCATCAGAAATTAAGAATTGAGAGACTGGCGCTATTTCACTTATAAGAGTTTTGTCTGATACAGAAAAAGATTTGTAATTACTTTTCAAGGGAGAAGGGCTCACATCATTGAATTCTTCATTAAAATCTTCAAACAGTAGTAAACTCTCATTCTGATCCATGGTCAATACTGGGAAATCATTACCAACTTCATGATCGTTCTTGTCAACTAAATTCTCTGAAGGATCTTTGTGAATTTCACCATGATTGCTGGACAATAAATTTTCATTTTTAATATTCTTATGCACTTTAACACCCCTGTCAAGTAAGTATGGCTCATCAACAATCATATCATTATTTGCATCAAAGAGACTGTTTCTTTCAGAAAGTTGATTACTAATTTTAAGTGAATCCAATTCTAAATTTTGTTGAGAATCCAGAGCTGAATATGACATCAAAGAGGCAGACTTACAATTTTGTGAATGCTCTGTGTCAGGTGGAAAGGACAAATTCTCCAGTTTCATAATTTCATATTCCAAGTCTGAGATTGTACTGAGAGGTGGAGGAGAATGAGACAAAAATCTCTTTACATTAGCTAGTACCTCCTTTGTCTGTGTGTGACAAAGATGAAATTGATCATTTGTTCTAGATACACGAGGCTCTTCCTCCAATGGAAGAAATAAATTGGATGAAACAGATTTCTCATCACTGAAACTACCATAACCAGAATCTAAAAAACTCCCGGCAAATAAAATAATAGATTTATTTGTAAATTGGTCCTCTATTAATGATATATCAGGCTGATCAATAACTTTTTCACTAATACTACATGTGGTAACAACTCCATTTCTATCTGATGACCTTTTATCATCTGCTATATCTACCTGAAAACTATGTTCAACAGGAGAATTTCCGCCAGTATTTAAAAAATCTCTATCACTATTATTTTGCTTGTTAGGTTGATCCTTTTTGATTTCTTTAGAAGCTGTTTTTATTAAAGAAACAATTTTAGTAGGTTTGATGTGAGTCTGTTTAAAATTTTCATTACATTCTTCAGATTCTATCATTGAGAATGAACTGACTTGATTTACATTCTTTGTAAATGAAGATCTCTCGTGAGAAATAAAGGCATCACTAGCAGGATTCCCAGGAGTGCGAAATGTTGAGCTAACATCCTCCATTTGTAAATACGATTTCATTTCCAGTTCATAGTTGCATTCATCCTGTAACAAGAACATGTAAAATCATATGAAGACAAAACAAAGCAAAAGGAGCAAATTCTTTTCTTTGCTTTTCTTTTTTGGTGATGGAAAACAAACCCAGAACTCTGTCTGTGTGTACTAAGCAATAAAAAGTCAATTCTAAAAGATTAATTTCTCTGTATGTTAAAATATTTTCCAGCCAGGCATAGTAGCACACACCTGTAATCCCAGCACTTCAGAGGCTGAGGCAGAATGATCACCATGAGTTCAAGGCCAGACTGGGCTACAAAGTGAGTTCAGGGCCAGCCTAAACTATAGAGCAAGATCCTATCTCAAAAAGACAATATAATGGCACCTGATTTGCTGGGTCCACAGCTAATATTTTATTTGCATGTATCTATAAGCAATAAAAAGTCAGCTTACTGAGTATAAATTATGTACTAGTTCCATTCTAAATGCCTTAAAGATATAGTCATTTACTTAGGTATTACCAGTATCCTATTTTATAAGTAAAACTAAGAGACACAGATTAAATAATTTGCAAACATACAATTAGTAAGAGCTGGAAATTCAATCCAGGCATTATGGATTTCACACTCATGATCAGTATTTTGACTCTCTCAAAGAAAACAAGAAACCGACCAAGAAATCAGTAATTTCCTAAACTATTAGCAGAGTGCAAGAGATATCTAATGATTCACATGATAGAAAATATTTCAATAAATCCCAATGCAATAAGAATCCTCAGTTACCTTTACAGTTTACACAAATCATTGAATATTAGAATTTTACTCTGATCTATTTATAGATTATAGTTTTCTTCTAATCAATTAAGTCTATTTCTTTTTGTAAGACAGAAAAGTGAGTCCTTACTGGAATCACAAGGAGACATACAGAAAATCAATATTTTTGGCTATAATTATTTATAGTACTACTTCAGTTTGTTATGTCTTCAAAAAAAAAAAAAAACCGTGGGGCCAGGAATATAGTTCAGTAGCAAAAGTGCCTGCCTGGCAAGCACAAGGTTCTGAGTTCAATTTCCTGACACCAAAAATAAATTTTTTTTAAAAATTTTAGTTTTTTTAAGGACTGGAGAGCGCCCGTGGATCTCGAACCCTCCGGGCTGTGGGGAAGCCAGACTCGAAGGAACCGCTGGGCTAAGGCCAGCCCGAATAAATTTTAAAATTCAAAAAACAGAAATATTCAAGTTTTCCTATCAAACTGACAAGGGAAGGTTATAATGAAACTCTACCTCTTCATGTCTCATCCGTTCTATCATTTGCATAATGCTTACAAAGTGGTGGCATCGCTCTGAATGGTCCACCAGGTGTACAGGTAAGGGATGATCTTGCCATAATGTCCATTCAGCTAGAGAGAGTTGATGAATTCCAGTCGTTGGTTCTTGAACCTTGGTAAATGATTTTAAAGTAATAAAAATGCTAAGATCAGATATAAATACTCACTGAGATTTCATAAACTCATTTTAAAAACACTCCTAATAGGTAGATAATAACCTAACACAAGTAATTTGAATTCATGTAGGCAAGGCCAACTAAAATCCCAGAAAAAAGAAAATGATTTCAGAAAGTACAGAGATGCCCTTTGATATACATTCTAAAATAATTGTTCTACTACTTTAATTTGATCATATTCCTATTTTATAGTTCCATGTTAAGAGCGACCACTTAAAATACATTTGGTTTCAAAACATTATGCTCAATTTAGATTCTAAACTCTAGCAACGAGGCATCGTAATATCTTGGTGGTACTGACCCCAAGTCAGCTCACCTGCTGCCATTCTTCATCTCCCTGTTAGTGATTAAAATTTAAAAATTCAGATAGTTACAATCTCTAGCAATCTTATAAAACAGACTCCAGACACTGTTTTCCCGGTTCCCTCTGCACACATGCTGCTCTGATCAGTTCTCTGGGCTCATAGTAAACTAATCAATAATTTGTTGCTTTTGGTGATGCTGATGCTGAGGATCAAACCCACGCATCTGTGAATACTGCATAAGCTCTCTACCTCCGAGCTACATTGCCAGCTCCAGCGCAACAAGAATTTGCTCATAAAAAACATGCAATTTTACATTTTAAATATAATCTCAAAACAAAACCAGTTTGTATAAAAAAAGCAGGTGACAACATAACGTTACTAAAATACAAAAAAAGATTTTTCTCAAAATACATCAGGGAAACAGCCTAGCAAACTATGGAAGATTACAGATGAAAGTGACAACCGTGTAGGACTGTGCCTATTTAGAAATGTTTATATTGGGGCTGGGGATTTAGCTCAGAGGCATAAGCACCTGCATTGCAAGCAGGCAGTCGTGAATTTGATCCCGGTACTGATAAAAAGGAAAAAGACAAAAAAAAGGAATGTTTATATTGCTGGGCAGGGTGGCATATTCCTATAATTCTAGCACTCCGGAGGCTGAAGCAGGAGACGTGTTCAAGGTTAGCTAGAGCTACATAGTGAGTTCAAGGCCCGCCTGGACCATACTGCAAGACTCTGCTGGGGGGAGGGGGATATAATATAGTAAAAATAATAAAGAAAAAAGCAAAATTTATATAAAAATCCATATATAATATGAAAATTTATAATTTTTAAAAGTTAAGACTTTAATGATTCCTTTTTAACTGATTACTTCTTTTTTGAAGTTGACATTCCATTTGCATTTCTTTCTCTGAGAAATGTGTTTTCATCTCAGATGCAAATTTTTAGACTGGATCTTTAAATCTGGGGGGATCTAATTTTTTCAATTCTTTATATGTTTTTTAGGTATTATTCTTTTAGCTGAAGGACAACTAGCTAAAATTTTTTCCCACTCTGTGGGTTGTCTTTTCATTCTGTTGACAATTTCTTTTGCTGTACAAAAGCATTTTAATAGGATGAGATCCTACCTGTTGATTCTTTGAAGTATTTCCCATGCCATCAGGGTTTTGTTCATGAAATCTTTGCCTACATCTATGTCATTAAGTATTTTACCTATTCTCTCTTCCAGGAGATTTAATGTTTCTGTTTTAATATTTAGATCTTTGATCCATTTTGATTTTAGTTTAGTACATAGTAAAGGACGAGATCTAGTAAATTTTGCAGAGGAAGAAACACAAACAGCAAATAAATGTATCAAAAAATGTTCTAAACCACTGCTCATTCACAGATGCAAATTAAAACAACACTGAGATTCCATTTCACCCCAGAAAGAATGGCTATAATAAAAAAAAAAAAAATCAACTGATAACAAATGCTACAGGGGCTGTGAGGAAAAAGGAACACTTCTCCACTGTTGGTGGGAGTGTAGACAGACCATTAGTGTGGAGGTTCCTCAAAAAAGTAGGATTAGAGGTCCCATTTGATCCAGTAATTCCCCTGCTGGGTATCTTCCTAGAAGAATTAAAAACATAATGACATAATGATATATGTGCACCCATGTTTATAGCAGCACAGTTTGGTTTGTTATGGTTTTGTTATGGTTCATTTATTTGTTTGTTTTTCCATCTTTTTGAGACAGGGTTTCACTATGCAGTTCAGGCTGGCCTTGAACTCACTTTGTAGCCCAGGCTGGCCTCTCAAACTTGCAGCAATCTTCCTGCCTCAACCTGTTAAGTGCTGGGGTTACAGATGTGAGCCACCACGCCCAGCCTAGCAGCATAGCTTGTAATAGCTAGATTTTGAAAGAGCTAAAATGTTTATCAACCAAGGAATGGATAAAAAAAAGATGTGGCTTTTATACAATAGAATACTACTCAAGCTATAAGGAAAGATAAAATTGAGATACTCAAGGTAATGGATGCACTTTAAGACCATACTCTTAAGTGAGATAACCTAGATACACATGTATAAATATCACATTGTTTCTTTAGTGTGAAAAACCCAAGGGGCAAATAAGGACCTAAGTGTATAACAAATATTGTGAAACACTGTTCAAAAGAAAGGGGAACTAGGAGAAAGGGGGAAAGGAGGGAAGGAAAAAGGAAAAAAACGAAAGAATCTTTGTAAAATGGAAACGAAGCTTTGTAAATACAGAGAGGAAGAGGAATTGAAGGGAGAGGAGGAGACTGAAAAAAAATAAGAACTATGCTATATCATGTACCTATATCACGTACAAATTTCCTATGATGAATGTAATCATTAGGTATACCTAAATTGTACCAATAAACTTAATAACAAAGAAAAACCACATGCTTTCAATTTTAAAGGGAAACAAATTTGACATTTCCTCCATGAAGCATGGTCAGTCTTTAATGTGCTGTGCTCAAATTTAAGTTAACCAAGGACACTGCATGTTCGAAGCACTGAGTGTACAGGGACAGTTTAATAAATTCTGTTCATGAAAAAAAATTAAAGTTGACATTTCCAAAAGCAAACATCTCAGACTTGCGTCGGCAGCTCATATACCAAAGAGACATCTCTCGTGACTCCCAAAGCTATTTCAGAATCACTACTTAAGCCATCTGAAAACAAGCTCAACTTACTGGTCCATTTTCTGCTTCCTGTAAAGATGGAAAATGAACTCGAGGCAATGTTATCTCCTTAATTTTATCACTGTTTCTTAATCTATAGAGTCTGTTCCATAATTTAAATTCTTCTTCTGTTAAGAACCAATCTTCATTTGAGTTATTTTGTCTTAGACCTGTAATTTGAAAAACACAATTGCAAAGTTTAAAAACACTCCAGGCAACTGCAACATATACACTACCAACTCAAACTGTGTACGTACCTCTGTTTATTCACTTCTGCTAAACCACGTACTTGAATTCTTTTTTTTTTTTTGCGGGGGGTCAGGGGAGGGTTCTCACTATGCAGTTCAGGCTGGCCTTGAGCTCACTTTGTAATCCAGGCTGGTCTTGAAATTCACAATGATCCTGCTGCCTCAGCCTCTCAAGTGCTGAGATTACAGGAATGTGCCACAACGCCTAGCTTTTTTTGAATTCTTAAAACTAATATTTGGTATTTAAAATCACTTTGCTGGGGTTGCAGATTTAGCTCTATGGCTTAAGCATTTGCCTGGTAAAAGCAAGGTGCGATTCCCAGTACCAAAAAAAAAAAAAAATCACTGATCATTTCCGGATTCTGAGTCTATCAAATCTCCTAAGCTTCCCTCGCCTCTTTGAAAGTACCCTTCTTGGGCCTGGGGATTTAGCTCAGCGGCATAAGCACCTGCCTTGCAAGCAGTCAGTCGTGAGTTCAATCCCTGGTACCGATAAAAAGACAAAAAAAAAGAGAAAGTACCCCTCTTTTTGGGGCTAACCATGAGGAACAGCATCCTTAACAGGATAGACCTAGCTAGCTGAGCCCTTGGCCAACCTTCTTTTGCCTGATAAACAGCAGAGCCAGATAACTGAAAAATGAAACTAGTATCATGGTTCTATCAGAGTAGTGTTGGAAAAGTTATCTGAAACTTGGGGAGATGAGAAAAGTTAAGACTAAGCTAGTTTGCTGACCCAGACCTGTAATTCCAACACTAAGAAGGCTGAAGAAGGAGGAATATTACCCACTAGGGCAGCCTGGGTTACTCAACAAACAAAAAAATGAAAACTTACAAGGGTTATAGGCTTTAGTCTGGAATAGGAGAGGAAGAAGAGCAAACAGTAGGGGATAATTTGCTGGGTTAAAATATTTTTAAAAATACACTGTAAAAGCTGCATCAAAGTGAATTCTTGGCTTCCACATTCTCTAGAAACAAGAACAATCAGCAAATAGGAAAAAATAAATAAATAAATACATTTTAAAAAATCCAGTAAAAGAAATTCTGAAGCACCTGCCTGGCAAGCACAAGATCAGGAGTTCAACCCCCTTCCTACAAAAAAAAAAAGAAAGAAAAGAAAAGAAAGGAATTCTGCCCCAGTGCAGATGAGGTTGGAAAAACTGGAAAAAAACTTGAAAGGTTCCCCAATTAGGAATCAGGAAGGGGAAGGTGAAGAAAAAAGAACCAAGAGGAGATATGCATATGTGCCCACACCCCACTATGCATACAGGATATGTCTCACAAGGGAGAAGGGAGGGAGAAAGGAAAGCAACAGTAAAAAAAAAAGGAGAAAGGAGAAAGAAAACATGGAAACAAAGCTTTTAAGTTACATCATGTACAGGTACAAATTCTCTAGGATGACTGTGATCATTATGTATATTGAAAGTGTACCAATAAAATCTGATTATAAAAAGAATATACTCGGACTTCCGGGAGAACATGACAGATAGATAATAGCAGCTATAGAGGCTCTCTGAAACAGCCAGCTTAGAATCCAGGAATGGTGCGGTGTGAGGAGTCCTAAGCAAGGAGAGATATACCCTGCTGACCTAGGAATGAACTAAGCTGAGAGAAACCAACTGGAAATGCAATCCCAGTGCTATAACAGGAAGAGATAAAATCTCAGGGCTAAGGCTGGAACCCATGCCTCTGGAAACCACGATTTCAGTTTCCTGTTACCACTGCTGCATCTGAATCGGCACTGCAGGGACAGAGATACGAAAGCTCTGAGAGCAGAAATCAGCGAACAGAGTTGAGAGCAGGACTGGTGGGGAGCCCTGCATCGAACTGCAGTGAGTGAGAGGAATGGGAACCCTTCCATAGACTAGGAGGTTCCAACAGAGGACATTCTGGGGCCGGGCAGACTAGCCGGAACAGGACGCTGCAGTGACTTTAGTCGCATATTCCCCTCTCAAGCGGGATTGGTGGGGAGCACTTGACTTGGTTGACGCCGCGGACTAAGACCCAGTAGGCTAGACCAAATCAGGTCCCAGTGCCTGGCAGTGCACCCTAGCAGTGAAGCCTTCAGTAGGTTGACCTGGAGGGGTGGGCCCAGCAGAAGCTGCCCAGGCCTGTATCTCCCTAGTACCCTGCAGAGGAACACCTAGCCAGCCCGATTCAAACAAACTGTAGCTGACAAAGAAAGAAACTGGGCCTCCTATATATGCCTGTATAGAAGGAACAAAAAATATGGGAAGAAGGAGCAACAAGAAAGGGGCCTCGGCCCTCAATCCTGAAAACACTGATCCAGGAAAGGCAAATGCAAAGGAGAATGAGAACATAAAACATGCAATATCAGACACGGCACCAATATACATAAAGTGATATCTCCGGAGCCTCACAGACAAGTTCAAAAGTGAAATATTTAACCAAGTAAAGCAAGATATAAGTAGAATAGTTAGAGAAATGCTAAACACTGCCCAAGAAAAAACAGATGGTGGAATGGAAGAACAGAAAAAAAGAGGAGAATTGTTTGATGGAGAAAACAGAGAAAACATAGAATACATGAAACAGGTTCAAAGAGATTACCAGGAAACTAAAAACTCTATCAAAAGATGGCATAACAGCTTGAAAGAAACTAAGGATACATTAGCTGAACTGGAAGACAGATTTGTAATGTGGGAACATGAAATGAAAAGCTTCTTAAAAATAACAAGGAAACAAACAGCAATAATACAAAGGCTAGAAGATGATAAGAGGATCTATAACTTAATTAAGAATGTAAGAGAAGTAGGGACTCAAACAAATGAACTACAAAAGCTATTCACAGAAATAATCCAGGAGAATTTCCCTAATATGGGAAAAGGTAAAGATACTCAGATCTATGAGGCATACAGGACCCCAGCCACCTACAGCCCAAACAGAACTACACCCAGGCATATAATAATCAAAATTCCAGAAATCCAATATAAGAACAGAGTATTAAAAGCTATCAGAGACAAGAAACAGATCACTTACAAGGGAACACCCATCAGAATTACAGCAGACTTCTCAGCACAAACCATCAAATCACGAAGGGCATGAGGGGAAATAATTCAAGCTTTGAAAGATAATAACCTCCAGCCAAGATTGATATATCCTGCACAACTGTCCCTACAAATTGATGGAAAAACAAGGTGCTTCCAAGATAAAGAGGAACTAGGGGAATTTGCAACCACCAATTCAACTCTACAGAGAATATTGCAGGACATTCTAAAAAAACAATACCAAGATTCCAGAAACAGTGGCAGAGAGGCCACAATGAATGGAACAGAAAGCAAAATGAAGAAGACAAACTGACAACTAATGACAGAAAAAGAGCTCAACAGAAATGAAGCAGAGAAGGTTGGATGGTAGGAACAGCTATTTTGGAGAAAACAAGACATCATAATAGCTAGTGCTGATTTAATATCATCTTGTTTTAAAGTCCCATCAAGCTTTTGTTCTTCTGTCTCCATCAGTCTTAACATGTTGTATCTTATTGGATATGTGATAATATAAACAAAAACTTTATAGACAAGGAGATTATACAGAAACCATTGTTCATTTTCTGTTAGTTGATTTCTGTAATACTGTCATTCTCTTGAATGGTTTTACATTGTCTTGATACTTGATGCTACAGTATACGAAGTTATATTCAAAGATTGCAAGGAAAGAGACACTATGGTAACTACTTTTATGTCAGGATATATTGTGGTGAAACACTATTTTGCTTAAATGGTTATGTTTTGACCTGTGCTGTTTTGTTGTTATATCCTCTATTATCTCAATCTCTTTTTTTTTACTATTTATTTTTTTATTTTTATCTTTTTAATTAAGGAAAAAATAAAAAATAGCAGGATATATTATAGTAACCCACTTTGATTTCCTATTAACTTGATTTGAAACCCTGTATTGCTCTCACCATCTTGTTTTGATTGATTTTCCTCTAATCTGTTTTGCTTGATAGTACCAAGTTTGAGAGTATAGGCAACAACTGTGAAGACAGTAAGATTCATTATGCCGCCCATTCTGGTTTGACTATTATCTTCTTTTGAAGCCCTCTAATGTCTCCAATGTTTTGGTTTTATTGGTTTTGTTCTTTACTGTTTTGTTCAATTTTATTATAACTGATGATACAGGCAATTCTTTTTAAGATAGCAAGAGGCATTATGGTAACCAGTTGATCACCTTGTATTCGGTTTTTACATTATGTATTACATCCATCCTTTTGATTTGACTGACTCTGTTTTGTTATGTCACTTTTGGTTTCATTCTCTTAAAAAAAAAAAAAAACGTAATAAGAACTGTGGGAATAATAAAACCCAAAATGTATAATTGTGATTGTACAAAAGAGAGGAAAAGAAAGTGCTCTAAAGGATATATCTGCCATGTATATTTAAGTGTGTAAGATAGATAACCATATTACTGAGTTTTGTTGGATCACTGAACAGAACTGTTTGCAGTCTCACTGTTTGAATGTCCACTTTATATGCTTTAATTTTGTAACTTGAACAACTATTTCTATGATCACAATATGTAATCTATTAACTAGTGATTTCCTACTGTTTATTTTTTCTGAAATTCTGTATAACTTGCACCCTTTTTCTGTTTTTTTCCCTTTTTCTTAAATAAAATTTTTTTTAAAATGTACTCATCAAAACATTTTAGTAAAAGAAAATCTTTTATTTCTATAATTGTATAAAGGAACTTGGAAACTTCTGTCTCAACTACTCCCAAATACCGTTTAAGAAACTTTTAAAAATGCATGTTTCCTCATCTAAAGTTTTGAATTAAATCTTCCCTCAGGCCCTTCCCAGATTCAGTGCAAAGATCCTAGGTTTAATTTCCAGTACTCTCCCCCCAAAAGTAAAGAACCTATAGAACATAAATACATACAATCATGGCAAGAATAATCATAGACATTGAAAAAATGAGTAAGAGAAAAACTCAGGCGTAGTGATCTGTGCCACTAATTCCAGCTGCTCAGGAGGCTGAAGCAAGAAGACTAGGAGTTTCGGCTCAAGCAATTTAGTGACACTCAAGTTGTTTTTAAAAGGCTTGAGCTGTAGCTCAGGGCAAAGCTTTGGGTACATACCACAGCACCATTAAAAAAAGAAAAAACAAAAACAAAAAAACAAAGAGCAAGGCCAGTTTGGTGGCACAGATCTATAATCCCAACTATTGGAGAAGCTTAGGCATACAGCCGCCTAAATGAGCCCAGTCTGGACAACTTAGCGACATGGCATTTGGTGTAAAGGCCCTGGGTAAGTTCAATCCCAGTACCACAAACAAATTCATTCATTCATTCATCCTTCCTTCCTCTGGGTTGGTAGGCTATCTTCAATTTACCCCAATGTGAGCCTTTCTTGTTCGCTTATTTTTTTGTATGGAATTTTTTTCTTCCATAAGGAGGTCGGGGAGAGTGTGGGTGTGGGTGTGATTGTGTGTTTTGTGCACACAAGCATGGTTTTGAGGACTGAACTGAGGGGCATCCTATCTCCACAGCCTTTTAGTTTTTAGTTTTGAGACAGGGTTTCAGCATGTTGCCCAGGCTGGCTTCAAAGTTTCCATCCTTCTGCTTTAGCCTCCTCAGTAGCTAATGCCAACAAGCCCACCTAACACAAATGTTTCTGAACCCTACACTGGTGGTGTTTTCTTTCTTTTGCTACAACAACAATTTCTTATCCTTCCAAACCCAGCACCCAAAACATCTGAGAACATACACTGAGGTTTTCAAAGGAGAAAGAGTACATCGTACATCAAGTTATGATCTGTCAAATAAGACAGGAGAAGAAAATATGTAAAATGCAAACTTGTTTACTTACCATTCCTACAGGAAAAGAGAGAAGACTTCCATTTCATATTCCGAGCAGCCTTCTCGGGCTCATAGGTGGTGTGTGTGATGAACATCTTGTGTAGTTCTGGGTTGATTCCATCAGGAACCATTCGTGGACTTCTTTGGTAAAAATGAAGCACTTGTTTGCTACCTGAAATAGCTTTATAAATACTTCTTTTGTTGGACTGACTCTGATTGTAGGTCTATAAAAACAAATACAAAACCTCCAATTACATTATTTCTGTAATTTTCAGTCATAAAAAGCAATTTTTGTATTAGTTTGGGTTTACTATAAACAGAAAATCAAACCACTTCGCTTATAGGCTTTGAGAACAGAATTCTTATTTTTTTCAATTTTTTAAAAAATAGTGGAGGCTGGGGATTTAGCTCAGCGGCATAAGCACCTGCCTTGCAAGCAGGCAGTCGTGAGTTCGATCCCTGGTACCAATAAAAAGTTTCAAAAAAAGTTAAAAAAAAAAAAAAAGAATAATAAAAAATAGTGAACTGTTAGATTAACTTTTGATGAAGTCATTTTTAAATCCATTATTATAAAAGCTTACCTTAAAAACTATATTGTAGAAAGGAAATCTATTTTTTACTTATTACCTTACTGGTTTTGAATAAGGCTGACATTTACACATAAGTACAGTCATATAAGCATAAAAGTTTTCTGTGGTTGTTTTGTTTTTGTAGAACTGGGAATTGAATATAGCACCTTTACACTGAGCCACAGCCCCAGTGTTTTTAAATTTTTTAATATCAAAACAAAATCTCTGAGTCTTTGTGCTGAGCTACGTTCCCAGGCCTTCTTTTATTTTTTATTTGAGAGAGGGTATCGAAGTCCCAGAGTGCTAGGATTACAGGTGTGCACCACCAAGGCTGAATCCAGTTTGAGCACCTAAGTAACTCAGGAATCCCTGCCTCAAAAGAAAGAAAAAGCCCCAGAGATACAGCTCAGTGTGAAGGGCCAGGGATCAACTGCCAGTACTGGGAAAATAGAAGGCAAGAAAGAAGTTAGAAATCTTATACAGAATAAACTGCAATTACCTAAAAATTAGATTTCAACTGCTACAATACTGTTAGTTTTCTTTAGCCCATAGTTCTCAAATTTTAAACGTCAAGTCAGGTTTTGAAAGGCTACTTACGCGTTCTTCCCGTCCTTCAGCAAGGATAACAACAATCCTGCCCTGACGTTGGCGTCCAGTCCTACCCATTCGCTGTATGAGTCGGATGGGGCTCTTCTGGGCATCGAAACACACGATGAGATCAACTTCCCCTATATCCAAACCTTCCTCTCCAACACAGGTGGAAACCAGTGTATTGAAACCACCAGCACGAAATCGTTTCACTACCTGAAATAAACAGACTTACAAATTACTAGAAGTAAATTGTAAGAATTGCAGTGTATTGTTCCCACTCAACCCAAAATGGTGAAATAAGATTAAAAATCAGCATTAAGGATCCCACAGAAAAGGAAAAAAGTAGTCACCAAATGGCAATATAAGCCACAAGAGATTACGGTAAAATGGAAAGAACAGTCAAATTCCTTTATTTTAATAATGGTTGTGAGACTAAAAGGATTCATCCATTTAACAGTGTCTTAGTCCATGAAAAAGCATTGATTTTATATTTAGCACCGCTGAAAGGAACAGAGTGGAGGGAAAGGGTCTAGAGAAGTTATTCCTATTTAACATACCATAGATCTAAATAGCTGCATATGTCTAAAATAAAATTGTTTCGTTTCACCTACAATTCAAATCATACCGTTCACACAATTCCAGAATTTCTCTTTGCTCAGATTAATAAAACTACAATAGTTTGAGAATGAGTTAATGAAAAGTCAACCGAGCATCTTGAAAAACTTCTGTAAGCCTTTTAAGTTCAGAACGTGCTGCGAGCTCAGTTTGCCCGTGCGTCTCAGCACCCATATTGCAGCTGAAGAACGATGGAGTAGGAGTGGTAGAAACACAGTAACACAGTATTGAAACTGAGTTAGACAATAATAACAGTGATAGCTGCTATACACAAGGATACACCGTGTGCTAGGCACTATCTTAAGTACTTTATCTATTAGCTACTACTTCCAGCAAGGCTATCAGGTAGATATTACCACTTCATCTTACTGAGGAAACTGAAGATCTGAGGGGTTAAACTATTTTTACCTGAAGTCTCACTAATAATTGTCAGCATTTGAAATTAGATCTATTTGACTCCAAAAACCTGTTATCTTAATCCTTAAGCTAATTCTGTTAAAACAACCTGAAAAGTAGGAAAAAAAGTACAACCTTATGATATGATATAGGTCTTCTTGGAAATCTTTCCAGTATCAACAGTCAAAGACTGCCTGGCAAGCACAAAGTCCTGAGTTCAATTCCCATTACAAAACAAAACAAAAAAAACCACAAAGGGTATTACTTCAACATGGGAAACCTTAGTACAGGGAGAACCAATCAACAGAATTAAAAGTTAAGAATCCATTTCCTTTTGGAATCTGTAGTAACATTAAGCCTTGAAAAACTGACTTAATATTACCTGCATATAACTTTTAAAAAGTGGTAGATAAAGGGAAAAAGGGGCCATAGTAGTAGAGATATAAAAATGTACCCTGGGCTGGGGATTTAGCTCAGCGGCATAAGTGCCTGCCTTGCGAGCACGTAGCTGCAAATTCAATCCCCAGTACTGACAAAAAAAAGAAATAAATGTAACCTGTTAAGTTAAACGTAAAGGTTTGGAAACTTGGCAGGGTAAATTTATGCTGATCTACTCTAAGTAATTTTTAATAAAGGCATCAAACTCTGATTTTCATTAGTTTTACTTTCTAGTAACTCTTATTTTTTAAGGGGGGGGTCCTCTCACTATGTAGCCCAAACTGGCCTTGGACTCAATCTTCCTGCCTCAGCCTCCTAAGTACTCAGATTATAGACATGTGCCACCACAGGTATCTTCTAGTAATTCATTTTTGATATATTATTGAACGCTATCAGTCAGTGACTAATGGGAAGAAATAAACTGGTACCCCGCAGTTTTGAAATTTGAAATGCATTAATCTAACAGGTCTGTCAAAGATAACTTTTCAAATAACCAAGTTCCAAATATTCTCTCCAAAATCTGCTTTTACTGCAGTCTTCTCCATCTGAGTTGATGGAAGTTTCTCTCAGTTGCTGAGGTCAAAGATCTTGGGGTCACATTTCCTGCTCCCTTATCACACATTTCATTGAATTTAGCAATATATCTTGTCAGCATGACCTTCAAGATACACCCAGAACTATTTCTCACAAACTTCCTTGATGTCACTCTGGTCTAATCCACCATCACCCTCATTAGAATTCTGATACACTGGGGACTGGAGATTTAGCTCAGCAGCATTTGCACATGCCTTGCAAGCAGGCAGTCGTGAGTTCAATCCCCGGTACCAATAAAAATGAATAACACACACAAAAAAAGAATTCTGATACATCTTCCAACTGGTCCCCCAGTTTGCACCAGTGATTCTTTTAAAATGATCTTCCCAGGCTAAGCATGGCGGCACTTGGGAGGCTAAGGCAAGAGGATCAGAGAGTACAAAACCAACCAGTAAGTTCAAAGCCAGAGTGAACTATATCGTGAGACCATTATCAAAAAATTAAATTACATTAAAAAACAATTAACAACAAAAGAAAGTGGCAGAGACCAGGTTGGGTTGGGTATTGTGTATATTTTAAATACCTACTACGGGTATCTCAAATACAGACAATGCCTGATCCGTAAGGCATTTTATTTTTATTCATGTATACATGTTAAGTTTATTAATAATCAATGGACTCCTGAACTCTTTACAGTGACTTATAGTATGGCTTGACAATGGATAAAGGTGTTATCTTCAAACTCAGGAAGTCTTCACATTCTTATCAAGTCAGCTTAAACAGACTCTTCTGAATGCAGAGAGGACCACCAAAATGGGCATGGAGGAGGGGCTGGAGACTGCATCTCACCTCGTGGTCCAGGCCCAGGCGGGCCTCAAACACTGTACTGATATAGACTAGCCTAGGACTCCACCCTCTCCTGCCTCAGTCTTCCAAGTGCTACAACTGTCGGCATACAGTACTAAAAAGGCCCAGCTAAAAAGGCATTTAAAATCTGGAATTCCTCATCTACTAATATAAAGAATCAGAACATGGCTGTTGAGTGAGACATCAAAAACACGTCAGTGATTGATCTGGAAAAATCTACATAAATTCATAAAATCTTAATGTAAAATTTCCCCTCAAAACATCATAGAGCATGGTACTAAAACCTTAAATACCACCATGGCTTCTTCTGATCATACTTTTAAAATTAGATTCTTAAAATAACCAAAAAAAAAAAAAAAAAAAAAAAAAAAGACGTCATTTATTCAGAAGAAATTATAAAAGGGGCTTAAATAAACATATATGCCAGGCATAATGGCACACGCCTATAATCCCAGCAGGAGACAGCAAGAGGATCTCTACAGATTCAAGGCCAACCTGGCCTTCATAGTAAGTTTGAGACCAGCTTGGAGTACAAAGCAAGACCCTGTCTCAAATAAATATATACATACCTTGTATACATACATTTATTGTTGATTATATAATAAGATCTCATTTAATGCTTATAACAACCCCATGAAGTAGGTTTATGAATAAGAAAAATTGAAGGACACGGAATAACTTTTAAGTGGATTCTACATTAAGACGTATGATTAGAGCATTTCTGCTTAATCATTATACTTTATAATACCTAAAAATAAATGTTGCAAAGTCACTATAAAACATACTTTACTTACAAATAGAAGTTTCAAAACTGTTTAAAACACTTCATTTGATCTTTCAAAATATGCTTAGCTTTATTTTCAAATTTACTATAAAATCACTTTTTTTTCTTGAGACTGGTTCCTGCTGTTAGTTTAGGCTGGCCTCGAGCTAGGGGTAATCCTATTGCCTCAGCCCCGAGTGCTAAGATTACAGATGGGCACCACCCATACCCAGCTAAAATTACCTTTAAGTACCCAACTGACCAATGAGGATAAAGAAGCATTAAGTACACACCTAATCAATTTTAATTTTATTTCGTTGTCTTTAAAAATAATTACCTCCAGTTGCTCCTTCTGGGTAAAACCTTTCATGCCTTTCCCTGAAGCATGGCCAACAAAAGTCATTACTCTAATAATTGGCTTATGCTTTAAAAGCATTTCTGCAATTTCCTGAACACTATCTCGAAATGAAGAGAAGATCATAACTCTGGTCTCACTGCATTTCTTTTCAGCGGTGTTCTGAGCTGTGTAACAAAAAGCATTTTAAGTATCACTTTTAAAGAAGCATTTATTACACACATGTACCAACCCCCAAAATTACTAAAATGCATGCAACTGTGCCACAAACATGTACTAATAAAATTTTTAAAAATAAAGCATTTAGACAAGAACTAGTTCAAAACACAAATCTAAAACTATAGGAATGAACAATAATTCTTTAAAGAAGGTATTTTAAGACTTTTGGGGGAGGCTCATTGCTGTGGACCATACATACAGCTTCAAAGATTCTAGATAAGGTCTCTCCCACTCAGCTCTATCCCTGGCCCAAAACTTAAAATTACTTCTTTTTAAACATTCTCTAGTAGTTTTAATAATCTTGGCTCTTTATTTCTCATCTGCTACCATCAAGTCCTAAATAATTCAAATAAGAATTCCTAAATCACTTGACTTAAGAATTTTGACTTGGTCTGTTAATCTACATGATTTGGGATCTGTCTGTATCTCACTTAAATCACTCTTATTCTCACGTTAAAGCTCACCTATTTACTGATCCATAATCATATGCAGTATCTGACTGCCACAGTGCCTCTGAATCTGCTATTCTCTCTGGCTGGAAAGATTCTCCTTCTAAGGTCCACAAGGTTTGCACTTACATTTCCATCAGTTACCAGTTAAACATCTCTGGAACAGGCTTTCTAGAGACGGGCCATAGAGGAGTGCTGTGCATAGACCAACTTACGCACTGCACTCCTCTATGACTTGTTCTCTAGCAATCCACTTTACTTCTTCTTGCCACTAATACTATTACTGTATATTGTTTTACATTTCCTTTCCCAGTATTTCTTCAAACAATTTTCCCATATTAATACCTTATTCTTAACCTTCCCACCATTGTCTTTGCTCTAATTCTTCACAAAATATCTCAGAGCTTTTGAATATTCATTATCCAGAATAATTAAAAGCCTGTATTTTATCCACAAGTGTTAGCATAAACTAATGACAACGTTTTAGCTGTTTCAATAACTGTCTTACCTTTAAGCTACTAAATATTACCTACCATTCCATGACTTGAAGTGTTCAACTACAACTTCTTCTAATTTCTTCAATTTTGGATGACTATAGAAAATCTTTTTATCTTTATCTTCTGCAGAAAAAAAGACAGCAAAAAAATTATCTGTATTTTTCCAAATTCAATTACATTAATGTCTATTCTTATCCTTTTCAAAATATCTATGTTAAAACTTACTTTTTATTTTTATAAATAGTAAACAGCATCTAGGTTCATGAATAAATGCAAAAGAAAAAAACATTTGCATTTTTCTGAAAATTTCATTCTGCAAGAGAACCCAAACAGAAATCAGAAATAAAGAAAAAGGAAAAAATATATTTAAATAAATAAAATATGTTTGGATGCTGGAACTGGAAGAATCCAACAAGAAGCCAACCAGCCAGCCTTTGTGGTAAGTCACACAAGCCACGCAGCTTCCAGGAAGAGAAAAGTCAGTGCCTCCCGTGAGCCTATTTGGCACCTGGGCTGAGAATCAATCCCCTCTCCACTGTAAGCAACCCGCTGGTTCAGAGGACAGGCTGAGTTGATAGCAACTAAGGTACGTAAAGCAACTAAAAGCTTGTATTGTTGGGTTGATTATGCAGGCCTAGTGCCAGCTGTTTGAGTATCTCTTGGGAGGATGACAGTATAGCAAGTATGAGGGATTTCCTTGTATCTTGCCTTTGAAACCCAATACTCTTCTCACTGTTTTGCTTTGTTCTGATTAACTGCTTTGCTTTACTCAATATTCTGATTTGATTGGTTTTATTGTGTTTTGTTTTTGGTTTGATTTTGCTATACCTGATGGAATGGACAACTATTAGGAAGATAACAAGAAATACCATAGTAACTATTGCTATTTTCCTAGTATCCCACTTTGAAGTTCTGTACCAATTTTACTGCTTTGTTTTGATTGGCTTTGTTCTGTTGGATTTTACTATCTTTAAAATAAAAAAAAATTAAATATATTTGAAGATCAAAAAATAAAAATAAAGATCAATTTGGGGCCGGGGATTTAGCTCAGCAGCATAAGCATCTGCCTGGCAAGCACAAGGTCATGAGTTTGATCCGTGGTACCAAAAAAAAAAAAAAAAAATCAATTTGATCATCAGTAACCACACATAATACCTATTATTATATAAAGTTTATAAAGGTTAAACTTGAATGTTTATTAACTTCAACTCAAATAAAACCTTTAAACTTTTAACAGAGTTGTAACAAAAATGTAACTATAGGTACAATGGAATAAAATTCCAAAATTAGTCTTTTTTTGTGCTGGAAATCAAACTTATGACTGTGCTTGCCACGCAGGCAATGTGCTGCTGAGCTATACCCCAGTCCCTCAAAATTAATCTTAATAAACAAAACTAATCACTTTGGAGGCTGAGACAGGAGGACTGCCTTGAGTTTGAGACCAGGGAGAGGGGAGATGGAGAGGGAGAGAAGGAAACATACAATTTAATTTTTTTTTATTTATATATTTTGAGGCAGCATCTTGCTATGTTGTCAAGGCTGGTCTCAAATTCCTGAGCTCAAGCAATTTTCCTGCTTTAATCTCCAGAGTAGCTGGGATTACAAGCATATGTCCCCATGCCTGGTTAAAACAATATATAATTTTATATGAAAAATCAGACCTCTGTGGACAGCAGAAGTATCATGTGCAAACATGCACTCTAGATGATGATAGAGTTTCACGAAGTCCTCATTTCTGCAAAGTTCATTTTTTGCCCGTGTCATTCCTTCAGAAATTAAGAAAAGGTTTTGAAAATAAACTTTATAGCAAATCTCATCAAATTTATTACTTTTAAAAAGAAATTAAACTGTGACAATGAATGCAGATTTCTCAAATTTAAACACGAACAGAGGTATTAATGAATGCTTTCTTTTCTCTAATAATTTATCAACAAAGAAACATGGCTGTTTAGTCATATCTCGTTGCTTTTAAAAATATTTTTAATTAACTCAACTCAATATATTCAATCTTTCAACAAAATAATACTTGTCATTATTTCTTTAATAATTTCATATCATTTACCTTTTGTTCCATCCATAATTCCACAAAGGAAGAAATATAATGATCTCATTCCCATTTGTTGCAATAATTCATAACCATGATATAAACTAATACAAATGGCAAATTCTCCCTCAATTATGCCTTGTTGTATTCCCTAGGAAAAGAAGCATATGTCAAATTGAACCAAAGAAAGACATACACATCCTCCACACCCCCGCTGTCAGGGCAAATGACTGTAACATTTATAATATAATTAAAATGATCATAAGTAATCCCTTCTATTCTGAGCACAACTTATTGGTTCTATTGAATGCAAATGTTATATAGTATGTTCTATGGAAAGGTGCCAATGTGATATCCACATGAAATCTATCCCTTTATTTCATTTTTATTTTTATTTATTTATTTATTTATTTATTTATTTTAAATCAGTACCAGGGATCAAACTCACGACTGCCTGCTTGCAAGGCAGGTGCTTATGCCGCTGAGCTAAATCCCCAGCCCTCTTCATTTTTATTTCAACAGGAAATTTCCACTTTAAAACAAAAAGGAGAAACATTAATCGTATATTGATTCTCCTTATAGGGAAAATAAATAGATCCACATGGTATTTCAAAACTAGTAAATACCTACTACATGTTAAGCATTCAACTACAAAAAAGCAACTCAGGGACAGCATGTCTCAATATAAAAAAATCTCTTCAAAAAGTTTTGGTGGGGATGTAGCTCAATGCAAAGGCCCTGGATTTTGCAGGAAGAAAGAAAGACAGGCAGGCAGATAGATAGACAGACACTTAGAAAGAAAAGATACAGACACACACGAGGCCTATCCTCGTTCATTTCGCTAATGAATCTGGCAAAAGGACAAGAATCTAATCAGACTGACAGCAACATTTAACACCAAATATATATGCTATTGTTTAAATGTTCAGGCATGCTTCAGATTAAAGGCACGCACCCCCTGTACCCAGCTGATCATCTAACACTGGGCACTGGACATTGTTCTAAGCAAATGATTTCATCTTCACAACTAGAATGTAGGCACTATTATTATACCCATTTTATAAATGAGAACAACTCAAAGGTGGTAAGTAGTACAGCCAACATTTAAATTCTGGACATTTGGTCTAAAGAGGCCTGTGCTTTCAACTGTTCCCCTGGGGGGAACACAGGAAGCAATGGCAGGTGGGTCCCTGTGAAAAGACAGTTTTAAAAGAAGCTGCGTGTACTGGTACACCCCTGTAATCCCAGCACTGGAGAGACTGAGATGGAGGATGGCAATGAGTCAGGCCAGCCTGAACTGCAAAGCAAGACGTGGTCTCAAAGAAAAAGACAATTGAAAATATATTTTAACTATTTTCCTTTATTTTTTTCTACTTACAATTTTAGTAACATTTGATCAGTGATGTCATTTAACATGTTTCCAGAATAGCAAAAAATACCCTAAAAGGGCACTCTAATTACCTAAAGGATAAAATCACCTCTGTGTAAATGTAACTCTCACAAGAAGTTCAACAGGTTTGGATTTACTATTTAAAATTTTAATCAACATTTTACTCGCAGCAGATTTTAAAATTTATATGGTACAGTTTTGAATACTACCACAAAATGTCATAGAAAAGGCTCCATTAGTCATTCCTCAGACACTGCAGGGTAAAACCTTCAAAACCACTCTCATGTGGTCACAACTTTCATTACCACATCTGGCTGTCCCCATCCCGAATCTCAGCCAGAACGGGTCCCTCACTGTCTCCTCCAGGGCTTCGCTCAGCAGGCTCTGTTCTCAGGCATCCACTGCCCTCTGCTCAGAAACTGACTCGGCGCCTTCCTATGCCTGTGGGAACTTCTTCTGACTTTGGACCTAGCTTGACGGACAGTTCTCTACCCAGCTACTTTTCTCCTACAAAGATTAGAAATAAGAAGCTTACTGTGATGCTTCCTCCAACTCAGGGCATCTCGAGTAAGACTAAAAGTTCTGCATCTTTAATTTAGTTAGAATGTACTTTTTCATGGCTGACTTCATAAAACAGATATGGGCTAAGCAACCAATTCTTTGTTCAAAATTAAAAGATAGATTTATCTTAATTCAAATTATTAAACTGTATTATTAGATTTTTTATACATTTGTAAACTATATAAATATATCTAAATTCTTAACTTCTAATATGTAAAAAAAAAATAGTTATTACATTTATCCTGGTTCTGAGTAAAAATTTAATCATAAAGATTTATTAAAAATACCTACCACGGGGTCAGGGATATAGCTCAGCAGCATAGCGCCTGCCTGGCTACCAAAAAAACAAACAAACAAACAAACAAAAAACACCTACCACAATATCTGGAGATGGGTTTTTCCTAAACTGATCTCTTGCCAGAATTATCTGGTATTTTGTCAGATTGGAGATATCCCTTCTCATCAAAACATTCCTGTGAATCAGGGGACTGGCAAATGCTTCCAAAATCTGCAAAAAAAAAAAAAAAAATCAGCTCAAGCTTGTTTTAAAGTCCCTTTGACAGGTTCTGCTAGTCTAAGGCTTAACTATTTGTAACATTACATTTGCCAGGGGACCCAGAGAAGCAACTCATCTCTCCAAGAGTAGCTTCTACTTTCTGCTTCACATTCCAGAGATAAACCTCCCACTCCCTTTGGAGCCCTCTCCAATCCCAAGACTCCACCACCACCCAAGCCTCCACTCCCAACCCCCAGCATATCTTCATTTCCTGTTTTACTCAGCAGATGCGGCTTCAAAACAGCAGCTGATATGTCATTTCGCCCACCTCTCAAACTTTGCCCCCCAGCCAAAATTGATAAAAGTACTCCCACTTCTTTTTCTTGTTGACAACCACAATATCCCCATGAAACTCTCCCATGCCCGCATTCAAGGCCTCTTCCTCTCTCTCTCTCATTTTCTCTCCATTGCTTCAGACTGGGTGCCCAAAATACTCAATCGCTCTTCTCAAATAAAACCAAATCACGCATATTGGGATTTAACTCAGTAGTGTAAGCAGATGTCTGGCAAACATGAGGTTATGAGTTCAACTCCCGGTAACAAAAAACCCCAAAAAGGTATAATTAATAAAGTCTGATATAAGTGAATTTTTAAGTCGATACAAACAAAGACAACAAAATTTAAAACTACTTGACACCTACCCCAGATAATATCAAAACTGAGGATAAGCTATTGTTATATTTGACAATTTAAGAACACATTTGTTTATTTACATTTTTTTAACTCATCATCAACCTGCACACACTACAATCTAAATGCTATGGAAAAGGGGCCTTAAATTTCTTTACTGTTACATTCTCAGTGCCCAGAGCAAAGGAAGGCAGATAGGTCCTCAGTAAATACTTGCAGACTAGACTATGGAATAAGTATCTTGAATGTATTTAATTTTATTCATTTATTTACTCATTCAACAAATATCTCTTAAACATTTATCATGTGTCACGTAATGTTCTGAATGCTGGGGATATTGTGGCTGAGACAAATAAAGATGCGGCTTGCAAATAATTTACACTTCAGTGGGAAGAGGTAAAGGATAAAAAAGCGAACAGCAATGAGGCTGGGAATGTAGCTCAGAGGTTACTGTGCTTGCCTACCCGGGGCAGGGCCATGCCTTCAAGCCCCATCAATGAGAAGCAACAAAAGGAGGAAACAAAAAAGTAGGTTATTTTGCTCATGAATGGGCTTAAGAATATAAAATGCAATAATGCTGCAGAAGCCAGGCAGTGATGTGCACCTGTGATCTCAGCACTCTGGGAGACTGGAGAATCACAAGCCAGGCCACTTTGCCAACTTAGCAACACCTCATCTCAAAAATTAAACAAGGGGTCGGACTCTATCTCAGTGCAAAGGCCATGGGTTCCATCCCCTGTACTGGGGGAAACAAAGTCAGAGTCTGAGTTGACAGGTGAATAATGAGGCTCTGAAGAGACAGCATTTCAGAAAGGAACGAGACCAAAGGTAGGGGTGAGACTGAAGGCACACCGAAAGAAAGCTCCGGAGGAAGACCTACTACAGCAATGTGTAATAATGAAGTTTTAACTAATTTTCATTCCTTAAAATGGAGGTATTTTGGGTACATTTTCCCCTCCATTCAGACTTTGCTAATCATACTAAGGAAGTACTCTGAAAGCTGGGTGTGGTGGCCATGCTTATAATCCTTGCACTCAAGAGGATGAGGCAGGAGGACTTGCCATGAGTTCAAGGCCAGCCTGAACTACACAGTGAGACTCTATCAAAAAAAGAAAAAGCACCTTGAATATTTTTAACGTAACTAAATCTAATTATGATTATATCAATAATTTTTTTTTAATTTTTTTTTTTTTTTTTTTTTTTTTTTTGTCTTTTTTCCTTTTTATTGGTACCGGGGATCGAACTCACGACCACCTGCTTGCAAAGGCAGATGCTTATGCCGCTGAGCTAAATCCCTAGCCCTATATCAATAATTTTTATATATTGCTTTAAATGGAATAATTTTAAAAAGACAAAACACCTCAGCATTGAAGAGACTGAAGCTAGGGACAGGAATGAGGCTCAGGGCCTGCTTAGCATGAGTAAGGCCTCAGGTTCAACTCCTAGTACCATGCTGAAGGGAGAGAGAGAGACAAACACAAGAGAGCAACTACTAGAAAGACTTCCCGTCTTATAGGAATGCTGTTTAAAGGTCTGCAAGAAAAACCATATTCCTAATACACTTATTTTAAATTTATACTAAAAAGGGCTGGGGATTTAGCTCAGTGGCATAAATGCCTGCCTGGCAAGCACAAGGTCATGAATTCAGTCCCCGGTACCAAAAAAAAAAAAATTTTGTATTAAAAAAAGGATATATACTGAACAACAGAGCTCAATGTTTCACTCATCTATTCTGTAAAGCAAACGGTTTCAGATCACATCCGTGAAAACACCACCATTTTACTTGCTCACAGCCCTGCATGTGTAGTCACTGCATGGGCCTAGGAGCAGCAATGCCACAGTAACAGTGACCGCAACCAGTGCACTGACACTGGTTCCCAAACGTTCTTCCACAGGAGGAACAAAGCATCCTTAGGGAAATGACTCTACCTCTGGCAAGGGAAAAATAAAAGTATACAGCCTTAAAATACTGTGTGAGAAAGTTAGTGTGTGTGTGTGTGTGTGTGTGTGTGTGTGTGTGTGTGAGGTGAGGTTAAGGCACAAATCTACAGCGCTCTAGTGCCTGCCTGGCAGGTGTGAGATCCTGAGATCAATTCCTGGTACCTCCCCTGCCAACAAAAATCACTCCAGAGGCATATTTGTTTTGTGTTAGGGCACAGTTTTTAAGTTGCCCAGACTGGGCTGAACCTTATGATCCTCCTGCCTCAGCCTCCCATTATTGTATAGGTGTACACCATATTGCCCGGTGGAGACTGTCTGAAAGGAGCTCATCATGCTCAAAAATAAAACAACCTGAACAACAGTATTGGACTGTAGTTCACAGAAAAAAATAACTATTCACTAATCTACACTCAAAGAGTTGAATCAATAAGTAAATGGTACAGAATAAATAACTCTTCATTACGAAAGAATTCAAATTAATAACTGTAAAAGAAATGAAAGAAGAGGGGCTGAGGAATTAGCTCAGCGGCATAAGCACCTGCCTTGCAAGCAGGCGGTCGTGAGTTCGATCCCTGGTACCGATAAAAATGAAAAAGACCAAAAAAAAAGAAATGAAAGAAACAACAACCAGGCCAAAACATGAAAGTCAATACCACATACTGAAGTACATAGTAAGCAAAATGTGAAGAGGGAGAGGACCCTTGCACAATTTCAAAGTATCTCCCCAACGGAGCTATACTATTTTTGCAAATTTCTTGAGAAACTAAAATTACTGTAAAATAACTTCCTGAAAGCACTGTGGGGAAGCTCTCTATTCCTGGATGTCTGTAGTTTTAGAAGGCCTGCAGCTACAAGAAATAGCCTCACTGAGCCACCTATCTGCACTCCTGATTCCAGCTCCTTGTTTCTTCTTTCTTCCCAACACAGATTTCCTGAGGCTAGTTACAGCTAAGCTGGGGTTCATTATTTAGTAGCCAGTCATAGGGCCAGCCAGCCTATGTCTGAGGGAAGTGGAAACACATGCCACCTCCCAGTGGAAGAAGAGGCTAAATTTCGGCCACAGCACTGATGAGCTGAAAATACATTTCTATCACCACACTAATCAGAAACTATAGAAAAACAATGCTACTTCAAATTTCTCTCACTGAAAGTGAGAACTGTCTAAGCTGTTTCTCAACCACTACAATACTGACACTTAAGTCAGAGAATTCTTTTTTTGGGGGGGGGGGGCTGTCCTGTCCACTGTAGGATATTTAATAGCTTCCTGATTGCTAAACACAGATGCCAATAGCAACACTACACTAACTCCCCTTTCTCACAACTGAAACATGTGTTCAGACATTGCCAGGTCTCCAGGTGAGAAAATTATTTGCACTTGAGACCAACTGCTGTACCAGGGATCAGAAAAGGAAATATGGAAAATATATTTCATTCTAAAACACTGAATAATAGAAATCAATGTTTTACTCATCTATTCCTATAAAACAAACTGTTTCAGAGCACATTGCTGGAAAACGACCTTCACTGTGGTGGAATCTGGGTAGATTGAGGGTTTGCTTGTCTTATAAAACTTCAGTGAGCTACATGTTTTATAAGCTCCTCACTGTTTCTATGCATGTTTGGTAAAATGTCTATGTTTCTGTGTTACATACTTCAGTTCAAAAGTTTACCTAAAAAAATATAGAGCCAATAAAACTATTACTTGCTTTAGAAATAACCATACTTTCAATCCCCGGGACCGATAAAAAGGAAAAAGACAAAAAAAAAAAAAAAAAGAAAGAACCATCTTTTTTTTTTTTTTTTTTTGTACCAGGGATAGAACTCACAACCTCGCGCTTGCCAGGCAGGCACTTAGGCCACTGAGCTCAATCCCCAGCCAAAATACCCCTCTTTTGTGCTTTTCTTTGAAACAGTAAGTTTGTTAATATTATAAACATGGAACTCACTGCAAAATTTTTTATTTCAAAGAATTTGTCCGACATGTTAATTACATAAAATATCATTCTTACAGCCAAAGTCTGTTAACTGAAATAATTACCAGTTCATTTATCAAAATTGTGGTAAAAACAGCTTACCTGGATATACATCTTTTGAATGGCTATAAGTTCCTCACCAAGAGGGACGACAAGCTTTTCAACTCGTCTTTCATGAGAGTATGGTAAAATATCTGGAGAATCTTCAGAGCGAAGCTCTATCTGCCCAATTAGTAGGTTACTGATAACCTGCTGCACAGCCTATGCAAAATCAATTAAGTATGATTATAAGTTACATAAAATGTGAAGAAGACAATTTGCCCTTCCTGTGAACTGCACAAGCCTGCCGGGTCCAGGAGAAACAAGCCAATTCACCCTTCTTATGAGTCAGCAGAAGACACTCGGAACCTGGGAGAAAAAACAAGAAGCCAATCCACACTTCCCATGAGCGAACTCACCTCACCTGTGGCCACCCGCAAGTAACCAGCTGATTTGGAGGACAGGCTGAGTTGACAGCAAATGAGGTACAAAACAACTTAATGCTTGTATTTTGTGATTGACTTTGCAGGCCTAAAGCCGGTGGTCTGGGCATCTATTAAGAGGACAACAATATGCAACATAGGCACTATGGGGGATTTCCTTCTGTCCTGTTTTTGAAATTCAATATTGTTCTCACTGTTGTGTGTTTTCCCATTTTTATTGTTTTGTTTTATTCAATGTTTTGTTTTGTTTTGATTAGTTTTATTCTGTTCTGTTTTGATTTTATTCTTTCCGATGGTATGGGTAACAATTTTGAAGATAGCAAGAGGCGTTATGGAAGCCATTATTGATTTCCGATTATCCTTTTTTGAAGTCCTGAATAACTTTCACAGTTTTGTTTTGATTGGCTTTATTCTTTTTATTTTGTCTGGTTTTATTCTCTTTAAAATAAAATACAATTAATTAATTACATAAGATGTTAAATTTGTTTAGTTTAAGCTACTGACAAATAGCAGTAAATTTCTCAAAGAAGCACCAGAAATTCCTATCATTAAATATCAGAGAGAAAAAAGACACTAGACAAACTCACAAGGAAAGTATATCAGAAATAGCACAACAGAAGGAAAATGCTTTTTAAACATCTTTTCTTACTACGGTCTTTCAAAAATATCTGTAAAAGTCAGTAAGTTCCTCAAATGTATCTTAATAGTTTCTAAATGGAGTCCCTATAAAGACTTCAATAAAGCAAAACTTTTAGATTAGCAAACTAAATCCCTCAAATACTGTAACAGTAAACTTCAGAGCCAGAACTAGTACCTGGTTTCTTGATTCTGCAAAATTTTTTTTCTATTGATTTTTGTGGGAAAAACAGGAACTATTAAAGGACACTTATTTAGTACTGGGAATTAAACTCAGGAAATTCCTTTCTCCCCAAAATGGCTTACCCTAGGTTGATTACAGCAAAGTTGGGATATTTTGGGAATGTACCTTAGGAATACTTTATAAAATGGCTTAAGAGATTGGGGGCCTATACTGTATCAATTACTAGAAAATTAGTACAATATTTTTCATGTAAATCAATATACATAATGTATGTAGGTTTCTGGAGATATTACTATACACAAAAAGCTTATAATGGAATTAAATTATGAAATTAGGGACCCAGATTTGGTTACAAAAGCCTAATAATCCCAGCACTTTGGGAGACTGAGGCAAGACAATCACAAGTTCAAATCCCACCTAGGTAGGTTATTGAGGCTCTGTCTCAGAACAAAAAATAAAGAAAAGGAACTACCTGAGTTTAATACCCACTACTAAATAAATAAATTTTTAAAAATTAGGGGATAGTTTGGTCAAGGTGGCACACACCTGAAATGTCAGCACTCTGCAAAGCTAAGACAGGAGGATTGCAAAGTTGGGGTCCAACCTGGCCAACTCAGGGACTTAGCAAGACCCTGTGTCAAAATATAAAAAAGGGCTCAAGATGGAGCTCTGGACAAAGATCCTGGGTTAAATGGCCAGCACTACCACCACCACCCCCAAAAAAAATCTCTGAAAAGAAAATTACAGAATTGCAGCAAATACATAAATAAAACCATGGAGGCCATAGAAAACAAGACTAAGGACCTGTCACAGAGATTGCAAAGGGTAAGGAGACATGACCTCTTAATGCAGAGAGATTCTGGGCTGCAACCTGGAGCAGAAAAAGACTTTGGGAAAAGTGGCAAATAGCACATGCAAGATTAGTTGTCTATGCTGATTTTCTGGCTCTGGTAATTTTACTATGGTTATATAAATGGTAACACATTAGGGAAGTCCTGTGAAGCTCATAAAAAGATCCAAATTTTCCGGAAGCCTAACGTTACTTCAAAGTAAAAGTTACAAAGAACTAAAGACAGTAAAAACTTTTCAAAATACTTGCACTATTTGTAAAAATCCAGTGTTTGCACTGAGTTGTACAGCACTTGCCTACCCTATGTGAAACGCAAGGTCTGGTCTGCAGTACTGCCCAAAACAAAACAACTCAGATTTAGTACTTTGAATAGCTTTTGGTTATTGTTTTTTTGTTTTTTGTTTTTCCTTTTTGGTACCAGGAATTGAACTCAGGGCTTCATGCTTGCCAGGCAGGCACTGCACCACTGAGTTATATCCCCAGCCCAGCTTTAGGTTATGCTTAAATCAGAAAACTAGTAATATGACTGTGTATAACTGTAATCTTATATACCCTGGGCACCAAGGCAGGAGGAGCTCTTAAGCCACGTTATTCAGACCTCAACAGAAAAAAATGAGAGAAAGAAAGAAAGACAACAAACAGAAATCAGATGAGGTGGTACACATCAGTAATACCAGCACTTGGGAAGATAGAGCAGAAGGATCGGGGCAAATTCAAGACCTGTCTGGGCTACATAGTGAGCTCAAAGCCAGCCTGAACTGCATAGTGAGACCCTATCCAAAAACAAACAAAACTAACTAAAGGAAGAAACAAAGAAAAGAAACAAATTACTAATTTAAGGAAACTGCAAACACAGAAGAAAAGCGAGGCAAGTTGTAGAAAACACATCATAAAATCAAACTACATAAATAATGGAAACTGATCTGTAGTCATAAAAATTTATTTTCTTAAATGAAAATACATACCAATTTTACTTACCTTTATATCACTACCTGGTGTGGCAGTAAGAGCCAAGATTCTAAAGTGATTTGTATATTTGACCAGTTCCCTTACAACCTAAAAAGAAAAAAATCTTTAATTGATGGTCTAGTGAAAACTATCGTAACATATTATCTGTAAGACAAGTAAGATTTAATGAGACTGAGGAGAAAGATTCACTGAATGAATCTTTAGGTCAATTAGACTTATAATGAATCCCTCATCCTTGGTGGTGGAGATTGAACCCATAGGTTCTCTGTCACTGAATTACATCCCCAGTCCTTTTTATATTTTGAGACAGGATTTTCTTTTTTAAATATGAAACGCTTCATGAATTTGCGTGTCGTCCTTGCACAGAGGTCATGCTAATCTTCTCTGTATCATTCCAATTTTAGTATATATGCTGCAGAAGCACTTGAGACAGGATCTTGCAAAGTTGCCCAGCCTGACCCTGAGTTGCAATCCTTCTGCCTCAGTCTCCCAAGTAGCTGGGATTATAGGCATGAAGACTGCACCTGCAGCAGGCAAACCACACAGCCTCCCTGTGTGCCCGCAGAGGCCCTGTCAGCCAGGGAGAAGCAGCAAGGAAGCCATACAACCTTTCTATGTGCCAGTGGAGGCCCTACTCCAGTGGCGGCAAAGAAGCCATCAGCTTCCCTGTGCGCTGGCCAGGCCCTGACCGCCAGGGAGAACCAGCAAGGAAGCGGAACAGCCTCCTTGTGCCCAAGTGGAGACACTGTTGGCCAGGGAAAAACAGCAAGGAAGTCTCCTCTGCCTCCTGAATCCCCTCCCCACCGTCTATAAGCAACCAGAAACAACAAAGGCTGAGATGATAATAAATGAAGTAACTGAAGTAGGGAAACAACTTGGCATTTATGTTGTTTGATTGACCTTGCAGGCCTGGGAGCAATGGTCTTGGTAACTATTTAGAAGATAACAATACACAATAAAGTAGTAATTGTGGATTTCCTACTATCCCATTACTATTACTGTTTTGTTTTGTTTCACTTTACTGTTTTATATTACTCCATTTAAAATTATATAGATACATAATTTGTGTTTTTAGCACAGATTGCATACAAATACATAACTATTTTTTTGGTCTTTTTGAGACAGGGTTTCTCTATGCAGTTCAGGCTGGCCTTGAGCTTACTTTGTAGCCTAGGCTGGTCTCGAACTCAAAAAAAAAATCCTCCTGCCTAAGCCTCCCTAGTGCTGGGATTACAGGCATGAGCCACTACGCCCAGCTGACATAACATTATTTTTAATAGAGATTTAAATAGAATTATTCTAGTTAAGAAGGAGGCACAAAGGAGCCCAAGTTTAGGATAGCCTGGACAACCTAACCAGATTCAAAATTTTTTAAAAAGTGGGAGCTGGGCATACAATGTCATTCAATGGCAAAGCACTTCCCTAGCCCAGGGATCAACATACAGCACCACCTAAACAAACAAACAAACAAAAATGGATGCAAGGGCTGGGGAGGTAATTCAGTAGCAGATAGCTTGCCTAGCATGAGCAAGGCCCTACCTTCAAACCCTGCAATCACAAACACAAAAACAAAACTGATACAAGACAAAATATACCAACTAGTCATTTTTATTTTGACTCAATGCAAGACATGATGATCTTGTAGATCATCACAGAAGGGATTTTTTAGAGTCACAGATGCAGTGAGGAAGACATAAACAAATCTCTTATTGACTGATTTTTTTTTTTTTTTTTTAAAAATCCTGATCTACATGAAAGCCAGAATACCTACAGTTCTTTCAGGTTACAAAGCAGTTCTACCAGTTCTAAATGGAGTAATTTTATTGCTGTTTGCTACAGGAACCAATACACCTACCAAAACTGTTACATGTGAAAACTGAATCAAATACATTACTCCTTTTCAAGGAGCACTTTTAAACATCTTGTAGAAGAGGAAATGGTGTTGTGCTGTTACACTCAGGAAGCTACATTTCATATGGCTGATGTGCCCACTGTTATTTACTCCTGGAATACCAAGTAGTACAAACTCTCAGGGCAGTTTAGCTAATTATGAAGTTAATGCAAGTTTAATTGTAATCAGTAAAAAATATAAAACTTCCAATGGGGGAAAAAATCATCTAATGCCCAGAATTTTTTTTTGAAAAAGTGAATTAAATATAAACTAAACCTACAAAGTTCCACAGAGTTGTAATTTAAAAAAATAATAATAATAACCCTCTGGAGACATTTTGCAAAAGAGAAGGGGACCAAGAGATGGACGGGGTAGGGAGGAAAGGAAGAGGAAGGTGATGAATGAATTAGGATGTGTTATGTACATGAATGAACCAGCTCCCCCACAAGAATGTAATTATACACTGCAACTATGTACTAATAAAAAGTAAAACTTGAAAAAATGAAAAATCTCAACATGTCATATATTGGTTTAACTGGGAAAAGTAAGAATAAATGGAAAAATGTATCCACTTCCTGGATATAGTTAAGAAAGATCAACTGTAAAATAATAATTCATCCTAGGACAATACAGACATACAATAATACTTACAGTCTCCAAGCAAACTACAAATTCACAAACTGGCAGTAAAATTTGTATTAAATGAAATGGATTTTCTCTTCTTTATTCCTCTTCATCTTGCCAGTTACTGCAGTTTTAATGTATGGGGGTAATTCCCAAATCTGTTCTACTTTCAGGTGAAAACATTCACTGAGATGTATGATTCTATCACATTCTGCCTAAAGGATATTTAGAGCTGGATTCTTCAGATATCTCCAAAGTCCACACTTACACAGAATTCAATACCTTTTCCTCCAATCTCTGTAACTGTTACATCTTCACAGTTTTCCAGTCAAAACCACGGTGGCCACACTCTATTTCTCCTATCATTCATTAAATATCCTGCCTTTAGCCTTCTCTCCGCTCATCTCTTTAAATCTTAAGTATCACCCTAAACCGTTTTAACAAGTCTGCATCATGTGCATCCTTTATGGCCTACAGTGTGCCTACAAATTGTTAAACATACAATACCAATGCCTTCACAATCCGGTCCTTGAGTAGAATAAAACAAGCAAAGTCCCCTTCATGTAAGGGAGAAAGAGAAGGTCAATCACATTTAGCAGTACAATCACATTCCACCACCTTAACCCTCATACTTTATATTTTTGTAATACTTAAGTGGAGAACGGTTAGATATGTTGTATATATTATATTATTTAATCCTTATAACATGGAGAGTTAAGTACATCTTACCTAGTTGCTGAGTAATGGTACAGTGTATACACTATCAATCTTTGGGTTTTTATCTTACTTCCCTGACTCCACCAATACGCTACTTTAAATCACTGCCCTAATTATGAAGATCCACATGTGACAAATAAATTTTTTAAAAAGACATTGATTTGAATGGAAAAGAGAAAGTACTATCACTGTCTGTTCTTTGATAATAAATATAAGTCTTTTATAATACCATCATTAATTTTCATCACTAAGTAACTATCCTGCAAAATATTCAATTGGATACACTACAAAATACCATTTAGCAAAATTATTACCTGGCAATAAGCATAATTTCCAAGAGCCTTATGAGCTTCATCAATGACTAAACACTTTATATCAGCAGCAGGACAAGTTCCTCTAGTAAGATCATTTACCATGACCTGAGGTGTAAGAAAAAGCACTCTCTTATTGCACCATATTTCTTTCCTGGTGAAAACTTGAGTAGAACCTGTAAATAAAAATGACAGTCTACATTCTAACTTTATGTAAAACATAAATAGTCTGTATTATTTTCAAAATGCATTCATGTTTAGGTAGTCTTTAGTGGGAGTGGAACTTGATAATTTATCGGAATGCTACATTTTAAATCTCTAGTGGGCCCAAATGTCAAAGATGTCTAAGACTACGAATAGACTGTCTTTAGGTAATTCCTACAAAACGTCATATTTGAAAACAAGCAAATTCTTCAGCTGGAAAATCCTCCATGTTCAGTTAATCCACGGGATGTACACACATTAATTGCTTCAAAATACTCTGACAAGCTACAAGGATGTACTGAAGGTTTAATAAAGCAGCCTGGTGTTGGACTTGTAACAAGTAGATGATACTTTATGGAAGAGAATGTAACGCGAGCATATTTGCATGTATGAGCTACTCCACATGGGTCAAGAACTTCTCAGCTTTATTTCCACCAGAAGGCACTTCCCCCCGCTGGAAATCCAGTTCTTCATTTCGTTTTAGCCCTTTCTTTAGTCTAGATACCTGTCATTTCCGCCATCTGGGTCTGCGGGATACCCATCACTTGATAGCAAGCCTCGATCTGCTGTGTCACCAAAGGTTTCGTGGGGGCCATAAAAACGACCTTGCCCGAAGGGAACCAGCGGTAGAAATTGTACATGACGACGGCGGCAATGAAGGTCTTCCCCAGCCCTGTGGGCAGACACACCAGTGTGTTGCAGAACAGAGCGGTCCGGGAGATGTGCAGCTGGTAGTCCCGCACCGGGCAGTTGGTAGGGTAAATCCACAGGGCGCCCGCAGAGGTACAGAAGCCGCCATTCTCCAGACTCTGCTGCCGCTCAGCATCGTACACCGCGACCAGCAGCACGTCATCGTCCGACTCTGGCTGAGCCTGGGCCGCTGCAGGCAAACGTGGCTCGGAGCTGCCAGAGCCCTGAGGCCGCTCGGCTCCTGAGCTGCCACCGGAAGCCCTGGGGAATCGGGAAACACTCGAGCCCCACGTCTGGAAAAGCGTTCTTTGTCGTCCGCTCATGAGGCCGACGACCACCAAAGACTTTGCTCGGGCACCGACAGCCACAGCAGCTCTAGAGCAGCCTGGCTAGCGAGCCCCATCAGTTTCCTCGCACAGAAATGTGGAAAGAGAGGGCGGATCTGCAGCCTGTCCATCCAGTTAAAAATGCCGCGGCTGAGTTCGCGTTATGAAGGTGATTGGCTGACTTCCCGGAAGCCTCCTCGACTTCCTGGAACGCTTTCCACACTGCTGGGGTGTTACTCTAAATGTGGTCCCCCACTCACCTTTGCGTGTTGCTTTGCTCTGTTTAACAGGCTCCACATTTCAGTTCTGTTTCAAATAATTAGGTGTCCAAGCATCATTGTTAGTTTGATGTCACTTACAATGATAAAGAGGTCTAGAGTACAATAAAATACTCAGTTTCACGAATTTTATGCTATTGTGAATTTGCATCGGATGAAGTAAACAACCAAAAGTGTGTGGATAGAATAATTAATCTTATTTCTGTCTAGGCAAAATAAATATGAGGTCTCTTGCTGTGTCACCAGTAGCAACCTATTATTTTAATATTTTTATTGCTTAAAAGGAAGTGAATGTGATCTCGTCCTATTATTAGAAAATGAAGATAAGAGAAATACAGAAGGCATCTTAATGTTCCGCCATTACATTTTATTACATTTTAGAGCAGTAAGCTTAGACGTGCAATTATGCTACATTACTCATTGCTTTCTACCTCCGACTCAGATACTGTTCCTGGGTTCTCCATTCAACCCGATGACTTTCAATAATTTAGAAATTTGTTTCCTCCTATTTTGAGGAAACGTACAAGCAGGTCGTATAGCAGCCATGGGTAATAATGCCACCCGCCTCATCGCCAGAAATTGCAATTTTTTTTTTTTTTTTGAAACAAAGTTTCACTATGCTCTTCTGGCTGGCTTAAACTCACTTTGCAGCCCGGGCTGGCCTCGAACTCGCAGTGATCCTCCTGTGTCACCTTCCCTAAATGCTGGGATTATAGGCGTGCACAACTACGTCCTACAGAAATTGCAATTTTGTTTTCTTTTGTTGTTGTTGTTGTTGTTTTGAGACAGGGTCTCGCTATGCAGTTCATGTTGGCCTTGCGCCCACTTTGTAGCCCAGGCTGGTCTTGAACTTGCAATAACAATCCTCCTGCCTCAGCCTCCCTAGTGCTGGGATTACAGGCATGAGTCACCACACCCGGCTAGAAATTGCAATTCTTAGTGCATCTTCTTTACATTATTTTATTTGCTCAGATTTCCTAATTGATTTTTAGACAAACATCTTGCTTCGTTAGGAACGAGGGAGTGCGATGCATTTGTGAGTTTTAAAAGGGAGAGAGTGGCTGTGCATGATGATGCACCCCTGTAATCCCAGCATTTAAGGAGCCAGAGGCAGGAAGTTCTGGAATCTATAGACTTGCCTGCACAATTTAGTGCCTTTCGAGACCCTGAAAATAAAACAAACAAAAAAAAGTTTAGGTATATCCTTCAGTGCAAAAGCCCTGGTCCAATCCTGAGTTCTGCAGGAAGAAAAGGGGAGGTAGTGGAATATGTTTTGTTCTGATGAATAAGAATCTAGCCAATTCAGGTATGAATCTTCAGGATAAAACTAGATAAAATCAAGTTAAAACTTTAAATGCCGTTTCCATTATAAAGGTTATGGACTGGATTTTCACGGCACACGAGCCGTGAGAAACGTACCAAATGCGGCCAGGGCTTATTAAAATCAGAGGATGCTCTCAAGAGCTCTGCTAACAGTAAAGGAGTATGACCAGCCGACTGGACAGGAAGCGGGGAGGCCACTTCAACAAAGAGGCGACTCAACAGAACCACCCTTATAGCACAACCTTGACGTCACTCAAATCCAAGCTCCAATCCCGCTGGGTTTCGCGGTGACCCCGCCCCTAGCTCCTCTCAGGAGCCTAGGCCACGCCCAGGGGCGGGGCGGTGCCGATTTGAGGCGGGCTGGTTTAGTGCAGCGGAGCAACGGGGGAAGATGGCGGCTGCCGTGCCACAGCGGGCGTGGACCGTGGAGCAGCTGCGCAGCGAGCAGCTGCCCAAGAAGGACATAATCAAGTTTCTGCAGGAACACGGTTCAGATTCGGTACCAGAAGCGGCGGGGCGGCCGGGCCGGTGCGGCTGCAGACGCTTCACCCCCCCCTAAATGCCCAGACATTCTGTCTCCCTCCATGCCCCCGCCCTCGGCTCCGCGGCCTGCGGCCTCTGTGCTGCACCCCGCCCCGGGCCGCCTTGCTGGCGGGGCGCAGCCGTCCCTGTACGGCGCGCGGGCGGCTGTCGCAGGCTGGAAATCCCTGGGACCCTGAGCGGGGGGTGGAGGCCGTGGAGAAAGGAAGCTAGAGTCGGCGAGGGCCTAGGAGTAGGGCTTTGGAGGAGATTCTGGGGTGGAAGGGGGGCTGCCAGGGGCGAGCGGAGGGCCAGGAAGACGCGTGGGAAGGGGCTGTGCCCCTGGCTTTTCTCACCGATTTACCAAAGACCAAACACAAATCCGTGTGGTTTTGCAAAAACCCCGTGAACCTGACTCTTTAAATGACCTTTTCGCCTTACTACTTGAAGTGGCACGTGCGCGTCTTGTGCAGTGGTCTCCCATTGTTAGGGACAATCCAAATGAGAAGTGTGCTCTGTGTTTGTCCGGATGGACAAGCGCCCTGCCTTTCGCAACACAAGCTCCATTTTGCCCACTCGTCTCGTCCCAAGTTATTTTTGTCAGACCTGTTTTGTTCCTTTAGAAATTACCCTCATACTTGTCTGAATTACTGAACTACTGTGCGCATGGCATCTCTCAGCCGCCAAAAATAGAAGCTGCAGCCTGCATGTGGGTTCTCTGTTGCCTCTTAAAGTCTGTATTATTAGCTATTTATACAATTCTAAAATACCAAAATATTAATCACTTAAACGTGTTTTCTCCGATGACCATTCACATATTTAAGCCAATATTGTATTGCTTTTAGCAGAATTGGCCCTGGGTTCTTAAGGGACTGTATTTTCATTTAGGAGCCTCCTGAAGGGAAAATGCAGGAACCCATAACTTTGGTTGCTTATGTGTGCGTAGTTATCCTGGCATCAGCATGTTAGACTAATCAGCAAATATCTGTACAACATCCAGAGCAAGAACTGTGCTAAGTGTTTGGGGATACAAGGGGAAAGAGATTATGCATTCGGGACCTTCTGCCATTTAATGGAATTGTTTTAAACCAGTATGTATTTTGCCTAATAGCCCTATCATTAATGATCAGTGCCTAGATGCTGTACTTTTTGAAATCCTTACAAAACAAATCATCCCAATGTAGACTGATGTTAAAGTGGCCTGAGCGGGACAACTTTAAGAGACTTGGGTTCTCATAGCATTTTTTTAAAAAATTTTTGGTACCAGGAATCGAACTCAGGACCTCACATTTGTCAGGCAGGCACTGTGCAACTAACTGAGCTGTATCCCCGGCCCTCATGGCGTTTTATAACAGTTTAAGTGCGTGTTCTCAGGTGACCACTCACTTAAACCTTGGGCTGGAACTTGGAATCTTCCTGCTTCTATCTCTCACTGTGCAGATTACAACTATGTGCCACCATGGCCAGCCACCAGTCTTTCTTGATCATATCAGAGAGATACTTATATTTGATATTTTCATGAAAGCTTGCTAAAAAAACTCAAAGAGTACTGACTCATCTGATTAATTTTATATAATGAACCATCTCCTATATTCAGTTGGCCTTTATCATTTAGAATGCTGGGAAGAAAAAAGCAAAGAGGATAAAATTCCACACTGATAGTGTTAGAAAAGCTGTTGGAAGCTGGGCATAGTGGCGCATGCCTGTAATCACAGTTTCTCAGTCCCAAGTTCAAGGCCAGCCTGGGTAATTTTCCAAGACACTCTCCCAAAATTTAAAAAGGGAGGGTGGCTAGATTGTAGCTCTTGGCAGAGTTCTTGTCTAGCATGAGTGAGGCCCTAGGTTTAATCCCCTATATCATGGAAAAAAGAAAAATTGCTAGAAGATGGCAAAGGACAACTTTAATTTGAGAGTGACAGTGAATTCAGCTGGGACACCACAGTAGAAAAAGAAGCAGAAGGACATAAAAGAGAAAGTCACTAAGACCCCCACAAAATTTTGAGGAGGACACATTAGGCCTTGATGCTTCAATACTAGTCTTTTAGCATCTGTCACCTTACAGTCTTGTATTTGAGAAAAAAGGAATTCTTTTACCTTTAATTTTAAGCACATTTTATTAATCACAGTAGCAAATATTAAGTTCTTGCTGTGATAGGCGCACTTTATCTTTACAGCAACATTTTTGTTTTGGTTGATTGGTTGGTTTTGGGTTTTTGAGACAAGGTCTCACTGTGTAGTCCAGGCTAGCCCTGAACTTGGAACATTGATCCTGCCTCAGCCTCCTGAGTGCTAGGCATGCACCACCATGCCCCGCCTGCACCAAGACTCTGACATAGATTCTATTCATTAATCTTACACTACAGATAGAGAAACTGAGTCTTTAGGAAAGCTTGGTCCCATCTATGGAGTGAAACAGATAGTGTCACCCAGACAGTGTGACTCCACAGCCCATACCTTTGTGTGTACATCATCATGGCCATAGCTGGAGGCTCCCACAGCCACTGACAGCAGCATTCTGTCATGAGCAGCTGCCTCTAGTGTGTTTGCTATGTAAATATTTTTTGGTTTCTTGGGGGTTTTCTTGTGTGTGAGAGTTCTCTAAAGGGAAAAGAAGACAAACCCCTGTCCTCCCATATGTTATGGTATTGTTCTAAATGCCTTACATTTTTAATGAAGCAAGCTATAAAATACAGTATTATTTTCCTTCTTTATTAGTACTATTTTAAAAATCTACTAAAAGGGACTGGGGATTTACCTCAGTGGCATAAGCACCTGCCTTGCAAGCAAGCGGTCGTGAGTTCGATCCCTGGTACCGATAAAAATGAAAAAGACAAAAAAAAATCTACTAAAAAATAAAACATAGCTACTCACATGAGAGGGTGATTTTCTAAATTTATCAGTTTGGTTTGTCTGTATTTTTGAGGCAAGATCCTGGTCTGGTACCCAGGTTTGACTCAGACTCCTGGACTCAATTCGATCCTCCTGCCTCAAGCATTACAGTAGCTGGGACGGCAGGCATCCCCTACCATGCAAGCCTCCATTCTC